ATGTTGGTATGACGCGATGCGCACGGCCAGCTCCGTGTGGAATCACCATACCTCAAGTTGGAACCTCCACTGTGATATTCGAGCGCCTCGACTCGCGACCGGAGATGTAGTACTGTGCATAATGGATTCCACATCAGATATCATATAAATCTCAGCCAAGAAACGGCCCGCACGCACAACGCACAGAACGTGAAGTGAATGCTCCGGCAGGTCGCACAGCAGGAATGGGTTACACATACGAGAAACGACAAACAATCCCAGATGTACAGGTACAGGTACAGGTACAGGTAGCACAACACCTCTCACGTATGGCGAGCGCACGTGTGCGATTTCTACATCGGGAAGTCGCGCGGTAGAGTTGCACAGGTAGTCATGTCCGGAAAGAAAAAGTCCACTGTTTTTCTGTGGGGGGTTGCTGGGTCGGTGAGTTGGCTTTCGACTGCTAAGAGATGCGATGGAGAGACGAAAATACGGGACGGAAGAAGGTTGAGCTCACGCTGCTGTTGTTGTCGTTGTTGGCGCCGTTCGATGTTCGAATTTCTATGGCAATACAAACGAACGGATTTGGAACCGGGGTCTTCGCTGTTCAAAGTTATGCAGAGGATGCAGAAGCTCCTTCCCACCCACCACACACCTGGCGCCGCGCTCTCGCATGGCATAATAAGCGCCAGTACGACTCGCTTTGCCGCCTACCTTACGCCAGGGGGTGGCGGGTGACCCAAAAAAGTCGCTGTCGATGGTGTGTGTGCATTTGGTGGGAAGCCCCGAGAGACAGAGAGAGAGAGAGAGAGAGAGAGAGCGAGGAATGACTGACCGACCATCTCTGGGATCCCCTTGAACGATGTTTGGCATTTGACATTGCTTGCTCTAATTGGCAGCAGTTGACAAGGACCTCGGGATCTTTTTGCTGCCTCTACGGACTCTCTGAGAAGACAGACGTGCATGACACCAAGAGGATCGTCCCACTCTGCTCCCAAGCTCCATAGATAGGTAGTTGCCCACAGGGTCCATCTTCTCATATCCGTCGGACCCATCGTTGTATATTCTTGGCGAGCAAAAGTTCCGTCCATCCTCCGTCCGATGGGATGGGGCTCATTGCGATTTTGCTGCATATACATATCCGAACCTCTCTCAGCCGGTCAGAATTGCGTTGACCGAGTTGCCCCCCGCATACAAACATTGCCCGATGGCTGTACTGTGTTGTTGATTTACATGTCCTTGCTTCCCCACCGTACTATTACATCGGGGCGATGCGCCCAACCCGACCGCAACCGATACTATAGTCACCCAACTCAGACTCCTCGCCTGACTCACCGCCATGCTGCCGGGCAGGGCATGCCGCATGGAGCGATCAGCGCCAGCGCCCTGCACGACCCAGCGGACAGGTCGATGCAGCCCTCGCTTTGTCCTTGCATGGCCCTCTAAGTTCAAGACGTGTGCTCGCCTGTAGGTCTTCCATTGCCTCTCAACCCGGCCGTCCAGTGAAGCTGCTATGCGTGCCGTGGCTCGGCAATGTTCGCGGCGTACCTTCACTGCCATGCCCGTACGGAGGAGTGTGGCAGTACCAATTCGTCTGCATGTGTTGCTGCTGGAAAGGCTGAGATAGCATGTAGGCTTGATTTTGGCCAGACGGCGGCGGCGGCCCTTGAGGAGGAGGAGGAGGCATCGGGGCCATGCGTGGATCGGGCTGTGAAGCCTGTACCGATGGATGTCGCGTGAAAGAGCCCGGCGGTCGTTGGTTCGTCTGGAAGGATGGACTGTAGCTTTGCGTTTGATATGCATCGGGATACGACATCGATCGCACAGGCTGGTGCTGTGGTTGCGGTTGCTGTGCGTGCCACATCTGCTCCGGGTTGTAGTGGTAGCCTTCCATCTGTTGAAAAGGCGGTTGCGGCTGGTTCAGTGGCGGAGGAAATGGCGCCGTGTCTGCTGCCAGGCTCTGGGCTCCGAATCTCGTCGGCGGGTGCATGTTGCTCGGCGGCGCTACAGGGAGTGCCTGGTTCGGCATCCTGTACTCTCGTGGGCTCCAATTCTCTCCCTGTGGACCATAGCTGTGGTCCTGAGCACCAAACTGACCTGCCACATTGTTAGCCGTCGCGCTTCGTCTTTCGTCGCGGAAGATGGGTACCTTGTGTCGGAATACTGAGGTTGGGAGGTATCGGGATGCCCTGGTACGGAGGTTGAGTGTCCCGGGGGACGTTGGGGAAGCCACCAGCATACTGCGGTCCCTGAGGGTCGAAAGAACTCGATCCACCTTGGTTCGGCGAAGATGACACTGTCGAAGGTGTTGCTGACGGCCCGCCTGCTCTGCTCGACTCAGACCTTGCGTCGATGACAGCTTGCTGGTCAACAGGGTAAAAGACGCATTCCTTCTTCAAGCGGATGCAGTTTTGGCATCTGCCTTCGCGATCGTCGTCGGCAACGAGACATCTGATCTTCCGCCGACGACAGTGAGCTGCACGTGAGGTTAGCAGCGATTGCGCGACGGAGGTACGATGGCACGGCTCGCGTATTCGCCGAGTTGCTGGCGTGGGCCAGGGCGGCACACTTACCACAAGCGATGGAAATTCGTTGGTAGCTGTGGGACGTCAGACCGTGTCGATGTTTGAGATGAGCCGTTCAACATACCCAAGTTTGTTCCGCTTCTTGTCGTCTGAATCTGACATAATGGGACCGCGCAACTGCGGAGTCGAGAGAGACTTGAGAAGGTGTCTACCTGGCTTTGTTTTGGACGGCCTGCCAGGCCTCTTCCCATTCGGTCCTGGGAATGGTCCTTGCAGTGGGGCTCCCGGGCCCGGCGCAGAGGGTGCGTTGGCGGGAGCCGATGTGAGGTACGCCGAGGGCAGCGCAATAGCATTACTCGCTGTCCTAATAGCAGCAGTCGGCGTTTTGTTGTGCTGCGGGAGGGAAGAGGGATGCATGACCGTCGCTGCAGGAGGTTAGGCCTATGGTGTCGGGCGAGTGGCGGTCGTGCAATCGAGGTGGCTGTCTGGCAATGCAAGATGACCGTGGCATTACAGAGAATGAGGTCCAGAATGAGTGTGTGGCCGCCAATAACGATGACGAAAGGCGCTGCGCGTTGGTACTTCATGCAGCCCGGCAGGAAGAAGCAGCCTGGTCTAGTGCGAATGTATAACAACGCGGAGTGCCGAGTCAATCCTCTCAAACAGCAGTCGAAGGAAGCACACTGCGCTGTGAGATGAAGGTAGTATGCGTGGCGTTTCCCAGTGCGCTGGTCACGCTAGAGAAGGCACACACGCACTGGTGTAGGAATGGTGAGGGAGCACTGCTAGATCGACGGCGTTTTGGGCCAATGATAGAGTGCCAATGACGGCACGAGCAGATAGTGAGGGAGGTGACTTGGGGGTGTCCGTCTTGCGAATCTTCCACCACAGCACGCTGTTCTCTCTGAAGAGTCGAGGTCTGTACCGCGCGACTTGGGCCACCCAGGCGAAAGAGACAAAGTGCCTGGCATCTGCCAACGTGATGCAGATCACGGTGATCCGCGTCTAGGGAAGCGGTGCTGATGCCGAAAGTGGCAGAAGTGGCAAGGATACGACTGTAGGCCTTTTCGGTGGCCATGATACTGGTGTAGTATGGCCGAGCTCGCTGGCGTGCAAGAAGCCAAGGTTAGAAGGTTATCTTGGGCGTGATTGGTGACCCCGTGGCGTCGATGAACCATTCCAAACATGTGGCTTCACTAGTGCCGACAGCATCACACCGATTGCACCCCTCAAACGCCTGCACCTTGCCGGCCAAAGTCAGGCGAGGCGTGTGGTGCCATAGCATGTCAAGGCCGGATTGCGAACCTGTGTCGGTGATAATGATCAAAAAAAGTAGCTGTCAAGTCCAGCGGCGTCTCAATCATGCCTATGCTGTTCAGAAAGCGCAAAACCTCCTTTCTTACAGCAGCGAGAACATTCAATGTACCATGCCAGCAAATCCTCCCAATTTTGGGGAGGCAGTGATGCAGAAGGTTCTGCACCGCACTGCGGGCCTTCATCTCGTCGGGCCCTTGAAGCAGTGCGGGAGCGTGTGGATGTTATTATTAACCCTCCGACAAGAATAAGAATATAACAATGTGAGATGGAGGTGCAGACTCCCTGTCGAGCTGGCGACCTGCCTGTTTGGGAAAGTCCTGGAGTCAAAATCCGGCGCAGCGTCGAGTGCTGTGTGGAGGGGGGCGTGCATGACTGCCAGGGGCCATGGATAGCCGCATGTGGTCTAGACGTATCGCTGTCGTATGTGTGTATGGTCGGTGAGTGTCCCGGTGACATGTCCATGTGCAGGAGAAGTGCAGGAGAAGTGCAGGAGAAGTGCAGGAGAATGGTGGGGGTAGGCCGGAGGAGATGGTGTCAGCTGCCGTGCGTGCGTGCGTGCGAGCCGGTGAGGTGGGATGGTGATGATGATGATGATGATGAGGGAGCGTGGAGCGTGGAGTGGTACTGTAGTCGGTCGGGCGATGTGAGATCGCATCACACATGAAATTGATTGATGAGATAATTGATGAGATAGATCCGCGCCACGTTGCGACAAGGGTACTGCCGTCAAAACTCTCTCGACGCCCGGGATCCAGTCTACCAATCACACGCCGTATCTGCCTTGCGAAGAGTCTGCGAAAGGTAGGAGCGATGGCAGCATCTGGCGTCGGTGGCTGCAATCCCTGCGTGCCAGCTCATCGGATCGTCCTTTCCCTCCCACCCAAACATGTGATGAGAAGCCGGTCGGCTATGATTATTGTCTGGTATGCTATCGCCCGTTCACATTATTATCATATTACTGTGTTATGAGATCGGATCGGAGAGCAAGGCAGTAAGAAGGAGCTCCTCTTCTTCATGAACTTGTTACACCGCGGTGACAGCACAGCCATGCCGCTCACAAGGATCAAGCTCGCGAGTACGCGGCAGCCAAGGCCCAGAAACCACACTCAATATTCAACATTCGTGATGGAGTTGACCGAGCCAGAGAGGTGGCCTATCGTGCCGGTGAAGGAAGAAGACTCGAGCATGCATAATACCGGAGACACCGTGCTTCCTTCGGACAATGATAATAATAAAGGCAACAATCAATGGTTGCGCATCTTAAGAGCGTAAAGTTCAGCCCTCTGGCGACTGGTGCGTTTCAAGAGCAACGGCCGGTTCCAGCGCGCCGGTGCCGTGGGCTGGCTACAAGCTTTCACGGATGACAATTCATCGGGCCTTCCAAGTCCAAGAGAGTAGTAGCCATGTTGCGATCTGTTCTTATATACCTTTTTGCTGTCGGTTGATGATGACGACTCCACTCGAGTCGAAACGGGTGGTCTTCAACATAACACCTGCACCAACTAAGAGTGCCGCATCGCCCGCCCTATGTTCATGATAATGATAATAGCTGGCTCCAGCTGAGTGCGGTGGCGCAATATGCGCCTTGACGAGAACTCAGTCTTCATGACTCACACATTACGGGGTCCTATATGTTCGGGCTTCTATATGCTCGGGTCTGTATGAATGGAAGACCAAGAGTCAAATGGGCTGGATGGGACGAAACCGCGCGATGGAAGCGCTCGCAGCTCCTGAAACAAACTATAAGACCACAATGCGCCTGTGCGCCTGCATAATAGGAACTCATATTGAATTTCCATGACCTGTTACAGAACCGCACTGGCTGTTCCATGTGCAGGGAGAGCCTTGTTCGTCGGACGACAGCCGTCGCCGTCAAACGAACTACAGCAGTACAACAACCAAAGCTTCGCTTCTGGGTCCAACTTCCTTCTACAGTGAAACCATCGCGCTGTCCGTGAATCGCCTTGGACATCCTGCGAGGGCACTGTGAAACGATAGCCCATAGCTATTCTTGACAACGAGGCTTTGCTTTGCGGCGCTGCATGTCTGGCTCCGTTCATGTGACCACGTCGTGCCTGTGGCAGCAGTCTCACTGAGCAGCCCGGAGTGCAAGCGCTTGCTGTGCCAGATGTTCAAAGTTCAGCCGTTGATGGTCGTCTGGCATGTATTCGCCCGACGCAATGCAGTGCACCTTCATGTTCTCATGGTAGGTGAGATTGTTGAGCAGCTTGGGCGTAATGAGGAAGTACTGGCTCGTATGCTCGGCGCAAGCAATCTCGACCATGCGGGAATGCACCAATCTGCGGGAAGTATCAGCACTGCGAGTCTTCACGCTTCAATCCTTGAGACCTCACCTCTCATTGCGTGGATCCATGCCCTGGTTGATTTCGTCGACAACCCGAAAAGGTGCTCTTGCCAGGCTCTGTAGGGCCATGAGGTAGAAGATGGTGGACACCGCACGCTCGCCACCAGACTGACGATGCGAGTCGAGAAGACTGAGCGGTTCGTTCTCCCTGCAAAGACGTATTAGCCTGCACACTGTCAAGACTTGGGCCAGAGGGAATGCCTGCTTACCTGAACTTGACCTTGATCTGGATCGCCCATTGGTCATAATCGTCATCCTTGTAAATGCCGACCTCGCCAGCGCATTGAATGCGGTGGAAGTTTTCCGAGAATGCATCTGAAATGTTCTTGACAACTTCCTCCAGCTCTGGCTCCCACCTCCCACGAAGCTCTGTGATCTTTGCACTCAGACCGCTCAAGTCCTCCTCCAGCCTGACCAGTTTCTGTCGTAGCTCTTCGATTCTTTGAGCGCGTTGCTCAAACTCTTTGATGACGTTTTCGTTGCCGCCGTGCAGCATGTCAAGCGTCGCTTGAACCGACTGAATCTCCATATCCAGCTTTTCGGGGATGAATTCCTCCGGAGCCGGCCGCATGAGTTCTTGATAGAGCACTTTCTCCTCAGGCTGGAGCTCTTCATCGAGAGCCTCTGCAAGCTCCAGCGTCTCCTGTGCACGCTCCGCCAATTGAGCTTCCGTGGCTTTCAATTCGCGAGCTTCAGTCTGCGTTAAATTGAGCTGGTGCACATCCTCGGCGTTGTTGGCTTCCAGCTGCTCCAGGTCTGACTTGGCCTCAATCTGCATTATCTCGGCTTCGAGGACTTGCAAGTGCAGGCTCCTCAGAGTGTCTACGGCTCTGGCATAATCAAGAGCTTGTTGGCCTCTCTCCTGACAAAGTTGATCCTGCTCATTGATGATGTTCATTCGCCGAGCGCTCTGCTCCTTGCGCATAGCCATGGCATCATTCACCTTGCTTTGAGCATTCTGAAGCTTCGTTGAGAGGCCATTGAACTCGGAAAGCTGCTTCTGCTTTACCTGTTTATCTTTCTCAATGTCGTTCTTCTCGCGGCTGAGCTGACCCCGCTCTCCCTCCAGGGTCTGGTAACGAGCGGCGACGCCTGCGACTTCTTTTCTGAGCTCGGCAACTTCTCCCTTCATCTCTATCATGCGTTGCTCGTGTTCTTGCTCTTGCTGTAAATCTACTGGCGCGTCGGTCAGAAGCCGTGCGGGCTTGACTGGAGTGACTCTGGTGCTGGTGCCTGCAGCACCATATTCTCGACGGCGTATTATTTGGTAGCGGTTTTGAGGAGTGACAAAACTTGTGATGGCGCTGCCTTGCAGACGCTCCCATTGACGGCTGTCGAGGTCGTGGGAAGTCCAACCAGTGGCATGAACATTGCTGTTATCGCAGAGCATAGCAAGCACATCCGGAGGTCCTTCAATTAGGTCTAACACCCAAGACTCTCCTCCCAGTCGCTCTAACTCTGCCTTGTCGCAAGGGGGTTGCCACTGCTCCAGTTGCCTTGAAATCGATCGAATGTTGATACTTGAAAGCTTCTGGTTGGTATAAAGCTCCCTTTGAAGCATGGTGAAATCTTGGGGTGAAGTGACAGTAAAAGCAAGGAGTTCGGATTGTCCCAAGACACTTTCAACTACGCTTGCGTGACGGGGGTTTTTGACTGAGCAGGTGATTACTGCAGGGCCATACACCTCGCCCGCAAACTTAGCCCTGTTTGATTCGATCCACTCCCAGGCCGTTGCGGTATCCGGTGAGATTTTATGAAGCTTGCTCCTTTGCCTGCCAGCCTGAGATTCGAGATCCTGCCTCTTTGCTTGAAGCTCTGTCATCGCGGTGCTACGTTGATGTACTTGTAGCTTCATGCTTTCCATTTCTTGTTGGCGATCGTTCATTTCGTTCTCGATTTCGCGGATTCGCAAGGTCTTCGCTCTTATTTCTTCGTTCATCTTGACGGAATCGAAATCCGGCGGGGGGTTCCTCTGTGCTCTTTCGATGTCGCGAATCTGGTGTCGAATCTGATTGACCGTGTTCTTTGTTGCCCTCCCATTTTGCTTATCGGCCTCCAGCTTGCTGTTACATTCCTCGACCTTGTTTGCAGTGTCCTCGCACAATGTCCGTTTTCTCTCGGCGTCATTTTCAGTTCTTATCAGGAGTCTCTGGCGAGCTTTTACGACGTCCTGAAGTTGACTCAGATATTGCTTCTTTGAGTTGATCTTGGCCATGTTGGGCTGCACCTTCTTCTGTAGCGCTCTGAGATCTTCGTCTGCTTGCTTCCTTTTCTGCCTCGCCTCCCGATATTCGTTCAACTTTTCTTGGTAGACTGCAAACGGCTTTAGCTTTTCGAGCATCTGGACCTTCTTCTGTAGCGCGTTGCGTTCTCTCAGACGGCTAACAAGCTCTTCCTGAGACTTCTGGCGACCTTCTTTGCTCTTCAGATCGTCGATCAGAGCTTGTTGGTCTTCAAGCGCCTTCCTCTGACCCTTGCCCATCGTCTTAAGCTCATCGTGCCACTGAGACATATGCTCGGGTGCGGCAGCTCTTTGAGTCTCCTTCAGCAAGTCCACAGGCGACAGAGCGGCAAACTCAACCACACGATCCTGTGGCAGAAACTGGCAGAGGTTGTCTACCTGGATGTAGAAGCTCCTTGCGAGCTCCTGCACCGCCTTGTTGTTGCTCTTTTTGCCGTCGATCAGGTAGACAGACTTGCTAGTCCCAGACTTGGCGCTCCCGTCGCGGTTGATCTTGTGCATGATGACAGGGTTCTTGGAGTGGCGCGCAGGGTCGCCCTTGAGCTCGATCTCGATAGTTGCTGACTTCTTGCCGTGCTTGACGAACTCTGCGATGTCCTTTGCGCGACCAAGGTGAGATGTGCTCCAGCCGAGTCCAATGCAGATGGCACAGACTAGAGTGCTCTTTCCGGTACCGTTAGGTCCAATGACCATGTTGAGATTGGGTCCGGGGCGAAATTCGGCGTTGGTGTACGTGACGAAATCTGTAAGAGTCACCCGTACGATGGAGCCTGGGTGGTGTTCTTGCGCGTCGCGGGCACGTCCTTTGCCCTTCGGCGAGCGACGAAAGCTGTTAGGCAGCACTGGGCGCTACAAATTATTAGCCGTCTGTTGTCAAGACAGACGCAGGAAGGTGAAATACCTCTTCGTCTTCGCTACCGCTCGCGCCATCATCACTGAGCCTACGTCTCTTGTTGCTCTGCGCGTTGGCGCCGCCTTCGGAGTCGGAGGTATCTGGGCCATCCACTCGTGCGCGCCTCTGCGGCGTTACTGAGGGCGATGCCATGTTTTGAGGTGGTGCTGTTGTAGCTGGTGGTGACTCAGGTTGTGGAGGTCAAGAAATCAGAAGCAGTGAGGTCGAGAGGTAGAAGCGCGCTGAGACGCGTCGCGGGTGCGGGGTTAATTCCGCGACATTTAGTGCTGTCCATGTCCACTTCATTCCAGCTCGCCTCGCATGTGAGATGCCACGATTTCTTCACTTTCTGGTGGCCGAGTGATCTACGTGCGGCGCCGATGATACTTCACCGTGGGAAGCGTCGAGACTAAGTGGATTTGATCCAGAGACTAGATTGAGAAGATGGCTCAGTCAAATGCCCCGCGACCACCGCCTAACAAGAATAACGACAGTCGCAAACGAAAGGAGCATCCGACATCGATTTCTAAACCTGACAACAAGCGACCAAAGTCCGACCATCGTGCTAAACAGCGTGACGCTCGTACTCTGGCAACCCAGGCCTCGTCAAAAGCATTCAGCAATGGAGAGCTAGACGTTGAAAGGTTTGTCAAAGCTCGCGAGTATGAGGTTCGTGCCTTGGAAGAGGGAATGTCGAGAAGCAAGAAGGCATTATCGAAGAGAGCGTTTCAGCAGGTTCCCAAGGACTTGAGGAGGAGGACGGCTAGTCACAATGCCAAGAGGGTGCCCAAAAGACTACAGTCAAGGGCGAAGAGGGAGGTATGTTACATGCTTGCATCGAGCTGAAGGTGGGTAGTTCCAGCACAGCGAGAGCGAAAGGCTGATGTGTGGTAGATGATTGAAGACAATACTCCTACCGTGACTCAAAGGAGAAGAAAGCCAACTCGACACATGCGATTGAGATTGGAGACCGCGAAGAGATTGAGAGCCTTGGGTGCGCAGAGGAAAGCTAGCAGAGCAGAGGACAAGGGCGACCAAGTTGTGGTAAAGCCCGGCAAGAGTACAGAGCAAAAGGACGATAAGGAGAGTCAGGGTCTGAGAACTCGAGCACCGAAAGTGAAAAAGGCCAGCGCTGCCACTCCTCCATTACCTAAAGCCAAGTTCCGGAAGCGACAAAAGAGCAAGACGTGGTTACCGACCCATATGTTCCATGCCAAACGGGCTCGCATGACGCCTCCAAAGGAGCCGCTCTGGAGATTCGCGATACCTTTGACACCTACAGAAAAGAGTTATCGACCGACACACCGCGCTGCCAACGAGCGTGGCGCAGTCGCCTGGGACATGAGCTATATGTCTACAATGGGACTGAGCGGACAACAAAAGAGCATTCAGGGCATCTTCAAAGCTCTCGGCATTGGCTCGCTTTCTGGAAAGAACATGTTTAGCAGCGAGGGGGAGAGATGGAGAAATGGAACAAGGATATGGGAAGGTCCCGTGTTCCGTCGAGAAACGCCACATCAGCCCATCGCGCCCGTCACTGTGGTGTGGTGTGTGCCCTCGGAGCCAAACAGGGAATGTCTAAAGGACGAATCTGAGCAACGCAAACGGCAGGCGCTAATGCGAGTTCATCCATCTGCATTTTGGCAATTGTGGGAAGAAGTCATGCGTCTTTCAAAGGTTGCCAAACCGCAGGTCGTGGTAGAAGATCTACGCTTCGAGGTTGGCAGCATTGCGCTCACTGGACCTGGTGCTGTGGAGGCCTTGCAAGGAGCTCTGTGGCCTTCGCCGTCAACTGCACCTGTTGGAGAAACCGAGGACTCAATACCAGAAATATGGAAATCACTGGCGGGAATGCAGAACCAGGTCATGCTTCCGCAAAACGTACTATTGGGCTTTGAGGTTCAAGATCCCCGACTGCACCATCCACCACGGACGATTGACACTCAGAGGACTCCAGCTGAGCAAAGGAAGCTTCTTGAGACTTTAGCGACGTGGCCAGTAGATTCTTTGCAACGTGTTCCCGCCTTCTTCAACCGACGCGCACGGCTTGCTGCAGGCGCTGCACTTGCCAGTCAGAAAGTCATCAATCGACGCAAGAGCGCAGCGGCGCCGGGACAGTATCCAGAGCAATTGACGAAGGATCCCAGAATACCTGTCCTGATATACTACCAGTCAAGCTCGAAGGGACGGCAAGCCACATTTACCATTCTTACACCCTGGAAGTGTGTACAGCCAGTTTGGTACAGCATTATGTATTATCCACTTTCAACAGGAGGTCAACCGCGTTTTGGAGGCTTGGATGAGAAGCGTCAGCTAGCCTTTGAGAACAGCCAGCCCTGGTTTCCTGGAGATTTCCCTGGCACGCAAGCTGGTTGGGAATACGAGGTTACCGAGAGGAGAAGGCGAGAAGCTGACTGGCGAAAACGGCCGAAGTCGAAGAGGGTGAACTGGGAAGCTCTCGATCTTGGCAACGGCAAGAAGGGCGAGGTCGGACGCGGGTGGGCTTGCGACTGGGAGAGGCTGCTGTCAGGAGTGGTAGAGCATGATGGCGAGACTGCAGAGCCAGTCAACACTGAGCGAAACACTACAACGACTGCGGAGACGGTACCAGCAAACACTCTGCAGAGTGCCCCAGAACTCATGCAAATGTCCGTGGAGCAAGCGAACGCGATCCTTCAGGGAAACTCGGAATCATTCCCTGAGTCGTCCCTGAGTCGCTCACTGGTCACGGTTCGCGTCCAGCTGCTAGTTCGTGGAGTACCTCAGACTTGTGCTCGTATCTACCGCCTCCCGTCCGCCTCCTCTGGCAAAGTTCGAAAGCGGTGGCTCGACCTTCGTCCTGAAGTCCAAGCGAAGCAGAAGAAGGCTGCGAAGAACGCACTGTCTCGAACGTCGAAGGATGTGCCGGGCCACCTACGGATTCAACGCTTGGCTCAGTCATTAATCGCTGCGCCTACAGCCGATGATGACGATTATCCCCTTTGTCCAGGCGAGGAAGACTTGGTTGGTTTCGTGACGACTGGCGACTTCAATCTAGGAGAGGGGCAGGGGACTGGTGTTGGAAGCATCTTGCTAGACAAGGTTGTTGAAGGGGTCAAGGACGATCCGCGCTATGGGAGGTTGTGCATTGTGAGAAATGCTGGGCATGGCGTTGGAAGGTTGGCACGATGGGAAATAGTGTGAACGACGGCAAATGTCATTATATTGCCAAGTAATCAAGACCTATGACTCATTCAATTGCCTTCCGTGCAAGTCTTTGTAAGCCGACGCGAATTGTTACAGACGAAATGCCGCTCCTGAAGATTACGGTCACGTGAGCCAAATTGCCGAGATTTGAGCGCTAGCGAGCTCATCGAAACCTTTCTTGTCTTCTCGCTGTCTCCAAGCTTCTTCATCACAAACACATCCACACCCTCACCACCAACGCCGCCGCCATGTCGTGGAGACAGAACCTCGGCCAGACCGGTGCCAACACCATTCCGCTGGGCAAGCGTCGCTTTGGCGGCAACGACGACTCCCCATCTGTCGAACCCGAGTCGCGCGATGTAAAGCGTGGTCGTAGCCCTGAGCGCGCACCACGCGAGCCAGAATACAACCCGGACGGTACTAAGAAGCGTCGCAAGCGCAATCGCTGGGGAGATGCTTCCGAGAACAAGGCAGCGGGCCTGATGAACCTGCCCACCGCCATCACCGCGCCCATGACCGCGGAGCAGCTCGACGCCTACGTGACCCATCTGCGTATCGAGGAGATCAGCCAGAAGCTGCGCATCAACGACGTCGTGCCAGCCGACGGTGATCGGTGAGTCTGATTTCCATATCCACTGTGCAAGGATGCTCAATGAGATGCTAACAAACAATACAGTTCACCCTCCCCTCCGCCTCAGTACGACAACTTCGGTCGTCGTGTCAACACGCGCGAATACCGCTACCGCAAGAAGCTCGAGGACGAGCGGCACAAACTGATTGAGAAGGCGATGAAGATCATCCCTTCCTATCACCCACCATCTGACTACCGTCGTCCCACCAAGACCCAAGAGAAGGTCTACGTGCCGGTCAACGACTATCCCGAGATTAACTTCAGTATGCCTTCTAACCCACTAATCCTTCCTACTGCACCCATCCTAGCTCTAATTCTGCACCTTGTGTCCACGGCGATCAAAAGCCGTACTAACCCAGCGCTGCTAACTTGTCACCCTCCGTTTTACACGAACAATTACTAACACTTAGCTCTTCTCTACTAACAGTCGGCCTCCTCATCGGCCCTCGCGGTAACACACTCAAGAAGATGGAGACGCAGTCTGGTGCCAAGATCGCCATCCGAGGCAAAGGATCCGTCAAGGAGGGTAAAGGCAAATCTGACGCCGCCCATGCAAGCAACCAGGACGAGGACCTACACTGCTTGATCATGGCAGATACAGAAGAGAAGGTGAACAAGGCGAAGGAGCTGATTCACAATGTTATCGAGACGGTAAGGATACCATACTCCGCCATCCCTATTTCTGCTGACGATTTGTAGGCTGCTTCTATCCCAGAAGGCCAGAACGAGCTCAAGCGTAACCAACTTCGTGAGCTCGCTGCGCTCAACGGTACCCTCCGTGACGACGAGAACCAGGCTTGCCAGAACTGTGGCGAGATTGGTCACCGCAAGTACGACTGCCCACAACAGCGCAACTTCACCGCCAACATCATCTGCCGTGTCTGTGGCAATGCGGGTCACATGGCCCGAGACTGCCCTGAGCGTCGTCCTGGATCCGATTGGCGCAACATGCCGCCACGTCGTGGACCTGAGAACGCCATCGACAACGACTACGAGAAGCTCATGAACGAGATTGGCGGCGGCGAGACGGCGAATCCCAATCGCCAGATCGGCTGGGAGGAGGGCGTTGCGCCTGGCGATGCCAACGGAGGTGCTGCTCCAAAGGTTGCCCCATGGCAGCGTGGCCCGACTGGCGCTCCCGCTCCTTGGCAGCGCCCAAGTGCAGGAGGCCCAGCTCCATGGCAGCAGCGTTCTCACGACGATGGCGGATACGGAGGAGGCTACAACCCAGGCGCTCCAACTGGAGGACCACCGCCATGGTCTCGTGGTGGGGGTGGTGGCGGCAGCAACTCCGCGCCGTGGCAGCAGCCTCAGCAGCAGAGCTACGGTGGTGGTCACGGTGGTAGCTATGGTGGATATGGAGGTCAGCAGCCGTGGCAGACCAACGCGCCACCGCCGCCTCCACCGTCGAACGACATTCCTCCGCCACCGCCCGGCGACATTCCACCGCCACCACCTCCAGCTTAAGCTGTTGGCATGGCATGTGGGGTTTGGGAGCGTTTCTTTCGGTAAGTGCATCTCTTTTGACGTACGTATTGCGGTTGCGGCAGCAGCAGCGGAGGCAGCAGCGGCGGCGGTGATTCGATGGTTGAAGAGCACACATTGGGAAAGAGCGGCGCCCTAGAGTTAGCGACGCAGCAGGCAATCCGCCAGAGGGCACAGCCGAGTTGCGATGGATTGGCTGCGAACACAGACAGACTGCATAGCGAGAACAAGGATTTGCGTTTTCATTTTGTGTGCTTTATCATGGCGTTTGCCCAGACACGCCGTTCTGGAGAGGCCTCCGTCCCAGAAGACGTGGACTGTCGGTGCTTCTTTCGACTTTTCCTTGCTGGTGGACTCGTCTATTATGCCACTTCCAGTCCGCTTCGAATCTGGTGCGCTCGGCGTCAAGGCCAATTCGAGGGGTGAGAGAATCTCAACAATATGAACTCGAAGGGCTCGTGCAGCTCCGGAGCTGTAATAGATCGCCTTGGGAGTCGATGCCGCAGGCAGCTTGCCTCCATGATGGCATCGGTCCTCGGCTGCGTAGCAAAGACATGTGTAGTTGCTACATCAACCGTTGCTACATCAATCGTTGCTACATCAATCGTTGCTACATCGATCCGGGTCCGGATACTGACTGCCATCCATGACAGTCCAACCAAGGCTGCATAGCAGGCGAAATCACATCATGCACCAGATCACGCAGATCCTCTTGCGCAGTAGCAAGGTGAGCGATACGATGTCCGGAGAAGACCATTGAAGTGTTCTTGTCCTTGTTGGATGGGGTGGCTCTGGCTCCGGCCAGGCTGGCGGGGATGCGGAGCAAGAGGAAGATTCCGGTTCTAGTTGAGTGGATGGTTCACAAGTCTTGGACGACGGCGATGTAGAATGGGTAAGACTCGCTCGGTGGAAAAGTAGTAGATCAAGATCCTGTCCGCTTCCGCTCAGTCGGGCAGATCGGTTGGCATCATGTTCCACAGGATACAGCCTTTCCTTTCGCAAAGTCATATACGGTGAAGATTGAAATCGGACTCTGCAGGTTGAATCCCACCAAGTAGTTCTTGAAGTGCCATACAGACTGTATTACCGCGGTAGTACGGCTGGGCGATGGCAGCGATCACCTTGCTATGTGTTGCATGTGTGCGGGAGCGTAAGGTTAAGAGTTAAGAGAGTTGAGAGGTGAGATGTGAGACCGGTGTCGGTGCAGCTCGGAAGCACCGACCACAGACCACTCCTCCTCTGATGGTAATATGGAAGGGGCGTCTGTCGCTGCTTCCCCAGTACAAGCGTAGAAACCTAGGTTCTTACTCGGAAGGACGTCGATATAGACTTTCGGCTAAAGCGGCATTCGGCTCTAAGCGTTCTCTCATTGGGTCGATCTCGTATCCGAGCCTTGCACCTGGCTGCCCTGACCTCCCATCACACTCACATGGCGGCTATCCACGCCATCACTCAGGTGTCAAGTCGGTAGACGAGTTCTATCTTTGGAGAAAGCCCCGGCAGTCTGCATGGTATCCCGATGCAACCGTGTCCTGCCACTCGCCTTTCAGCCATCATCATGGACAGGCCGCGCGAAGAACTCGCGCCGAGCCAACAAGCTGAATAGATGCTGGCATGCCAGAGAGACCGCGTGCGCATGACCTAAGACCTATCGCTAATAATTGGCATAGCAGTGTCCCCGAGCAGAGCACAAGAGCTCTCCCGATGCCTCAACATCCGCTACCTGTTGCGGGAATCGAGCGAACGAGCACAGAGGTGATCGACGCTCACGGGTCTTTTGCCGCTGAATCCTTACGGTAAAGGTGGCAGACCCGCTAATAAGGACCTTGTACTCTCGCCTATCCGAGGCCTCCGAGAATCTCTGGCCCCTCTTACGAGGGGGTCACAGCCACCTAATAATATTAGCCAAAAAGACCCGCCTACGTAATAATATGAACTTCTTACCTAATTTCTACTATTACTAACATACCTTAGCGTCTATACTACTTTTGTCTATATTTTTATATACCCTAGAGTAAGTAAATAAAAATGCCTACCTTAAAACGCGCCGTAGAGCTGTCGTCGTCGTTACTAGCGCGAAAGAAGCGCGCGTACGCGCTAAAGATTAGTTAGTATATATATAAAGAATAGCGCGTCGAAAGCCTTATAGCTATAATTAAATATAAGCTAGAAAGGCGTAATAAACTAGTAATTCGAGGCGTACTTAGTCGCTATAGAGAGGCCGGGGCTAAATATCTCTACTAATATATACTAGCGCGTCTCTATAGTACGCGTACCTCGCTATTAAAGGTTTAGAGCTATACTAAGTAGTATACTACTACTTTTAGACGTAGTAATTTCGCGTATATAGCGATAGTATACCGTAATATAGACGTACTAGTTAGTAGTAGTACTAATCGGCTAAATTACGTAAAAGAAGAGGCTAAGTAGTCGTAGATTAACCCCTAATTAGCTCTCTATACTTAGAGAGCGATAGTATATAATCTATTCTACCTATAATACTAAAATCCATATAATACGACCGTTTATAGTGCGAATATCTATATCATTATATAGGTGGGTATTTCTCGGCGATATTGTTAGGTGGCTGTGACCCCCTCGTAAGAGGGGCCAGAGATTCTTGGAGGCCTCGGATAATCGCCGTACGCTAAGCCTTGCATCTTCGGGCGACCTGGTCTCTACTTCTACTGAGCACACTGCGAAACGGGAATAACAAAGCTTCGCCAGCGTTGCAGTCTGGCATCATGCTGCAATATGGCTATCGCCGATTCTTCTTCCGAGCGGAGACACGCCGCCCGCCACAACATAGACCATTCTAGTCCATCGATTAGACCATTCCAGCTCATTGATCAAGAGGCCAGGCTACCATCAACTTCGCGAACCTATACCTGACACCCAACCTTCATTGTCACGTGGCCTCCTTTGACCTCTCCGCTGCCGTATAGCTACACCCAGTTCTTGAGGATGCCGCACTTGCGTACTTGAGTACATCGTGTGCATTTGGGTGCACTGCAGCCTTGAACTATCGGCATATACTCGGCCAGACAGGTATTATGTCAGGACCAGATTCACCGACCGAGCGCTTATACCAATTCATATCTGATCCAGGACACAAAGAGAACCTCTCGGGTCGGGTACGAGCAGCCTGCTTGACGTGCAGGCGGAAGAAGATTAAATGCTCGGGCGAATTCAATTGCAGTCCCTGCCGGGAGAAAGGACTCGTTTGCGAGGGACTGCCCGAGCGGAAGCGGCCGTCGAGAGATTCCAGCAGCGCTCTTGCACATGGTCCTGTCCTGTCGGGCAGGGTTGAACGGAAGAAGAAATCCACATCACCGAATAAACCGAGCCCCCAACAGAAGCTGGCGACCGCCTTGGTGTCTGGCGATACTGTCAAGAGCAAGGACTCCGGAGATGCTAGCACTCAGGCAGAGACAGAAGCTACCCTTTCACTTTCTCCAGCACCTCTTGTCGACCCAGTTGCGGAAGCAGACACTACAAATATGCACCTGCGCGGTCCTACAGCAGCTCATGAGGCGGGACTTCGAATACACACGTGGCATCTCAACGACACCGCTCTTGACCCGAACGAACGGGATCCTCTGAGTGCCACGAACACCGATTTCCAAGCCTTCAACCTCTCGCCTTGTGACGCACTGTTCTCTGCCGACGCCGTCCGGTCTCCTTTCAGTTGGACCAATGTCCAGGATGATGGCTGGTGGACAAGTAAGCCTGAAGAAGGCGTCGCCAATCTCACAGCCTCGGTGCCGCCAGATCTGAGCCACCCAAGACCACTAGCGCTCACTCCAGGAGCACGCCCAAGCATGAATGCTCCACACGACATCACGCGGCGACAAACAATCGCATTCCCACTCCAGCCACCCAGCGAACCTCAATATGGTCTCCTCCAGAACCGTAAGCAAATCGCCTTGCAAAAACCCATCCATGGCCTCAACACTGACCAGATGTGCTAGAACATGGCGTCTTCGACGACCTAGCTCTGCTCACAGCAACTCGAACTCCAGGCACGGGCACGGCGCCCCATCTCACGGAATTCTCCTGCTGGTGGGATATCGCGAATCTCGACTTTGCCCAGGCGCATCGGAACCTGCACATGCCACTTCCCGAACACCAGCAGGCGGGAGCTCTGAATTCTGAAATTGCACCGAATAACGTTGCGAGTATCCCTCAGCAGCAATTGAAGCAGCAGCAGAATGCCGCTACGGACTACTTTGGCCCGCTCTGGCCGGATCGAGGCGGCTGAGAAAATCGCACGATTTTGAATCGAGCCACAAACACTTCATTCACCCACCCATGCTTGCTGACATGTCCAAGGGAGCAATCGACAGGTAGCGTGCCCGATACGAGCATGCAAATAATACCCACGGGCCCTGCGACATGCTACGCGATAGAAGCAAGTCGCAACGAGGCAACGAGGGACAGGCAGGCTGCTTAAAGGACGGCAGGGCTTGCTGTTAGACGCTCAAGGAAGGAGCATGCAGGCCCAGAGGACCTGGACTGGTCAACTACCAGTTGGAAAGGAGAGACCAAAATAACGTGGGGAGATGCAGATGGAGCAGGCATGCATGGCCTGCAGCACCAACGGACACAACTCTGTAGCCCATAATACCGGCTCCTTCCTAACTTGGGTAAAAAGCGTTTATACTTTCAGCTAAGCCTGGTTTATTCCGAAGCCAAAAAAAATTATATTCGTTCATAATAAGGCAGTAGCATCATTGAAACATTTCCCAGGCGGCATCAGCAATATTAACTCGTCATTCACGTTCTTCTTCTATTCTTTTTCCGTCGTCCGTCGAGTAGCCGTCGTCCTCGCTTTACGTCTCGACTTTCTCCTTGCGGTCTGCTCGAAATTGCTGCCTTCGTCGCCGTCTGAAGAAGCAGTGCCACTCGCCACAGGAGCCTGTTTTCGCTTCTTCTGTCCCTTCTTGGCCGATCCTGTAGACTTCTCGCCGCCGTTCTCTCGCGGAGCTGCACCGTCATCTCGCGGATCGGCTTCGTCCACGCCCGCGCTGCTCTGCTTGGCCTTCTCCGCCATTCTACTCAAAGCGCTGCCCATCCGCTTCGACCCCTCGACGCGTCTTCTCGCCGCAAACCCTTCCCCCTTCCCAGCGAGGGCGGCATTCGAAGGCCCCGGAGCACCGATTCCCACGGATCCATCAAAGAAAGCCGTGATATTCGACTGCGTGCCCTCGTCCAACCGACGGTTCATGTCCTTGATGACCGGCACCAGCACTTCGTCCGTCCGTTCCTGACTCCAACCGATCGTGGACATGAGAAAGGACCTCAGAGACTGCAGATCCGGCACACCCCACTGGAACGCTTCGGGGTCTGCGTCGACGTCCGGTTGCTGATACGCGAGGTCGACTCTCTGGTCTGGAAAGGTAGATGGAAGGAAGAGCTTAGTAGCGTTCTTGCGGAATTTCTTTCGGAAAGAATTCTTTGCATCCTCGCTTTTGGGGATCTTGTTCATTTGCACTGCTAACCACCATTCCCGGAAGTTATCCAGGTTGCCAAACTCCGAGACGATTTCGACCGCAGTGACGGGTCCGATGCCCGGTAGGCCTTCAGTGTAGTCGGATCCCAAGAGGTGAGCGATGGCAATGAGCTTGTCCCGGGTCAAACCTTCCTTTTCCAGGTCCGAGGTGAGGTAGCATTCCACAAACTTGGCCTGATTGAACATGTTCTTGTAAACACGAGTGCCTCCGAAGAGAAAGCAATCGGAATCGTCCGTCACGATCCCATCTACGAGACCCAATTTGACGAGTGCTGCGCATTGCGCTTCAGCCTCCATCGGTGCTGTAATGTATGGCAGGCCAAAAAGACGGAGCAGGGCCTGACACTCTTGAATCATGATCTGCGTCACCTCGTCGGCGTCTCGGCGATCTTTCTTCTGCTGGTTGCGCAGCTGCTTAAGTTCTTTCTCGTACTCCTGAATGTTCTGGGCGGTAGATTTGTCGTTCAGAGTGCTCGCAAATCGCGCATGCTCCTCAGCCTCGAGCGTCAAAGCACGGAGCATTTCTTCCTCTTCAGGGTCAGAGAAGTCGTCAAAATCTTCTTCTTCCGGTATGCCTTCTTGGGAAACGTGGTCTGCCACAAGCTCGTGATCCTCTTGCCGAGCTGGAGACGAAGGTCCTGCATCTTGCACGGCGGGTTCGGGCGCATCAGGAATGGCAACATCTTCAAATTGCACATCCTCGAAGTCTTCGGGTGAAGGAGATGGACTTGCGTGCTGTCCGCTGCCTTCTTCTGGCACAGCTTCAGGGGTTGCAGAAATTGATGAAGCCTCAGGTGCAGCTGCAGCTACCGGGTCAGCTGCTGGGCTTTGCTGAGGCTGCTCGTCTTCTTTATCACTCTCGCTCCATTCAATCATCTCGTCGTTCTCTTCGGTAAGTCCGCTTTGCTGTATCTCTTGGGGAGCGTTGTTCTCAGACCTTCCGATTTGCGTTGCATCGGGTTTGGACGAAGGTGCTCCAGGATCTCCGTACGGTTCAGCTATTGACGGCTCAGCGCGGACTTCGTCGGCCACGTCCCCCATTTTGATCTCCTCATGTTTGGCGGGTGACTTGGTCTGTTGCAGAGCTTCAGGTTCGTCATCTTCGAGGACAATGATTTCATCGTTTTTGAGGTCCTCCTCGGGTTCATCGGCCTCAAGGTCAATAACATCACTCGTATCAGCTCGCCTGAGAGTGCTTTCGTTCTTTTGCTGAAACTGGAATTGTGCGTTGAACTCGCTCGTCTGTCGTCGATCTTCAATCTCGCTTGCTCGCTGAGCTTGGTAATCTTCTGCAAGGTCAGACGAAAACCAAGGTGGAAGTGGCTGCCCTTCCTTCTTCTTGTCGCCTCTCGAAGCAAGCTCAGGGTTTTCGAATCCACCAGCAGCCTCCTCAGTCCGCTCTTGCATCTTCTTCTTGCCCAGGAGAGATGATCCAAGATCGAGCTTTTCGAAAGGCAAGGGTCCTTTGAAACCGGCTTTCTTCGCAATATCTTCTGAAGTCTTAGCAGAGTGGGCAGGAGGTGGCGGACGTCGCGGATGAGAAGTCCTGCGCTTGTTCTTCCTGCTCTCTGCCAGAGCCGCTTGAAAGTCCATCGTATCCTCCTCAGAATCGCTCTCCTCGGGCTTTTGAGTTGGTACTCCAAATGACGTGACTTCGTGGCTCTCTGGCGCAGCATCGAAAGCACGCTTGTTCACAATGTTGGCAATGGCTCTGCCGCTACCCTTTGGCAGCGGTCTTTGCCCCTCTACTGCCCTCTGCTGAAACACATCAAGCATATCGTTATCCTCGTCATCAGATGCAGGAGGCGCCGTATCAGGCTTGTCCTGTTCCATTGACATAGCAATAGCCTTTCGTAGCTCTTCGTCCTCAGAATTGTCACCCTCACTTTCACCAAACAATTCTTGATTATTGTCTAGTTCTTCCCATTCCTCGTCCCCTTCATCGCTGCTTTGCACAAACAGCGAATTCGAATCCTGAGCTTCCTTGCGCTTCGGCCTGCGTCTAGCGGTCTTCTTTCTCGCACCATAAACCGCCCGCCTTTGATTCAGCAGGTCGTCAGCGATCTGTTCGTTGCGCGTCTTCTGTTTTGGTAGCCGATTGAGACCCTCGATAGGGACGTCTTCGAACTCCTCCTCTTCCGCGTCCTCTTCGTCATCAGCGTGGATCGCCGGCACAGGCTTGTCAATGTCGATGGGTTTCTCCTCTTTGCCTTCGTCTGTGATAACACCCAGAGCCCATCCGCCCTCGACTCCGTCGTTTCGGACAAGAACATACTCCCTACCCTTCTCTCCCGCAATCCGTCCACTGAACTCGGTGTTCTCGAAACCGTTGAGATGCATCAGCCTCTGCGTAAGCTCATTGCGCTCCCTCACTCGCTCGATCTGGAATCTGGAGAACGCCATGCGATCCGGAAACATGCTGTCCAGCTGCTCCTTGGAATGACCCATTCTCAGCCGACTACGCAATCTTGCAGCATTGAGGATATTGTATCGGTCCGAGGCCGGGAGAGACTTGAAGAAGGGACTATCGTAGTCAATCTTGGAAAAGTCGTATACGTTGATATCCTCACCAGCTTCGAATTGTTTCGCATACGCCTGCAGCTCTTCCAGACTCATGACTCTCGGATCATTCGGTCCACCCATCTCACTGAGCGACATGTCCAGCTCGGGGAGATGGTATTGGTCCTTCTTGCGGAATATTCGATTCTGCTGCCGTTCTTGCTGTGTCATCTGCAGTTCGTCCACATACACCAAGCCTTCGTCGGGCACTGTCTCTTCCTGCTCCTGGTGCTCTCGCGACCGATCTCTATCCGCCCGCCTCTGCGCTTCTTCTTCTTCCGCCCTCCGCTGCATCTGCACAGCAAGCAGCTTCCCCGCCGTACGCACCGCGTCATCCCTCCGACCTTCTCTCCTCGCCTTTCTGTTTCGGATGGTCTGCCTCTTCAAAGCCGGCGCTCCGCCATCGAAGACGAACACCGGCTTGATGCCAAAGAACAAAAGCTTGCATATCCGTCGGAAGAAGCCCACGACATGACTGTTTCGCAATGCATTTCCTTCTTTGTCTCGGACGGCTTTGAGGAATTGGTAGATCCAGATACTGGCATCTACGGCGAGGCGTTTACGGTTGAGAGTTTCGATCTTGATGGGTCGCGCGCAGGGCTGCAATACTTGCCAGAGGCCCGTGACACCCATAGCCGAGAGTGAAGCAGAGTATGTATCATGGTCGTGCAATGCCGTCAATGGGGGGTGTATGTTGAGTGGAAGATGCCGGATTGCTATGAGAGTGGATGTCCGAAGTGATGTCACCGGAAACGCCACCCAGACGGGTGAGCACGTGAGAAGAACGAGGGATGGTCAAAGCACGAGCACGAGCAGAGGTGGTCTTCTCCCGATCAATACCCACTTATTAGCAATCCGAACGTGGGAATATCAAATCTAAACACTGCGACCACGTAGTCCATCGAGGTCACGCCCATGGTATCTTAGTTCGTCACCTTTCCGTTCCTGCGCCATGCCATGCATTTCGAATACCCTTTCCCTTCCGATCAAGCAATACCTAAGCCTACTCTTGCACCCTCGAAGCCTTCCTGACCTCGCTGTCTCATGCGTCCACGCTGCTCCATCAAGCCTCTCAGACCTCTCTTCTGCAGGCCAACAACGGAGCTCAGAGCGCCGCTCCAGACCTCCTGGTTCTTCTTCTCAGACTTGCTGCTGAAGCCGCTCTGCCCAAAACCGAGCTCGTTCTCGCTCATACTGGTATCCGTGGCAGCACTCAGCGGTACTCCATCTTCATCCGTGTCCTCCGCGACAGCCTGTCCGGGCCGCATGGTGTTGCGCGTGTTTCGTCCGTTGGACAATTCAGTGTCGATGCGCAAGCCGGTCTTGCGAGGCGTGCCATTGGCCAGAAGACTATCCAGGCCGCCCAGACTATGGGTGCGGACGGGAATGTCTCTATCGGCTATGATTCGACTGCTGCTTGCGAATTGCACGCTGTCTCCGCCTCCTGCGCCCATTGCAGCTGCGTTAAAGATTGCCGCCGCGTTTCGGCCATCCAAGCACATGTGCAGTCGCTCAACTGTCGCTTCGAGGAGCCCGTCGATCTTGTAGGGACGCGCGAGCTGCAGTAGAGAGCAGAAGATCTGCGGTGTAGCCAGATGGTGTGGCGGTGCTGGCAGCGTCGAAGTGTACAGGTAGTGCAGCAATGCATGCAGGGTCGGCGCGGTGTGTGGCAGATAAAGGAGTCTTGGGCGGGTTGCCGGCGGGACGCTTCGAACGTCTGGTATGTCACTACCATGACTGCTGCTACTGTTGTTGGTGAGAGTGGTGCCGCCAGACATGACAGAGGCCCCGGTGATGGTGATACTTGAATTTCGCGACGGGTGGCTGGCTGCGGTCGGCCGAAGCGTTGCGTTGTCGGTCTCATTTGCTGACATGAGCGATTCCCGCAGTAATGTGATGAAGTGAGGCCCCCATCGCTTGGTGATCAGCCGCGAATTAACAGGGACTCTGGTACCGTCGATTGCGAGGAAGTCCATATCGGCCAACTCGCGGACACTCAAAGCTAGAGCGCCGATATCTTCTGCAGCTGAGCATAGTAGTCTGACAAATCCGTTGTCGTCTTTGTTGACTTGCGAAGGAATTGCGCTCGCCGAGACGAAGTCCGAAGTCGGTTCCGCCATCGTAGGATTCTCGTATAGCCCAAACGCTTCAAGCTCCACGATACAGATATTGGAGAAGTTGATGCGACGGTTGTTGTAATCGTCGACAAGGCTGCGATTACGATTGCCAAGGATCACGAAGGAATTACGCCGAGTCCACAAAACACCGCGGTTCCAGCTGCCTTGACTAAAGATGCTACCGCCGGCGTCGACGCGGCTCCATGTCAGCGTTCGCAAGTCAAGCGCCCAAAGCGCATACTCCTGCTTGGATGATGTTAGGAAGGTGCCAGAGACGACGAAATGATTGTCGATCACACCGCCGTTGGGAAAGCGAAGCCCGGGCGGCGAGACAGCGGTCTGCATGGGCTTCTCTGTGAGCGTACCGTCCGTCAAGCGCACCTGCAGCTCGAGCTTGACGTCGAGGAAGTTGTAGTTGGAGTAGATCAGCATGGGAGAGCCAGATCCAACGACGCTGGGTTCCTCCTCTTCGTCGTCCACGTCACGCTGCGCATGAGGACCAGCACCGATCTGAGCTGCGCTCATGGTAGTCAATGGGGTGACGACGCTGCGATAAGCACCGCAGCTGCGCCCCATGCCAGTGGTTCCAGTCCACTTCAGACTCCGCAAGTTGAAGATGCTCACTTGCTCAATGTAATGGTTGGCACTGTCTTGACCACCCACCACCACCATCTCCGCGCCTCCTGCGCCATCGATGGAGACACCGAGAGAGCCCTGGTTTGGTTGAGCTCCCGCAGGATTATGATGGACAGCCGACATGGGCGCATTTGCCGAAGAGAAGACGGCAGATGATGGTAGGATGGCAGCGCAATGGGCGTAACGACCCTGAGGAGCATCCGACGTATTGAGCTTCGTCCATGTCTGGGAAGGCACATCGTAGATGTGGATGTCCGACATGACAACTACTTCCGGTTGCGCTTCTGCGCTCATCTCGATGACAGGAGCCGGGGACATGCCACCGTAGCATACCAGCTTCGTGTCTCCCAACGCACACACGGTGTGGAAGTACCGAGGCGAAGGAATGTCGCCTTTCGTCTCCAACTTCGTCCAGTGGCGTCTGATGAGATCCAGCTCGTACAGGTTGGCAGTAAGCTGTGGCTTCGATCTCGAAAGTCGCCGGCCTCCAAACACATACAACTTGTCGCCAAGCACCGTGGTCGTCGCGCCTACGAGCGGATGCGGTTCTTTGCCCGTCGTGCAGTGAACGTTGCAGACGAGACCAGAAAGATTTGAAGTGCTGGCTCCGGAAGATTGAGTGGGGTCTTGTGGAGTCATGATGCCAGCAGCCTGCGACGGTGTCTGTGATCTTGCGTGAGCCTCATCTTCTGCAGTTGACTCTGCTTCGCTTGCCGACTCGTAGTCGGAACGAAGTCCCAAAAGGCTAGTCTGGCTGCTGTAGGCACTCAGATTTGAATTAGACTGATTGTCGCTGCGACTCGTATACAATCGGTCCGGAGAGGGACGAGACGTCTGGGAGTCCATGGTGTTGGCTCTGCTCGATTCCGAAGTTGTTTGAGACATGTCGACTGGTGATAGCTTGCTGGTAGAAACAAATGGATCGAATGGAGGCTTTATCCAAGATGATGGGGGCGGCGAGCGGTCCTTGAGAGTTGGGTTCGCCCAATCTGGAATCTTTATTTCCACATGCCTCGGCGTGGAACGAGCGCTGTCAGGATGCAAGTCGTAGGATGACACAAAGCTGGAGAGCGGAGAGTCGAGTTCGGTCGGCGAATATGTCAAGAATGATCCAGAGTTGGGTGCGATAAGCGCCTTGGGCACGTACGAATATTCGTCCGGTATTACGATAGGGACGTATTTCGGTCGTCCTGTGGAAATCGGCGACGTGCGCGAAAAGTCGAAGGAGTCGTGTGGTGAGCGACTGAGGCCTGTGGATGGAGATGCTGCGCGAGGAATGTCAAGAGGTTGCGTGACCGGCGCGGTGCCGCTGGTCTTGGGCCTATCCTTTGTGACCCAGGATCTCGAGGACAAGGCGAGCGGGATCTTGCGGCTGGACTTGGACTTCTTCTGCGACTTGTCTGCTTCACTAGATGCACTCGAGCGGGGGTCGGCAGATGTAGCGGATGCCTTGGAGTGCTTCTTCGGTCTGACGCTGTCGTCTACCGTGGCGAGCGCAGGACATGCGATGACGCCTAGGGGAAACGACATCTGTGGTCAGCCGAAGGTCAAAATGCTCAGTGAACGGAGAATTGTGTTAAGAATGTGGTGGAGCCGCGGGCAGAGCGATGCAGCGCAGAGGGAGAGGGAGAAGGGACGGGGGGAACAGAGGGCATGGGAAATTCGCATGCGAACCAGATCCAAGTAATCTTTTCTCTGGCAATGGCAACGTCTGGGCGGCGCGGCCGCGCTGCTGGGGCGGCTCCGTGCGGGTTTCGGAGGGCATCCTGATGATGCTGCTAGTAGCTACGGGAGCAGTGTTTGACGTCCGTGTATGCAGGTGTCCTGCTGTGCCATGCTGCCGGATGTTTTGCAGCGCGTTTGTCCCTCGCGGCAGTGGCAGACGCAGACCAGGACCAGAACCAGAAGCAGGACCAGGACGGCGATCGGAGGCGAGATTTGGGGGGGTCCCAGGATGGCGCGCCCAGGAGGGCAATGGCAATGACAATGGCAATATCGATGACAATGGCAATGAGAGGTGCTCACCTTGGAAGAGTGGTCGTGGCGCTGCGGATGCGGGAGTGGGTGAGGTGGATGTGGGTGTGGGTGTGGGAGTGCGTGCAGATGGACCGGGAAAGCAGCTCGGTCGACAGATGACGGATGTGGTTTAGCGCCGCGAAAGGAAAGCTGATGAAGGAAGGAACTGGAAAGGAAAGGGCACACAAACGCCAAGCAATGCCAGGGTCGCGCCTGCTCTCCACTCTCTACAGTACAGTAGTGCAGCTGTGCCTTCCGTCTTGTGTCTGTTCCACGCTCTCGGGAGCTGCCCGTCGCGCCTGTCTCTCCCGTCCCACCCAGCCATCCCAGTCCCTTCTCGTCAGCCCTTCACACCTTCTCTCAGACATACATGTGTACATACTGGCGATCATTCACACGCAGAAGCCGATCATCTAAAAACATACCGGTAGCTACGAACAGCGACGACTTCCGACTTCTGGAAGCTTTCGCTATGCATCCACATAACGCCTGAAATGCTCCATCGCATTGTGCCCCGCCGGCTGCAGGCAGCAGTTCATCCATATTCGTCAACTCTGCTCATCGGCTGCGTCCTGCCGCCGCCCGTCCAACCATGATCGTGCTCTTTCGCCTACCCACAGTGTACCTACTGGCGAGGAGATTGCTCTGCGGCACAGACGCCACGCTCGTGCGACAATACCGCGTGTACCTCTCCAGGTCATATCCGCGAGTGGGGTCCCTCATCAGGCGGGGAGGTTGGCTGCACATACGAGCAAGCGAGCGAGATGCAGCCATTCGTCTCATCATATTGTTAATCTAATCCTACCGGATCTCTCAGAAGTGCATCCGGGTCATGCCATGCTTAGCCTGACGTTGCTGCAGCCCGGTTCGCAAACGGCAACGGTGGCTCATCATGGCACAGATGGGCAAGCCATCTCCAGATTGTGGCATCTTTCTGTGCCGCAACAGATTGGCAAACACCTTCTCGCCTCGCCATGGGAACGTGAGAACGCTGATTGCCATGTTTCACCCTCTCCATTCGGGACGACTTCCGAACTGGACATCAGCAGAGATGGATCCATCCTGGTGAAACATGACGTTTTCATCTCGTGGGGATGGCGCCCGTCACCATGTGGTACAGTATTTCGCCAGAAGCCTACCACGGCGCCGCTGAAACTTACATAGAGCATATTTATATCACTCATCACGCGCACGTCCGATAACTGGCACAGTCGCTTTTCGTTCAAACATGATCGTTTCATCCCGAATCGCCAAATGTTAAAGCAGCGCGCTCGATCGCACAAAACAGCTTATGCCAGCCCTGATCTGAACTCCACTAATATCCAGTATCCGTCACCGGTCTCCCCCACTCAGCCTCCCAGGCTTGCCTGAAGATCATATCGATTCAGACAGCGGCAGAAGTCTCCTCCTTTGGCAGAGGAGTGAATCGCAAGTATGGCTTCACGACCTGCATCTTGGGGAACAGCTTCTCTGCCTCCGGGCTCTTGACGCTTGGGTGGACGATAACATCATCGCCAGGAACCCAGTTGATCGGGGTAGTGACCTTGTGCTTGTCGCCGGTCTGGAGAGAGTCGACAACGCGCAGGACTTCGGCGGTGTTGCGGCCGGTCGAGGCTGGGTAGGACAGAATCAGGCGGATCGTCTTCTTGGGGTCGATGACGAAGACTTCAAGCCGTAGATAGAGGTAAGCAGGTGTCTCAGACAGGAAGAGCTGTTTTCCACATATTACGGTGACGTACCACTGCGGATGGTGAAGGCGATGCCCTTCTGGTCGACGTTCGTGGCATCCTGGTGGTCGATCCTGAAGAGGCACGCATTGTCAGCTCATCCTTGGCCGTGGAAACCTAGCGGCAGCGCTACTTACATGTCGTAGGCGAGAGCGACCTTGCGCTCCTTGTCACCGATGATGGGGAAGCGCAGCTTGCTGCCAGAGATCTCGTCAATGTCCTTGATCCAGCCGCCATGGCTCTCGATGGTGTTTGCGCTGAGGCCGATGAGCTTGACGCCGCGCTTGGTGAACTCAGGCTCCAGCTTCGCGAATGCGCCGAGCTCAGTGGTACAGACTGGAGTGTAGTCCTCTGGGTGGGAGAACAGGACAACCCAGTTGTCGCCGATGAACTCGTGGAAGTTGATGGGTCCGTTGGTAGTCTCGGCGTCGAAGTTGGGCGCGACAGTGCCGAGACGGAGAGGCTCTGGACGACCGGTGGAACCCATGGTTACTGCTGTGACTTTTTGATGGGTGTTGTGAAGAGGATGGACGGAGGATATGTGTGTGGACGAAAGCGTTGGTGGGAGAAGTGTTTGCTGGGAGCTGTTCGTTGTATGTTTTGGCCGTACCCCGCGATGAGCCTGCAGGCACAAAATCTTTCACCCCACCAGTGCACGAATATTTAAGCTCGATGACACCATCTCGCGCATACGACCGTCAAAGACCGCGCATAAAGGCCATAGGCCACTACAGGCACAAAGGCCACTGCCAAGCACCAACCTGCTCATCATTGATTGTTACTCGCCATCGCAAGCTCCGGTACAGTACCGGCACCTTACTTTGTGCTGGAAAAGACGCAGGGGAAGGAGCGCCATCCTCACCTGTGAGACGTGGCCTTGCATGTCCGCGTGCTACCAACGTCTTCACCCGGTACAGCTGTCTTCAATAGGACTCCAATGGCCTCTAGCAATCGGCGGTCAACATTCCAATGTCTCCTGCTGAAGCAAGGGATGTCGGCTGCTCAGCAACGCAGCTCATCGCGACCTCGTTCAGAAAGAGCCTCACTAATACCAGGACGTCAGCATGCTCTCCGTCATCCATGGCCACAGTTGCTGAGGACGATGCGACTGCTAAGCGATGAACATACACACCTTTGACCGCATCCGTCAGCTTTGCTGCAAGCCGTGGAGGGAGGATCCAACACTCCTGGACAAAACTCGGCCGAATTTCACCCATGGGCGCATTCTGGCCAATCACAAGCCAAGAGAAAATCATTCACTTGTATGCACGGGCCATTTTTCGCCTCTCGTGCGGGCTAGCAATCGTCTTCGGCAGCGCGGTGGTGGGGAAGGACCCCAAAAGCTTGTCTTTCTCCTGACGCAATGGTAGAAAACGCAATTGCGGAAAAATTGAACACCACCGTGGTACGGAAACGATGCCATGTGATAAAAGATACGTGGCGCTGGAGGCGGCAAAAGACAGAGGAGCCGAGGCCACACCCGTGAGATGGTCGAGTCTGAACAGGTGGACCTGTAGGGCGTGGAGAAAAAATATCAGCAACTGCGCCAAGTGGCGCGTCTTGTGATCGACATGGACGCATTTAGTAGAAGTGAACGCCTATCGCCTTTTTGCGTAAGTTCAGACTTCTTCACTTTGGTTCCTGTTCACTTTTATTACTACTTCGCAAGGAGTTCCTTCTCCACATCTGGTGCTGGACACCAGTGCCGTAGGGACGAATGGCAGACCCAGAGGTGGAGCTGCCTCAGGATCCCTCTGAAGACATGAATTCACAATCAAATCCCGAAATCATAAGAGAAGAGCTGGCAAGACAACCTAAGGACGACTCGTCGAGCAGCCTTGCTCAGGAGGGGACTATTGGACCAGCCGACGAGATTGTGTGGCACTACCTCACATTCGAAACCGAGCTGCCGTCGCTGGCATACCTCTCGCAACTGCCTTCGAGCCAGCGAGATGAGAATCGAAGTCCGCCTCCGGAATGCCCCAATCTCAAGAAATATGGCTCGCCCTTCCTGTGGCCGGAAAAGAGCAAGAGCATCATCATGTATCTTTCATGCATCGCTACGGCTTTCACGGCGTACAATGCTGGCGCGTATTCCTCCGGTCTAGATCAGATGACGGAGGAATGGCACATCTCCCGGGTGGCGGGCCTGGTCGGTATCACGACTTTCACCTGCGGATTTGGAGTGGCGCCCATGTTTCTTGCACCATTCAGCGAGATCAATGGGAGGAGGCCTGTCTTCGTCGTCACGGGCTTGCTCTGGGTGGTCTTCCAGATTGTCTGTGCGGTAACGCCGACGTTCGCGGGTGAGCTCGTGGCGAGATTCCTCGCGGGCTGTATGAGCAGTACCTTCAGCACCATGGTTGGCGGTGTTGTGAGCGACATCTACCATGCCAAAGAAAGGAATGCCGCAATGGCACTGTTCTCTGGTTCCGCCATGTTCGGAACTGGATTCGGACCTCTTATCAGTGGATTCCTTGCCATGCATACGACCTGGAGATGGATCTTCTACCTCCAAGTAATCGTCGACGGCGTCATCATGATTTTCGTCTTCTTCTTTTTCAAGGAAACCCGAGGCTCCGTCCTGCTATCACGCAAAGCCAAAGCTCTCAATCAATACTACGACCGTCTCGAAGGAGCGGGCTACTACGGCCACATGATGCGCACCGACGCGGAAAAACACACCTCCACACCCACAACAACAACAACAACACCCCAACGTATCCGATGGAAATGCAAATCCGACGAAGAGCGCAGCTCCCTCCTCACGATGATCCGCATCTCCCTCTACCGCCCGTTCCACATGCTCCTCACCGAACCCGTCGTCTTCGTCTTCTCCCTCTGGATCTCCTTCTCCTGGGCCGTCCTCTACATGACCTTCTCCGCCATCCCCCTCATCTACGAAACCACGTACGCCTTCGACCTCGCGCAGACCGGCTGCGTCTTCGCCGCCATCAGCATCGCCAGCCTCCTCTTCATCCCCGTCTCCATCTACCAGGACAAACTCGCCCTGGCATACCTCGGCCCGAAACAGCGGCACATCCTCACCACGCCCGAGGGCAGGCTGTACTTCGCGTGCCTCGAATCCGCGCTCCTTCCCCTGGGATGCATCTGGTTCTGCGTCGCGGGCGCTTACCCCGACGTCCCCTGGATCGTGCCCACACTGGGCATCGCCTGCGCCACGATGGGCGTCTTTAGCGTCTATCTCGCCGTCTTCAACTATCTCGCCGACGCGTATCATCGGTACGCGAGCAGCGCTCTGGCCGCGCAGAGCTTCTGTCGGAACCTGCTCGCCGGGGCGTTTCCCTTGTAAGTCGGAATCCGAAAAACTCTCACGTCACGTCACAGTCGCGTTTACGACTTTTGTTCCTTCGCGATGCTTCGAGACTAACCCATCCCTCTCTCCCTCACTCAACAGATTCACGACCCCAATGTTCACCACCCTGACCTTCCAAGGCGCAGGCGGCTTCCTCGGCGGCATGGGCTTCCTGCTCACCACGGTCCCCTGGGTCCTGCTCCTCTTCGGCCCCCAAATCAGAGCAAAGAGCAAATTGGCGAGTGAGATTATGGAAAAAGTGGTATAGACAGATAATCAAATCATTCGACAGCGGTTCAACAAGCGTGCAAGAAAGGAAGGATAGAGATTAAGAAGAAAGCTATCTTTGCTATGCTATGGCATGGCATGGTGTAGAAAATGACAACCATGGGCGGCAGAAAAAACCAAAACACAATATCTCATACTACAGCATGCATGCCATGGATCGATCGATGAATCCCCTGAAAATATCACGCCCAACCAAAAGGAAATCCCCTCCGCACCGGTGCGGTTCAGACGACTCTGCTCCGCTTCTTGGACGCCGCAGTCGAAGCAGAAGCAGAAGACGCAGACGCTTTTCGTTTCCCCGCCCGCACGTTGCCGCCATCATCATCCGATGCGAGAGCTTCTCGTTCCGAGTCAAGCAGCGGCAGCTCCCACATATTGAAGCGCGTGGCCGCCGCCGGAGCCTTGCCCTTCGCCGCCGCCACCGAAGACGGCCGACTCTGCTGCTTCGAAGCCGCACCAAGGAGATTTCCAATCGTGCTGGTGACGCCGCCAACGGCATTCGACATGGTCTCCAAGACACCGCCGCCGCCGCCGCCGCCACTGCGTCGGGAAGGATTTTTTCGCTCGGCTTGCATTTCTTCATGACCTAGTGAGAGCAAAACACGTCAGTAACCGGATTTGGGAAGCCATGGTGCTTGCCGCAGACAGAGAAAGACCTACTCCGGTTCAGATCCTCGTTGATCTGGTCACTATACATCTCCGCCATGCGTTTGGTCTCGCCGAAGGGGAAGATGGGCGGCATACGGCGATGCCAGATTTCCGATGCGGGCATCGTTTCGAAGAAGGGGTTCTTGCGGTCGGTGTCGTGTCCATTGGCATCGGGGATGAATTCTGGGTTGGTGTAGGAGCGTACGTGGCCGCGGCCTGGAGCGGAGGGACGGCCAAAGGGGAGGTGAGCCGGAGCGGAGACGGCAGAAGGTTTCTTGGTGCCTCGTGTTTGCGCTGGAGGGAGACGTTCGATCTCTTCCTCTTCCTCGTAGTCGTCGAGTGGTTCGGTCGTCTTTCGTGGACGACCGGGTTTCCGGGCGCTTGAAGTGGCTGGCGTGGAAGCAGCACGAGCCGTAGCAGACCTTGGGGTCACTTTCGATCTCTGCGAAGGGAAGGCGATATGGTGTGCTTCGTGGGTGATGTTGCCATGGTTGACAAGCGGGGCATTCTCATAAATGTCGTAGGAGTCGTCCAGCTCGCTGTTGCCAAACTGCTGGATGTCTTCTTCGTCCAGGTCAGCTTGTCTTCTCGCTGTGCTGCTGCTGGCTTTGCGTCCCGGAGCTTTGGGCGACGATCTCGCAGGACTAGCTCTGCTGGACAAGCTGGTCTGGCGAGCCGGGCTCAGGACAGGGGTCTTGCCCAGCTTCTTAGGACTCTTCGAAGGGCTCTTCGCTGGAGCAGTCTTCCGGGCCGCGCTCTTGGATGCTGCGCGGCCCGTTTGCTTGGCAGGACTCTTGCTGCGAGCTGGCGAGCGTTCAATCGATTGGACGACTTCCTCTTCCTCTTCTTTCTCTTCCTCGTATTCTTCCTCCTCAATCTGGACCTTCTTCGGACGACCTCGACCGCGCTTGGGCGCAACAGCCTTTGCCGGGCTGGCGGAGTTCTTGGTGCTCTTCGTCACTTTGGCAGGAGACTTTCTAGCAGGCGACTTCTTGGCCGGACTAGCGCGTGTGGTCTTCGTCATGGCTTTTGCAGGAGATGCGGCCTTCTTTGCCGGACTCTTGGTGCTCCTCGATGTAGTTGCCTCGGCCTTCTTCGCAGAGGGAGTTGTCTGGCGCGTGGATGATCTGGTAATTGCCGCCGGAAGTGGAGAAGCAGAGGCCTTGGATAGCCCTTTGACTGGCGATTCCGATTTCTTTCTTGCCATTGTATGTGGTGTTGGGATAAGAGGAACAAGTGGGCGCAAACTTGCTCGGGCGAGACTTGCAGGTGTTTGCGGGTCGTAAACAAAGGAGGTGCACCGTAATTTCACAATGGAATGCTGGCATGCAACTTACCGTTCGCATCGAACCTGGCTACAGAGACCTCACCTCCGTTTGCGCTGCATGTTGCCGCGACGCCGCAAGAGCAGTAAGTCGGCGGCTTCAACAGTCCGAAGCTGGCAAGACCTCGTGAGACGTGGCCACTGTTGATCCTGAGTGTAGCCATACTGTAGATATGTTCTTCTTCACCGTGAGGGCAACAAGGACGGGTACTGCGTGCATTGAGCTGGTCTCGAGCCACGGGCCAAGCAGCAGAACCTCACGTCCCCATAGGTCGGTCCACTGCAAGCCTCCGCGGTGCTCATCACTGCTTGCTCTTGCTTGTTTGCTGTTCATAGTACATCGCATGAAGAAGTACGCTTCGATGGTAGGTCGTGTGTGCGGCGCGCATGACGAATCGAGGGCGTTGTCCGTCAGGTCAAGCAGGATACGAGGACGCCAGAGAGCTTCATCTCCGATAGAAGGACGCAGCAGGTTTACTGGGCGAAGCGGCATGAGCGGAGCAGAGGATACTTTATTGTCAGTGAGTCGTGCATTATTGCATGTGGGAGATCTCACCTCAGCTGGCCGCGTTGGGCAGGAGGAAGAAGATCACGTGGACGGGGAAACGTTTCTCCGCGCGGATCTCGCAGCTTCCACCAAGCGGCGGCGGGGATCGTCAGCGCGGTGTCGATTGCTGCACACTGGATCGAACTTGGAATTGACGGGGACGGAGTGTGGAGGGAAGTAGTAGTGAGGGAGGAGCAGATGACCTGCCGCGCCGCATAGGCGGCAACCCCGACTCTTACATTATTCTTGCTGGGCACACGACCTCCAGCTAACTGTGTCTTGTGTGTATCTCTCCAGTGTCACTCCCGTCGACCTCCAAACTTTTCAGGCAGGGATGCCACCCGACGCTCTCTCTAGCTTTCTGAGTAAATCTGCTGTAATTAGGAGCCAATCAACGTGCGCTGTCACACGTTGAGCTGGCCGCCAGCCCTAATAAGGGTAGATCTTCACATCGTCACATCACGTGTAGCCAAGAGGAAGGAGGGATTTGATTTGAGCGACACGCACAACCACAGCACAGGACGCAGCGCCTGACTCGGAGGGGAGAGTAGCACACGACTCGCTTTTCCAACATGATAATATCACACGAGTCCATACCATACTGCATGACTTCTCGCTGCCCTTCGCCAAGTCGTACTCTTGGCACTGTAACGCGGCCCTGACTTCACTCTCCATCTCCACCATCGTCAAACTCGCAGTCCCGCCGAGGTCTCCAGCTTTTGCAGCTGCGAGCGGAGCAGTGGAGGTACAGTACGAGACACACGCACCACGCACAGCACGCGACCCTCGTGACTCCCGACAACATGTGCTCCGTGGTGCCGAGTTGCCGCATGCGACTCCGCTCGTGCTGCCTCTGCCTCCCCTCCATTGGCCCATCCCCCCCCAAACCTACTCGCATAATATATTACCAAACGACCTCTTCATGCAGACGGCGCGGCATCATTGTTGCTAACTTTGACCGTCAGGCCCTTGACGTGGCCCTTGGATATACGCAGGAACGATCTGCAGGCTGCCTATAAGATAAATCTTCCTCCCACATGATGATGGAAGCAGTGAGGTAGGGTCTCCGTCCTGCGAATACCGCATCTCCCCAAATGCGCTTCTCATCGCTTCTCGTGGCAGGTACGGCCACTTTGGCCTCTGCTCAATCTTCCACCTTCTCTCCACTTCGCCCTCCAGCCATCCCACTAGCCGTCAAGAGCCCTTACCTGAGTACATGGCAGCAGGCGGGTTCTGATGGAGGTAACGGAGGCTATCTTCCGGGAGAATGGCCAACCTTTTGGCAGGGCCAAGTCACGGGGTGGTGCGGTGAGAAGGAGAAAGCATTCCACTACCGTCCGACAATGAGCTCACTCTCCTAGGAATGATCCGCGTCGACAATGCCACATACACTTGGATGGGCAATCCTGCGAATACCAAGAGCTACGCGAACCAGACAGCCTTTTCTTACACATCCACCCAATCCATCTTCACCCTGTCTGCTGGACCCGTCCAAATGGTTGTCACCTTCCTTTCCGGCGTCACACCAAACGATCTCCTGCGCTCTTCTCTGCCTTACTCATACATGAACGTGGACGTCAAATCACTCGATGGCAAGACCCACAGTGTTCAATTGTACACCGACATTTCTGCAGAATGGGTTTCTGGTGACCACGGTGCTACAGCGCAATGGAGCTACGGCACTATCACGGGAGATTCCAGTCCAAAGTCCGTCGCTCAGCCTTCTAGTGCGCAGTCAACGGCAGCCACGCCGACCGTTTATGGTACCCGTACTGCATACAATGTTCCGGAGGAGGTCACGCACACGAACGTTCCATTCCACGCCGACAGTCAAGGGTATAGGCCAAGCGATGCAGACTACCAGGCACATCCGACGTATTCTCCAGTGCCGATCCAGAATCTGGCCGCCACAAGCGGCATCTCGTATCATAAGGTATACAGGCAACAGCAGCTTCAGTTCTCTGAGACCAACCAGCAGGCCGATTGGGGATATTGGTGGGGTTTACAAATGTCTGAGCGTTGAATGATGTGCTGATCGCGCTATTTGTAGGTACTGGGCGACGAAGTCCTCGGCTCAGCTCACGCATCAATCCGGCGCAGATAACACCGTCCGCGGCAACTTCATGGCGTCAGGTATGATTTCAAAGGCTGCCTTGAATCCATTTGCAGTAGCGTCTGACATCATGCGTCTTGACAGGCCACCTTCCGAACACGAACGATACCAACTATCGTGCGATCAACAACGACTACCCAGTCTTCGGATTCGCTTCCAACCTGGGCAGTGTTGGTTCGACCACGCAGAGCGTCCTCTACCAACTCAGTCTTCACCAGCAGAATTGCATCCAGTTTGAAGGCCAGCTGAATACCGTGTCAAGCCTGCCATGCATGTGGACGAACTACTTCTCGACCGACACCGACGCCGTGAACTACTTCTACAACGACTACAGCACCGCCACCTCGTTAGCCAACAGCCTGGACTCCAAGATCGCTAGCGACTCCAACTCCGCCGGTGGATCAGACTACAACTCCATCACCGCTCTCGCGACCCGCCAAGCCTTCGGAGCGCTCGAATACACCAACACGCCCACCCAACCCCTAATCTTCCTGAAAGAAATCAGCTCCGACGGAAACGTCAACACCGTGGATGTGATCTTTCCCTTCCATCCCATCGCCATCTACATGAACGCCACCATCCTCAAATACGTTCTCGATCCGCTCTTCATCAATCAGGAGAATGGCAACTGGCCGTACGCATACAGCATCCACGACATCGGAAGCAGCTATCCAAACGCCACGGGACACAACGATGGAAACGACGAATCGCAACCGCTGGAAGAGTGTGGTGATATGCTGATCATGACCCTTGCCTACGCACAGCGAGCGAACGATAATGCCTATCTCACCCAGCACTACGCGATCCTCAAGCAGTGGACTGGATACTTGGTGCAGGAAGCTCTGATCCCCGCAAACCAGGTATGAAGCCCCCTCCCTACACAACGCACCATCTCTCCATCTAACGATCCAATCTCCTCCACACAGATCTCCACCGACGACTTCGCGGGCGCCGCACCAAACCAGACCAACCTCGCCATCAAAGGCATCATCGGCATCGAAGCCATGGCCCAGATCGCCAACCGCACGGGCCACACCACCGACGGACAAAACTACACCAAGATCGCCCACGACTACATCACCAAATGGCAAGGCTACGCCGTCAACAGCAACGCCACCCCTCCCCACACCACGTTCAACTACAACAACGCTTCCTCCTTCTCCCTCCTCTACAACATCTTCGGAGACATGGAACTCGGGCTGCAGCTGGTGCCGCAGAGCATCTACGACATGCAGAGCACGTTTTACAACACCAAGTTCAACACCTACGGCGTTCCGTTGGATTCGAGACATTCCTATACCAAAGGTAACTTGTTCCCCAATCGACGGCTAATCCATGGAATTGGAAAGCTGATTGATCTTTGTGACAGGTGACTGGGAAATCTGGTGCGCCTCGGTGGCTTCCAGCGCCGTCAAGTCGAAATTCATCTCGACGATTGCCAACTGGTTGAATGTCACGCCTACGAATTTCGCTTTTACGGATTGGTATGATACGATCAGTGGAGAGTGAGTTTACCCCCGTGCCCTTCTCTTGCTCGATTTACCTCCTACTTCCTCTTCATCTGAGCTGACGTGACACCTCTCTTTCTTTCTTGCGATATAGCTATCCTTCCAGTCCCTTCATCGCTCGTCCGGTCGTGGGGGGTATGTATGCTCCTCTGGCGTTGAACAGCAAGCCGAGCAGTGGGTATGTGGATCCCTCGTGATTTTGAGCAGGAGGAAAATGATGATGATGTGTGTATACTTTGGATGTGATGAGTATATGACGATATAGATTCGGTTGTGTAGATGATGTAGAAATGAAGTTCGCTACCTTGAGCGGAGAATGTCGAAAGCTGAACGTCACGCCGGTGACATGATGCGAGTCTGGTGAGGGACTGTACTTATGACTATGTCGGGTAATGACCCGCATGTCGGCATCGTACCGTCTGCTTTTCCGGCCGACACAGCCTCTTCGAGCATTGATCGGAAATCCTTGGGCACCACTTCCAGGATGCGCAATTCTATTGCTCCATAGAGGTGTGAGTTACCATTGGAAAGGCCGTGGGTTTTCCAGTGTCCCAACGCCACTTACTTTGTATACAGATCCGCGTGTGTAAATTTCACCCTTGGTTTGTTTGCCTTTTTGGACTCCCTGCCTATCAAGAAACGAAACGGTCTTGGCTTCGTCAGCCAGCCATGGGATTGCAGCCGGCGGCGTGTCCTGGATTGACTGTAGAGGACTTTGGTCTTCTTCTTCTTCTTCTTCTTCTTCTTGCTCTGGTCGTCTGAGTCATCTGAGTGAGTCGATCGGGGTTCGGGGTCGCGTCTACCTGTCTGTGGGTGGGCAGATAAGGTAGCGCACCGACGAAGCAGGCGGTCCGAACGTTGCGTCCATTGCCTGTCTGGAGCCAGAAGTTGTTGCCGGCTGGTGCTTGTCGACAGGAGTCGCCATGGAGGGTCGCACTCCTGGCGTAAACTTGCAATTAAGATATACTTATACATGTCGAAGAAAGAGATTCTAGATAGTAATAGACTGTATCCAAAAGCCTCGAAGAGGTAATAATAGAGTCTTCTCTACTAGATCGTCAAATGCGACGTCGCTATCGCTAGAAGTTCTAGTAGAGGCCTACTCCGGGAGTGTTCAGCGACCGCACGTGACTACCCCACACTCCGACGACGCCCGGAATCGCCTAGCGCCGTGCAAGCCAAGCCAAGCCGACTGTATCGTACATCTTTCAACGCCCCGCAATCAATCAACCCCTGCCCAAAAAAAGAACCACATAACAAGAGAAGTACGAAGAAAAAAAAGAAATCTTCTTGGCAGACTCGAACTGCCTCATCTCCGACCGAGAGGCTCGAACTCTCAACCTTGAGATACTCTTTCTGGGCCTATGGGAAGGCTTTTAAAAGTCTCACGCGCTAGCCAATTGTGCCAGGCCGGATGATTGGTCGGAATCTGGGGCGGGATAATATATGTAACTAGGAATTAAGGGGCGCGGAAAGATCCTTGCATGATCCGCAGTGTCACTTTCTTCAGATGCCGTGTGCTCAAGGGCGAATCAACAGACACGGGGAGGAGCACAAGCACTTCTTGGAAAGAAAAAGAAAAAAAAAATCTAATCGATAGATCTTCATCCCTTTTCAATCTCAATCTCATTCACATTCTCATTCACATTCTCACTCTCACTCTCACGTCTACATCTTCCACAAGCACACTCAAACCCCCAGACCTCCCTCAACCTCCGCCGCCTCTCCACCGCATCCAATTCCCTCTCCTCCCCGCCCAGATACGTAATACAACACTCCTCCCCCTCGGCGAGATCCCGCGCGGCCTCAAAAACCCACTCCCGCCCCACTCGCTTCTTGGTGACGTTCGGAGCGCAGGAATGGTTGAAGAAGCTCGCCGAGGGGTAGACGCCGTAGCCCATGTATTCCTCCGCCTCCTCGGCGGCGCGGATGCCGAAGGCGTTGTGGTTGTCGGCTTGCGGCATTGCGCGGCAGAGCGTGGGCGTGCAGGGCGCGAGGAGGGAGGGCGGGAGCAGCGTGAGGAGGCGTAGGTAGGCGAGGCAGGCGAGCGAGAGGTCCCGGGGGGAGTTGTAGGGAGTGGCATCTTGCGCGAGAGACAGGACTTCCGTTTCCCACTTTTCGGGATTTCGAGTCTGGGATAATACGCCGGAGAGGAAATAGGCTGGGAGATCCGCATCTTGCGGTCCGGAGGCTATTCTTTCCAGGATACTGCGTAGCAATCTCTTGGATGCTTTATTCTCGCTCTTCTTCTTCGCCTCTCCTTCTTCTCCCACGACGAACAAGCGACTCCTCTTCAGCACCTCCCCCAATTTCTCCACTTCCCGCCATGCGATCTCCACCTCTTCCACGCCAGGCCTCCCCCCGGCGTCAACATCACCCCCCATCACCTCATCCCCATCGCCATTCCCCTTCCTCCCATGATGATGATGCCCCATCTTCAAACCCCTCCACCCCTCCATGCCCTCCTGTCCCTGCTCTTCAACCCATAATGCTCTACATTCCTCACGACAAAACACCTTCCCAATCGCATTCTCCCGCACGGGTAACGTCCGTCCTCGGTCCCACGCGAAGCAATACGCGCATGTCTCTTTCGCGTAGATGTTGAAGATGACATGGAAAGCGGGCGGTCCGCTTCGGAGGATGAGGGTTCCGGCGGGGATGGCGGTGGTGGCGATGACGCCTCGCCCGGCGTTGGCAATGTTTCGGATTTCGAAGAGGTGCGACGAGGAGGAGGAGGAGGCGGGAACGCTGTTCATGGCTGAGCGGGCATCATCCATGTCGTGTTCGCTGTGTTGGCGGAGAGGGGTTCAGACTGGTGGTCGTGCACGGACCGCTTTCACAGTCGAGTCGAGTGAAGTTGAGAAGCAAGGGAGATGGGTACTCGTAGGATGGTAAATTGTCATGACTCCGTCCTGTTCCTCCGCTATCAAAAGAGGGCGCTCGCTCTGCTTTTCGCTTCGATTTTAAGAATACAGGGTTCAAATAAATATAGGGTATTGCAGATGCAGGTAGCGTCATCAGAACAGGCATAACTTCAGCCAAAGCCCTCGTTCAATCCAGCAAATAGCAGAAATCGCAGCAACAGCAGCCGCACCGACAAGACGCGATCCGCTCAACAAGAATCGCCGCCCGTGTGAGGATTCAGTCCTCTGTCGACATCCTCCTTTCCCTTTTCGCCATTACAACACCAGAACCAAATTTAGAATCGCTCGCTCGCCGACATGACATGCTCTCTGTCCCCCGGTGTCGAATCAGGTATAATCCTTCCCAATCGGAGCACGTCAGATTCGGAACGCTTGCGGACCTCGAATACGCGCTTGACATGCGTGTCGAGGGGACAAGCGCAGGCAAGCTCCAGGCTCGTTGCTGTGAATGCTGGTGCTGCTATCGAAACGCAGAGGTCTCGTCCTAGTTGGCCTCCACTTCCAGCGCTCTCTTCTCGTCAAGTGGCTTGGAACTCTTAGGCGTGAAGACGGCATCTTGACCGACCATCCTCCGTGAAAGTGCCCGCTCGACCTTGGCACCCAGGGCGATCTTGCTGACTTCCTCGGTCTTGTTGCGGCTCATGACGAATCGCTGCTTATCCGCGCGCACGTCATTCATGCGGTCGTAGACTTTGGCAAATGCCTTGATGTCGGCGGTCTTGGGGTCTGTGGAGGAGAGGGTGGTGGTGCTGCCCGCGGCTGCTGCGCTGCCGTAGACTGAACGGGAGTTCTCGGGGATGGTCTCGGGCGCGAGGGCGTTCTGCTCGCCGAAATGCGAACTATATCGCTGTGTGGAGGAGCGGTTGGAGGTGGTGTCGAGGGTGGGAGCGATGGATGGCTGGAGAGAGGGAGCGCCGGAGTAGGTGCTGAAGCGAGCGTCGTTGCGAGTCTGGTGGAAGAGGCCAAACAAGGTCAGTATGTGCATCGTTAGGTGCGGCATGTCGAATGTGTTGGGGGGTGGTGTGGGAGAGAGGTAGGTGGGGGGCATATACCATTGTGGCAGCGAAGGTCTGTTATTGTAGGATGGACTCGGATGTTGTCTGGTGGGCGCTGCACGCGGACGGTCAGCGATGCAAGCTTTGTTGCGGTCGAGGCGCCATGTGGCAGCCATGAGCGCAAACGTGGCTGCGATGAAGACGCACCGGTGGTGTCGAGGTCGACGGGAGACGCTCAAGAGCTGCAGTGTGGGAAGGGCAGGGTATCGTTGCGGTGCGGTGCGGTGCGGTGCGGTGCGGTGCGTGTTGCGTGTTGCGATGCGAGGCGGCAGACAGGGCGGGCGTATTTGTAGGAGTGTGGAAGTAGACGAGTAAGGTAGCGTCCAGTCGTTGAGTGGGTGTGTGGCGGCAGGCGGGAGAGTTATCCCTTACACGGTCAACGACAGTGCACAGTCGTCGGTGGACAGTAGTAGTAGTAGTAGTGTGTGTGTGCGTGCGAGTGCGAGTGCAGTGTGCTTGTGCTTGTGCTGGGCCGAGCGGACGGCTGTCTCACTTGCCGTCTGAAACGATAATCAGTCTCGCAATCAGTTACACGGCGCCTCCACACAGCAACACACGGCGGCGGGATGGCTGGATCAGTGTATCCACAGCATCTGTTACGTTTGCATTCCGACCGTCCGTCCGTCAATCTGCTCTGCTTTCTGCTCTGCTTGTCACGTGTTTCGTCCCGTCGATCAAAGGTCAGACCCAGGTGGGGTGGGCCCATGTGCGCGCAGGCATCCCGGTCCCGTCTCCCACTTGGCTCCCGCATCCCGCGCCCAAGCGAAAGACAAAACCGCCTCCACCGAACCACCGCCCGCCATGCCACCTCTTCGCCACGTGGTCCGCGGCGCAGCCCCCACACAGCCCATACCTAGGTATGTGGTACTGTACCAATGCAATGCAAGCAATCCCGTAACTGCTGTCTGGACCTAGGTATCCGTCACACTTTCTAGCATCCATGGTCTGTCGGGCAATAATATAAAAGACTCCCGTGCCCAACCCACTCGCTGACACACTGCCCGACGGGACCGACCTGACCTGGCTCACGGTAACCATTGCCATCAATCCGGCCGCCCGCATCCTGATCATGTACCGCACACCCGATTCGGCCAATCCAGTAGTAGGGCATGCGCACCCCGTTGTCATAACATAACACTGCTTGCGTGACTCCACGTCCCATATTCTCGCGATTCCATATCACAGGTAATAGCCACGACTCATCTTCACAACCACGCATCCAACAACATGAAACAATCACAGATGGGAACTCACGACTTCAGACCAAGAAGTCAAAAACGACCGAGCCGAAGCCCCAAATACTCTCCGCTAGCATACTAAAAACCCACCGACTAACAGTCAATCATCCGTTAGAGCGCGAGACCGCCGACTCAACCCACCATTCCCATGAACAAGGAACAGCTGGGAGTCAAAGCGACCAAACAACCCCGCAGAAAGATAGAACAGTGTCCATACCAGCGAGAGAAACCCTTGAAACAGACAGCCCGCCAACTCCACGCCTGCAAAATCCTTCAATCCATCATCACTTGACTACTCCACATCACTGAGTCCCTCCCACGGCAATTCGCTTTCGTCGCTCATACCATCCATCTCCTCCAATCCCTCAGGCGCCTTTCTCCCCACGCGTCCCGACAGCTCGGCGGGATCAAGACCAATACTGTTGAGCGTCTCTTCCACATCCTGATCATTCATCTCGTCGACCTCTTCGCCTCTCGCCCTAGCCGCTTCGGCAGCTTGCTTCTGTCCCTCAACAACATCGAACAGAGCGTAGACCTGATCGCTGCGCTTCTCGATCAGCTCCGTCAGTCGGTCCATCTCGCTCTTGACATTCTGTCGCTTGCGCTTCGACAACGCCGGGTCGTGCTGGTTGTACAGGCGATTCTGCCCCTCACGCTGCATCTTCAGGTGGACAACCTCGTCTTCCAAGTTCTTGATGACGGTAGCGAGAGCCAGCGCGGGCGATTGAGATGGTCGAATCGTAGCATTAGTCACATCGCCCATTTCTTCGCGATCCGTGACGGGTATAGGCATGTGGATCTCAACAGACTTTCCGTCCTTCGTGCAGAGCGTGCAGCTCTGCGCGTCATGCTGGATGCATGTGTTTCCCACGTGAGCTGGCAGAGCTTGGCTAGCGTTCATTGTGATGTCGGGAATGATGAAGGCAGATGTCATGCCCTCAACGCTGGCCGTACGACGTCGGCGACGACTGGTATTGCTCAGAATCGACACATCTTGGTCTGCGCCGTCCTGTGCCTCGGGATCCATCACGTCAAAGGATGAGTGAGGTGACTGTACGCGCACAGTCTTCTGACCCTTGACAATATCATCCATTGTCGCGCCGTGAAGACTGAACTGGTGGGTGCCATCATCCGTGCGCGAAGTCACGTCCTTCAACGAGGATTTGCGAGGTAGGCTTTGACGGGTCGCCGAGCGTGTGGTCCCGTCCTCGTGGGTTGTGGCAGCTTGTTGCTTGCTGCTGAGACGTGCCAATCGCCGCTCTTCCTCCAACTTCCTACGCAGATTCGCAACGGCCTCGGCGTCCAAGTCACTGAGCTCGGTCCGGTCAGAATCGTCCTCATCGACGGCCCGATTTCTGGCATGCGAGCGCTGGGACATGCGAGTCAGATCAAGCTCAGTTGTCGCCTCGCGCTCCTGAAACTCAACATCACTAGGGGCAGACGCTGGCCTCCTGGGGATGGAAAGCTCTCGGTTGACTGCTTGCTTGTGGGTTCGAGACTTGGAGCGCGACCTCGCATTACCAGCTCCAAGAGTCTGCTCTTGAGTCTGGGCAGGCCCTTGGGCTCTCGCAGCAGCCTCGTCCCGGTATTTTCGAACTTCTTGCTCAATGCGAGAGGCAAGATCATTGACGAAAGCCGAATCCATACAGTCTTTCTTTCTTGCCACTCCATTCTCGCCGTCCAGAGCTGGGAATGACCGGCTCTCGGTCTTATGGTGGATACTGAGGTCTGACTTCTTACGACTTTGACGTGTATGCCATGAGCCGCTCTGCTCAGCTTCTTCTCGATCTGGCTTTGATGCTTTGGGTCCGCCGGCTTTCGACACTGATCGCTTTCTCTCTAGCGGCGCTCTTGCCACATTCATCGTTCCCTTCGCGAGTGACGCTTGCTGGTGCAGCTTTGCATTTCCGTTCCTCAGCTCCTCGAGCTCGGCCTTCAAATCTTCGTTTTCCGCCTGCAAATCACCATGGCTCTCACGGAGACTCTGATTCTCCTTTACCAGCTCTTCGTTTTGGTAATATGCACTGCCAATCTGTGCCAGCATTGCATCACGCTCACGGGTGACACGCGTAACTGCGATCTCCGACACGCTGACCTTTCGCTCGGTTCTGTCCAATCGATCTTGCAGAGCCTTCACTTTCGCTTGCAGTCTTGCCTTCTCTTCTCTTGCGCCTCGTGTCTCTCCAGTGTCATCATCGGAGCCTAGGGCGCTGTCTGGGCGTCTGGAAGCCACATGCAACTGACTGCGTAGATCGATGATTTCGCCCTCGTACTCTTCAATGCGCTTCTGTGCCTCGCTCTTGTCCATTTCAAGCTGCGCGACTCTATCATGCAGCATGTTCAGAGACGCGACAATCGCTTTCTCTTCCTCCGGAATGGGGACTCCATTCACCGGAATATGTGTTTGTGTTTGTGTCCTGTAGGAAGCTGATGTGAATCGAGAGCGGGAAGCCGTCCTTCGCTGGAAGACCGGGGTGCCATCCATGCGCACGCCGGAGATGAGCTCTGTCATGTTAGGAAGATCGGGCAGCATGAAGGACTGTTTCGCAGACTGCGTTGTCGACTCGGCGACTCCGCTTACAGCATTCTGGCGACGAGGAGTCTGTTGCGAGAACTGCAGGCCGCCGTCCGCAGTAAATCTCGAGGGCAGGCCGCCGTAGCTAGCCGAGACGTGCTGACCACTGGAGAAGCGCGAACTCTTCACTCGAAAGGTTGCTGTGGGCTGTATTATGTCTTCCGTCTCATCATCAAAGTGCAACCTCGGCGAATTGTCCGATACAGCTCGCTGCTTTCCACTACTCGTGTTCCTCTTGAGGGCGTCATTGGCCTTAGTAGACTCAGTTGCTCGGCGTACTGATGCTTCTTTGCGCAATTGACCATCCGCTCTGCGCTGGTTCGGGCGAGCTCTGACTGGAGGTGTACCGGCGATTTCGTACTGGCTGTTGTCGTTTCCGAAGCTGAAAATGGCGTCGGATGACATATCGCCCTGCTCTTGTCGCGTACCATTCTGGACGCCTCGGCCAATTTCTATCGACATATCGGCGCTCGCCTCGCTATCCGGGTATTGATCATAGTGTAGGGGCAGAGATCGGCCGCCCGAGTCGTCCATGTTGCGCTGAGGTGTTGAGTGGATGATGTGCTGGAAGCTGGTCGCGGTCGTAAAGACGTTGTCGTCGGCAGGCGAGTTGTCTATACTATTGGGGAGTACACCGGACATGCGTGCTCGAAACGCGGCCATGAGATGTGCTGCTTTGTATGTTATGCACCGTGGTAGTAGAAAGCAGACAGCGCGGTTGAAGTCGCGTCAATGTTGTCAAACCAAAACAAACCCGCGCGGGAAGGTGTACCGAGTTCGGCACGGGCCACTGACCCCCGATGAAGACTGCGCGACAGGTATCTCAACGCGATGCCTCCTTGAGAGTATTCTCAACTATCACTGCAGATCCTGCCGGACCGGTACGTTGTTCGCAAAGGCTCGGCCTGGGATCAATCTCTGTTTTCAAATACCTCTCCTCACGGGCATCTTCAAGTCGAAATCGAAGATCCCGGCAAGACAGAAGACCATGAACAGATGATCGGGATACATAGGGTCACAGATCCTCTTATGCCGTCTATATACGGTACGATGTTCGTACAAATCTCGACCTAGGATCAATTGTCTATCTCGAATACTTCCCCCTACAGGCGAGAACGCTTGGTCCCCTGGAGGAACGAGCTCGGATATCTTGAATAGTATCACCGCGCGCGAGCGGGTAATGGTAGGGCGAGGCAAAGGTCCGTTGAAATCGAAACCGCAGTGTCAGAAGCGCCGGAGAAGAAAGTAAGGCAAGCTATAAAAGCTACCTAGAGTCGATACCTTGGACAAGCTCGCAGTAGGATGACTGCCAATTGCTCAGTACGTCTTGTCATTTCATGCGGTGAACTCATCTCCAGGTTGCTACACTTCTGCCACTTCAGGGATCGCGATGTGCTGAACGAGATTCTTTCCGCCGGGAGCAGCGCTCGACCTATCCGTAGATGTCCAATGAGAATCTCAAAATGACCTTGAGAGTCACTTCGGATCAAGTTGATAGCACGTCCCTTCCTGCTCTACTGGGTTCTTCAATTCGCACGGACAAAGATTGCGTGCTGTGGAAATATTGGCATCCATTGCGCTGCAAATGCTCCTCCGAACGCGTTCTGCGAGAAATCGTGATGGTTGACCAATGCCTTTAGAGGGGAAATTGAGAGACAGCGAAGACCTTGCTACGAGGATACCCGTGGCGGATACCGGAGACAAGAAGCACGGAACAGCGACTACTCGTCCAATGGGTTGACCGCTGCATTCAATCACTCTCACTTTCTGGAAGCCGACTCACGTCTCCAACACGATCGACGCGACTACAATCCCTGTTCCCTCACGGTGGTGTGACCTCGCTTGCCAGGCATTCTGGCCACAACGAAAGTTTGACGGCACTTCACGTCCTGCGTGCTGGTCTGCTATGGACTTTACACCAAAATCCCACGTCCGTTTGTCAAGTGATGTCCCAGTCAGTTTCTACCACCATCGACGTTTGTTTCATCTCGCTGCACAAATGCCGGACAGCCGTTCGCACCTCCTATTCGCGTCTCCCACGGCGACCAACGCGGCTTACGATGACTTCGCGAGGTGGACTAACGCAGACTGCCACGGTCTTGGCGTCGACTGTTGTCTACAGCTTCCTAGTCTCGAAAGTGAAGCGTGAAGTGAGTTGAACACAGCTATGGAATCTCACACCTTAACAGTGAGCGACGACTTTCTCTGCCTAGTATCTGAAGCATAAAAAGCCCGTCTGTTTCCTTGATCTTCCAACTTTCTTTCTTCTCTTCACACTTCACCACTTGCCTTTTAACATGCTGCTATGAGCCTGCCGCTGCACCTTGGCCACCATTCCCATTCCCTTGTGAAAGACTTTGTTGGCTCCAGCTATTTAGCACGGAAAGACTTGATTCGGACTTTGAGGTCAGTCGTTCCTTCCTTCCTTCAGTTATGGCTTTCACATGCCATGCGGCGTTTGCACTAGTCGTGTGACGTGCTAGCGCGTTTCAGAACCGGAAAGCTCACTTCGCTTCTTGCAGGTCTTCGGGTTCCCTGTGCCTCTCGACTTCACAACTTCCACCACCTCAACCTCAACCCCCTCTTCCACGTGTCGCTCCACTTCCATTCCTGTCGACAACGACTAAGGACAACACCTCCGCAGCAATGGTCAAGAGGGAGCCCCCTGCCCACGACGACACGGACATCGATATGGATAGAGCGCAGCCACCGCCCGACGGCAACAACACACACGCTTCTATGCCTTTCCGCGCACCCAGTGCACCGATTTCCGTTCGTTCGGCGGCCACCACACCCTTCGCCACCGAAACAAATGACTCCACGTCCGCATCGACTGCCCCTACCACGAATAGCGACGTGGACATGCAAAATGTCAACAGCACGCCCTCAGCCTCTGCTATGCAGACCATGGGACAGCCCGCCCGTGAGCTGATCAAGGCCATCCAGAGACTGGAGGCACTCAGCATCAAAACCACTCTGCCATCGCTGCCCAAATTCGTCGTAGTCGGCGATCAGAGCGCGGGCAAATCGAGCCTTATTGAGGCTGCGTGTGCCATCACGCTGCCGCGCAGTGAAGGCACCTGCACGCGCTGCCCCTTCCAGATCACCACGACCGCGTCCAAGGAAGGCCAGCCCGATTGGAGCTGCAAGGTGGTCTTGCATATGAAGTACATGCCCAACGAAGATGCGCACAACGACGGGGAGCCTTTCGACGGATGGGCAAGCATGGAGAAGGTCATGGAGCTTCCTTTTGCACAAGTCAACGCGAAGGAAGACCTCGACCTCGTTCTTCGCAAAGCGCAGCTCGCTATTCTGAATCCGGAAACGGATCCGGCTCTGTTTAAAGGTCTGAACGCGGCAGATGTTACACGCAAGCAGCACGAGGCACTCAAGTTTCGATTTTCGCCCAACGTCATTAGTCTGGAGATCACCGGACTGGAACTGCCAGACCTGTCATTGTTCGACCTCCCCGGTGCAATTAACGCCACCGAGAATCATGACGATCAGTATCTTGTGGACTTTATCGAGGTATGTATGCCGCATCCTCCCTAGCGCGCAGACACTTGCCATTTCATTGCTAACTCTTGTAGGCTCTTTTGACCGTCTACATCCGTGACGAAGCCGCCTTGATCCTGCTGGCATGTGCCGCTAACCAAGACGTCCACACCTCGACCGCGTTTCGCTATATCCGTAAGCATAAGGCCATGCCGAGATGCATGGGCGTCCTGACAAAGCCCGACCTGCTCGAAGGCGGAAAGACCAAATGGGAGTCGATCCAAAAAATGCTGCACGGTGACAGTAATACCTTCCAAATGGGATTGGGTTGGTACACGACCAAGCAGCTCTCCCAGAAGGAGATGGAGTCGGGGATCTCGCACGAGGAAGCTCGCCAGCGCGAGGCGGCCTTCTTTGCGCAGGATCCATGGAGCGGCAGCTTGAGTCCGTATGCGGCCCGCTTTGGCATTCGCAATCTCCAGAAGGCACTCTCTGAGCTGCTTACGACGGATATCATCAACAATTTGCCGGAGATTCTGCATCGCGTGCAGTCCAGGCTGCAGCAAGTCAACGGCGAGCTTGCATCCTTTCCAGAAGAGGCCGCAGCTCCTAGCCTGACGGTCATAACAGAGATTGATACTCTGAAGACCGCGATCATCAAAGAGATCGACCCAAATAGCGCCGAAAGCTCATTCCGGTCTGGGTATCAAAATGCTTTCCGTAAGCTTAGCGACAACCTGCTCGCGAACAAGCCGGACGCGGTCCTAGAGACGCCAGGGTTCGTCAAGCCAAGCATCTCTCTTGATGACAGCCAGGAAGACTACGAAATGGATGAAACTCCTTCGAAGAGAATCAAGACGAACTCTGGCGGCTCCATTCGCACTCCAATTCGCCCGACACCCAGTCGTGAAACTCCAAGTTCGTCTCGAATGCAGAACACAGCCCCAAATGGTCGTCGTCGCACTGCTCCCCAGCAATCGCAGCAGCAGCAGCAGGCAGCGCCACATCGCCATCGAATCATCTTCAAACTCGGAGAGATCAGGGAGAGGTACGACTCCGCCCCGGGTGCCGACATGCCGGGCAGCGCGTCCGTCCACGTCGACCGCAAGCTGAAGCTGGAGCCTCTACAGTGCTGGACTGCGATCGTGGACCACTCGCTTTCCGAAATCGAGGTGCTCTTCACCAAGACGCTCAAGCAGACCGTCGCACGCGCACTTACGCCTCGGAAGCGTACCGAATTCTTCTCCCAGGCCCTGCAGATCTGCCGTGACCTGCTCGGAGAGCTTCACCACGAGCAGGTTCAATTCGCATACAAGATGATTCGGGCGAACCAGCACCGGCCCATCACGTACGCGAAGCAGACGTGGAAAGCCACGGTCTCTACTATCGAGACTGCTCTGCGCAGGCAGCGCTCTGAGCAGCGCATCGATGAACTGTACGACGTGATGGAGTCCAACGGCCAGAGAGTGCCTCCGAAACCAGATCAGAAGAAGAAAGGCGCGGCCGAGTTTGCCGCCCTTCTCGTCACCGACGAGTGGGAGCCCGAGATCAAGGCGCTTGCTCCACCGATTGCGTACTATGAGCTTGCCGCGCAGCAGCTCGTCGATGAGCTAGCGAGGACCTTCGAGGAAGGCTTGATGTGGCAGTATCAAGAACGCCTGCAACGCTGCCTACTGGAAGGCCTGCGTGCAATGGATGCCGACCACTGCGCGAACCTCCTCGCGGAGGATCCAGTGAGAGACAGAGAGCGACGTCAGCTGCTAGAGGAGAAGCGAAAACTCGAGCAAGCACTGGCAGATCTGAAAGACCTGCCTGCTGCCCATGCCCAAGCGAAATAAAGGCCACCCAAGAGCCGGAAAGATTGCGCGTAGATGCGCTTGCATGTGTCGGCTACCCTAGCCAATCGAATTGGGCGTATGGCGCCGGAATTGTTTGATCAGAAGTTGAAGTCCTCGAAAACAAGCTGCTTGCTAGGCAGCCACTCTATGAGTTGTTTCCGCATAGGCACCGCAGTGCACAGATAGTACTTTGAAAGCCCGTTATCCAGAACTTCCAAATCACCCTTTTGCATCCTTCTGCATTGCACATTGACCCCCTTGCTCTTCAATCGCTCCACCTCTTCTCCATTCACCTCTGCGTTCGTCACGAAAATTTGCAAACTGCGGTGCAAGTTCGGATGTTGCTCCAGAGTGTCCATGACGAGGCCGATGTCTTCTTTGCGGATCGTCCAGAGCAATTCCAATCGCTCGAAGGCGAGTCTCCACAGTGAAGGCAGAATGGGTGTGATGCCTACACCCGCAGCGATGAAGCAAATTTTCTCCTCGCCATCCTGTTGCTGAACTTCGAATTCTCCACCGAAGCCCTTGACGCCGATTTCTAATTTCATGCGATCGCTTTCAGCACCCTGGTGCTTGAACAAGAAGTCCGTCGTCACGCCCACCTTCCGAATGGTAATCTCAAACTCATCATCTTCCAACTTTCGCACGGGATTCGGAGGGTCGCCAGGTGGACTGCTCACTGTGAAAGTGCGGACAAAGTCGTCATTGATACTCCATGGGTCTTCATCGGCCATGTGCTGGTAGCCCATAAAGAGGTGTTCTGAAAAGTCCAAAGTGACATACTGGCCAGCCTTGTAGGAGGCTGCGTTTTCAAGGCTAAATCTGAAGCGGGACACAGTCGGCGTCAATGTGGTTTGACTGATCAGCGTGGCTTGTTGGATTTCGCTGGTTGCAGACTGTGGTGGCGGTTTCTCCGTCGTTAGAAACCGCACAACCGGATTGTACGGGGATCGCTCGCCAGGGGTACCGCGGAACGGCAGAGCTTCTAAGACGAAGCGAGCGGCAGTCACTGTCAATCTCACGCAAAGATTCGAACGTGGAAGCACAGCAGCAGCATCTTTGCCAACCAGAATCTCTGTCGTGCCAGTCAAGTACAACATATCGCCAGTGTCAAAGTCTGGAACGCACAGTCCCGCTACAGGGTTGAGAGCGAGATTGCCGAGCGTTTGATATAGGCGGTTTCCGCTATACTCTGGCCATATCAGTACAGCTCCCGACACCTCATTCGATGCTACTCGAAGAAAGCCGGGCGGCCCGCCTCGATGGTTAGCATCCATATCTTGATCATGCTGTGCACTCGATACGAAGAACAAGTCGGCCTTCTCTACAAGGTCAAGGGCTTGCTGAGGTAGCTGTGGCCAATCCGATGACAGTCTTGGTTTCGCCGAGGTAGGTTCTATATGCTTCTTGTTCAGATACTTTGGGCAGTTTCCGAGGCTCTGTTCGACTTTGAGTACGAGCTGCATCTCTGCGATGTGCTCCTCGTGGCCAGTCAATTCGTCTTCTCGCTGACTGAGAGCTCCAGCAATCATCCGTCCATACATCTTGACTCTCTTTCGAGTTTCCAGATCGATGGTCAGGCCACTCACCATCCGACCTTGACCTTCTTCCTTGATGATATCTCCTGTAGTGTCTTTGCCGACAAGCTCTTCGACGACGGGGTCGTACTTTCCAGTGACTGCGGTCTTGATCCCGACGATGCCGTTGCCGAGGGGCTGCGACATGCCTTTCTGTCCTCCGAGTAACGTCACCCAGGGCCGCTTCTCTGCGTCAACAGTACCTATTGCAATGAGCGGAGCTATCCTCAGATGGTTTGCCAGTTGAGGAGACAGAGTAGGAATGGTCGGGTTGTCCAGGTGAGGAACATCCATGCTCTTGGCGATCTGCTCCTCGCCCTCGTGCCAGGGCAAATCCTGGTAGAAAGCCATCTTGCGGTGCGCTTTCTGTCGAAGCGGAGATTACAATAGGGCTCTCCTTCTTCACGGGACGCTGGCTCCTGCCTCCTCTCCTCATAGCGATGCGCGATGGGATGGGAGATGTAGGTACATGTAGCTTCGGGAGATGACGGGAAGTCACGAGTGGAGTGAATAGGCTCAGCGGCAGAAAGCCTAAGTAAGGATGATTAGTCATGTCTGCCTCCCTCGGCGCTGGAACTCGCTTCATCCCCAGCTTGATGATGAGTCTCCCTTCATCTCGTCCAAATTGGAAGTTGGTTGGCGTCTTCGCGTATTGGGTGTAGCAGTGTCATGCTGATGCTGAGAAAGATCAGATGAGCTGAGTGACCAGGGCAGCGCTGACCACCCCCCAGGTTTGCCGAAGCCAAGACACCGACACCGACACCGACACACAGGCGGCAGTCACCAGCGAGTCGGCCAGACATCTTCTCTCCCCTATACCTTACTTACCCTCCAAGATGTTGACGAAATCAGCTCCAAGCATAGGCATGTGAGAAAAGCAGAGCAGTGGCGGGCGGCAGCCCCACCCTGGCCACATGGACACCATCTCCGCAAGGCAAGGCGATGCACAATGGGTGTAGTCCTGATCCGCCGAGCATTAGCGTGCTGCTGGTCTCATAGGCCTCACCGGGAGTGTGGGAGCATCGAAAGATTGTGCCTTGCCAAGAGCCAATTAGGGACAGCCCGTCTCCACGCGTTCGCTTCTGTGTCTCGGCAGAGGCTTCAATTAATGCCTTTTCAAAAGTCCGCCGTTCGTGCACCCTTGCCTCTTACTGTACCTCTTGCCTCTGGCCTTTTGCTTTCTCGTTGCTTTCCTGCTCCTACGCCCGTCCTCGCAGGACGTCAAACCCGCCGGCTGCCTTCTCCGAACCTGATGGACATTGCAGGCCTTGTTGCATTATGGAAGAAATCTCGGGAAGCCCCCGATGAGACCAGGGGTCCTCTGCTTCTGCGTGTGGTCTGGGTTCTGCTTGCAATCTCCATGTTTGTTCTGACGTTACGGCTATGGGCGAAATTCCACACCACACGCCGCCTCTACCACGACGATGCACTGATGACGGCCTCTGCCCTGGTTGGGCTCGCGCACGCCGTCATGGTTACGATCGCCATCTCCCATGGACTCGGGAGGCATTTTGCACATCTTTCGTTCCCTGAACTGGCCAGCACGATCAAGTTCGGCGCCTGGTCCCTCCTACCCGGCTTCCTCAGTCCCGTGCTCGGCCGCCTATCATTCTGCTGTACCGTCCTTTGGTTGGCGAGGACGGACCCTCGCATGCCACTCTGGCCAATCTACTTCTTCATCGCCCTCCAGATCATCCTCAATGCCCTGGGCATGATCCTCTTCTACGTACAATGCGGCCCGGATCTGGATACCTTCTGGACAATCTCGAAAGAACTCCAGTTAGTCCCCAAAAGACCCATCCGAGACGCTGGCTGAATGCCGTGCTTACTTTTTCTCTCCCTCCAAAGCTATGATGATTACTGCTGGTCTCCACTCGTTCAGACGAAATACCAATACGCCATGGGCGCCTTCAACACCCTCTTCGACCTCTTCCTCGCCATCGTCCCCGCAATCCTCATCGAACACAGCCGCCTCTCCCGCAAGAGTAAAATCGGCCTCGCTTGCCTCCTCTGCCTCAGCCTCCTCGCCATGGTCGCCAGCATCATCAAGACCTACGAAGCCAAAAACCTCTCCCACGTCTCAGACTACACCTACGACCTCTGCGAATACGTCATCTGGATCTCCGTCGAGCTCAACATCGTCATCATCACGGCCTCCATCCCCATCCTGCGTCCCCTCTTCCGGAAACTCCGAAGGCGGGATGCTCCAAGCCATCCCGACGAAAGCGACATGGCCAGTGAGCTTCCCGGGTGGCGGCGATCGCATGTGCCCTTACCTTCCGCTCTGCCTTCCCCTACGCTTTCCAAGTACCCTTCGCTGGTCAAGATGCAGTCCGTGCAGCACGTGCCGCAGCAGAGTATCTCGAGTCAGGCAGAGATAGTGTCATGGGACGCAGAGAGTCCTACAGAGATTACCGTCATCACCGAGGTGGAAGTCTCGTACGAGCCCTACGAGTCGGGGAATGTTCCCTGGGTTCATGCGGCCTTGATCGGCTTGGTTCAGGGCGAGATTGCAAATCCGAAACTAGTCAGGGCCTGATATCTGGTTACCTATGTACTACATGACGGGTACCATTCTCATGGTAATGATTTCACAGCAGCGCCTTCTACAAACACTGTGTAATTTACGAGATGTTGAACGATGCGACCGTAGCTATAGTTTACTACGGAACCGCTTGAATTTACAGGGGGGGCATGTTCAGTTGGCACTTTTCCCGGGCTTATGTAGATAAACACCGCTGAGAAAATATGCGCGGCGAGGGTTGAGTGACAAGCGAATGTGCCCACGTAGGCCAAGGCGAGGGCACACGGAGTTAAAACGGTACTAACGTTTCGCTCATGGTGACTTATCAATGCGACGCCAGCAGACGTATTGAACGATCTGGTTCGAGTCGACACATGATTGCCGGATGGAACTTCTATCATTCGATCTTGTCAGTGATTGCAGGACGCGATAGTGAAGCTGAAACCCTGGAACCTGAATTCTGCAAAGTACTGCGATGTGCAGACATTGCGTAGACGTAGCCGAGGGCAACGTCGACCTGGTGACTATCGGGCATCTTAGCTAGTATGCCTCTCAAGTGGGGTGAGGAATACTTCTCGTGTAATCGTCCGCCACAGATCATATACGCCGCGCTCATTGTCGGTGCCATCAGAGTAGAGCAAGACTACCCTCGCGAACAACCTGCACGTATCTTCGTAGCCCGTTCGCCATCAACGCCTCGCTGAAGTCAAGTCCTCATCGCTCGGTCCTTGGTGTTCACTGCTGCTGCTTGCCCGCCGCTGCTGTCGCATCGCTTGTTGCAAAACGAGCACAACAACTCGAAGACCTACCTAAGCCGAGAAGAAGGTATGCTGCAACATACAACCATTTCCACTCGGGAGAGCTTCAATCGGCCTCTGGCTCCTCTTTGCCGTAGTTCCACTTCGCACGAACTTGGTCTTTGGACATGGGCTTTCCCGAGCCCGTGAAGCCCACTGCAAGAGAAAGTCAGCGTCATGTCAGCCCGAGCGTGGTCAATGCTGTCAAACTTACCCTTCGCATTTGGCAGATCTGGTGTTCGAAATTGACTGTCCTTGCCAAGCTTCTTGCCTGCGGCGCCCAGGACGGGCTTCTTCGGTCCCGTCTTCTGCCAGTCGTTCCAGCTGCTCTTGGCCTTTTCGAGTGTTCGATTGCCCTTCAACTTCTTCGGTGCTGGAGCCATGCGAGTCGGCCCGTCGCTCACCTTGCTCGGCTCACGTTTCTGGACAAGCGTGGGATCGATGGAAGGTGCGGCGGAAATGACGGTGCCAGTCTGCTGCATAGGCGACGGGGGCGGAGGAGCGGCTGAAGCAGCGGCGGGTGGTCCTTCGGCTTTGCGCTTCTTGCTGTTGTCCACGATCGCACGTACCTCATGCTTGCGCTTGGTCTCCTTGTCTGGGTATCCGGTGAATTTGACGGTGTACACTGGGTCAGTGGAACTTCCGGTCTTTGCAATGATTGTCGCTGCGTACCACTGCTTGTCGACAGCATACTTGGCCATGATGGAGTCGTGCACATTGAACACGGTAGCCCTGGCTTCTTCCGGAGGTGGTGGGGGCGCATGCTGCTGGAACTTGGGCGGCGGAGGTGGAGCATCGTCAGCGGGAGGTGGTGGAGGAGGCGCGGACGCCTTCTGGGCCTTGATCTGAGCCTTGAGCTCGGCGACCTGTTGCTCGATGATTGGCTTCATCTCCATCGCGTCCTCGTCGCCAGCGCCGGCGGCTTCCTCGAGAAAGCTGAGGTCATTTTGGAGGCTGTCGAGCTGTTCCTCGAGCGCGGCGCTCATTGTGAGTTCAGTAGGAGTCTTCTCTTGACCCGGATGGCAGCTGTACGTTACTCGAATGGAGAGTGTACTGCGAAATCAAGAGTGTCGCGCAGTGAGAGGGTCGAGTGTTGCGCGTTGTCGCTGCAGATCGCTGACGATGGTCGTGCGGGCCGTGAGGGAGCACGTGATGGGCCGTGAGGGAGCACGTGATGGGACGGGACTGGCTCCGGCTGTTTCGATATCTCAGCCTCAGGCGCCGACAAATTGGAATGCACTGATTGAATTGGGTTGGCAACAACAACAATGACGAAACGTCAGACGGCGATTGACTCACACGGGATCGGCTACATGTACCGCTCCAGTGTGCACCTCTCGGACTACTACTACAGTACAGTACAAGCACATGGCACGACTGAAGTGAGAGTACGGAGCCGGCGTTAGTCTGCGGGATTGATTATCATTGATTATCAATCCACCAAACCAGCCGCCTGCCATTGTCTTCTGACTGCTTCGACCGGGGCAACTTGCGTCCTGCTCTCCATTCCCTGCCCACACTCTGCCCTCTGCCCTCTGCCCCATCCAATCGTCGCCCGCCAAATACGCCCATATCTCGATTCCCGCGGCAACTTCTTCTGCCTGCAGTCTCCTCAGCTGGACCCTGCATTGCGTTGCGAGAGCGAGGTAGCGAGGCTGAGACGAAATTGAACGCGACCCCACGAGCTGCCTAGCCCAGCACTCCGATCCCGACAAAGCCGTAAGGCCCATCGCTCACGCCGTCATTCTCGTCTTGACCTTGCTCTTGCCACTCTTTCTCAATCCACTGCTGCAATTCACCGTCACCAGTACAAGCACAAGCACGAGCAGAAGCAGCAGAGCAAAGCACAAGCCGGGCTCAAGGTGAGCGATAATTTCCATTACTTCTCGCCCGCGACCCCGCTATTTCCACCGGCTGCCCTACGGACGAGACAGTGCAGGTAGCGCATCGCTGCATCATTCCTGTCGGCAGGTCATTCCGCATCACATTCTGTCCTGTCGACTTCATGCCGTAGCCTCGTCTTGCACGGCTACGTACACACCGACTGACGACCGGGGCAGCTTCACTTGTGATACGCCCGTGGGCTGTCGATGGCTGTTCAGCTGCAGCAACAAAACCGGACTGGCAGCCCTTATCTCTCCCCAAACCAGCGACATCTCCTGCTGGCAGCATTGAACTCGCAAGCTGGTGGTCAGCGGAACGTGAAGCGAACCTCGTCCGATCTCGCAAGCACTCAGCCCGACATGGGTGATGCCAAACCCAACGTCCTCTTCATGAGCCCACAGAATGCTGAGATTGACGAATTCGATTATACCCCCGAATTGGACTACCTGGACAACGAGAACTTCGACTTTGAGAACGCCGATCTTGGAGGGGACATGATTGGTGCACTGCCAGGAAGCGGCGCCGACAACAGCGACGCAACAGTCTCGAATGCAGATGGTGGACACGAGAAGCGCAAGAGCCCGGACGAGAATGGTGATAGTGAAGCTGGCGATGCGAAGCGACAAGAGACCCAGGAAGGTGAGAAGGCAGCCAAGAAGCCAGGAAGGAAACCTCTCACGAGCGAACCAACCACAGTACGTGCTTTCCCCATCGTACTACCTTCTTTTCATCATTGTCTGACATATCTCCAGAAACGCAAGGCTCAGAATAGAGCTGCTCAACGAGCCTTCCGCGAGCGCAAGGAGAAGCATCTCAAGGACCTTGAAAGCAAAGTTTCTGAGTTGACCAAGTCCTCCGAAGCCGACAAGCACGAAAATGGGCGTTTGAAGGCTCAGGTCGAGCGCTTGCAGACCGAGTTGCGCGAGTATCGCAAGCGCCTGTCGCTGAATAGCTCTTCTGTCAATCGTTCGCCCCCACTCAGTGCCACTCATGGAACGCAACGCAGCAGCAGTGCTTCAACTTACGGTGGCAACTTCCAGTTCGACTTTCCAAAGTTTGGAGCATTGCCGGGAAGCCAGATCTTCGGCAATCAAGGTTACGATGCCAACAGTGGTATCCTCAAACGCGATAGCACAACGCCACCGATCACACAGTCGCCCACGACAATCGGCAGTTATGACAAACCCGCGCCGGCGCAAAGCTCTCGACACAACAGCACCGGTCGTAGTCGAAGTCCGACAAACAACAACGGTAACGGTCCCCACGCCGAAAGTCCTGTCAACACGGCCAACTTTGTGCAATCCTTCGCGCCGTATAGCACCACCAACAACATGCATGGCTTTGCAAGCACCCTTCCCCAGATGGGCGTTGGAAATGATGCGTTCAGCGATCTCTTCAGCCCCAGTATCCTCAAGAGCGCCAACGCAAACGGTTACTTCAACAATTCGCAACTAGGCAGCAACATGATGAATGCGCCTCAGAACTACAACGCGGACAGTGGCAACGACAGCACATCAGGTCTCACTCGGGTCTTCCAATTCAGTGGAGGTAGCAATGCAAGCGATAGCACGTCTCCAAGTGCAAGCTCGACAAGTCAGTGGAATGCCAATGGCGGGGCGGATAGCTCTTGTGGAACTTCGCCGGAGCCGTCGCATGATAGCCCTGCGAATAAGGACAAGCATGCCGACTCTTTCGATTCGCAAACGCAAAATAGCGGCGCGCGCCCATCGGATAGCGCATCCCATCCACAGACCGGTCTCGATGCGACTTTCGGCTTCGGAGGGGTAGATCTCCATGCTCCTCCTGCTTCTGATTTCGATCCCGTTTTGTTTGGGGATTACAGAGAGAGCAACGATGCCATCATCGGAGGTGGCGATTTCTCAGGCGGCTTCTTTGACGACGCTCTAAGTTCAGCACCATTCGACTTCGGGTCACCAAGTAACCTCTTTGGCATCCTGCAATCGCCAGGACAAACGCAAACGAACTTCGGCGCAGCCAAGTCCCCGGCTCCGGCACCTAGTAAGAATCTTATGGCTGAGATTGAGAAGACCTGCGGCGGAGACGATGACTTCGGGCTTCCTGGCGGATCTATGAAACAGACCCAGAACAACGCGAACCTCATAAGCTGCAACAACATTTGGAACCAGCTGCAGTCCAATCCAGATTTCCAAGAGGGTAAATTCGACCTGGACAGTCTGTGCTCGGAGCTTCGCAAGAAGGCGAGATGCTCGGAGTCTGGTGTGATGGTCGATCAAAACCACGTCGACGCGGCGCTCCGCACACTCGGCAAGAAGGATGAAAAGGGCAAACCTCACAATGTCCCAGCGCTGATGTTCGAGCAGAACTCCTGGTAAGAATCGATTACGGGGTCAGATGGAGTCATGGACATTGTGCTAACGTTGAGGTAGGGACAATGTATTGAAGAAATTACGGGAGGGAAAGACGACGTAGATGAGGAGATTGTACTTTCCAAGGGACACTATTGGCGTTGAGGGTATCGGGCTTGCAGACAAATGCAGGTTTATGATCGGGTTCTTGGCGAGCTGAGATTTTGCCGCTAGGTATGAGGAAGTGTACTCTTTCGCGGCTTGCTAAATCACGATGCGAACAGAATGGATTGGTGGGAGGAATGGAACGTTGCACTCGGCGTTGGAAAATAGCGGTCAAACCACATGAAACGGTCGAGACAATGATAGAGCCATACGAAAGCTTTGTATGTTATGATGGAACCAAACTACTCTCTGAAGCATGACTGGAGCAAGTGGCGTTCGGAGATGTCCATCTCGCGAATGATCAGCCCTGCGGGACTGTTTTCACGTGCCCGTTTCACATTTAGGCTCACGGCGCTACCTTCCCGGCGCCTGTCGCCACGGCAACGATGCTCCTTCCCAAAACATACCAAGATATTCTTGGGAGCACAACAGCTTTCCTTCAAAATGCATTCCAGGTGACCACATGAAAGGCTGACGATATATGAAACGCTCTCGCATCGGACATGCCGCCTTCCTCGAGCCACACGCCTCGCGACTCCCCCGCACGGCGCGAACGAAGGAGAAGAACTCACCAGCGAACCGATAGCAGTGGAGAGCTACTGAGAAGTTATGATCGTGAGAGGAGCCGTGATGGAGAGTACCTTACATCGCCCTCGAAAAGCAGACCGAAGAGGGACAGACATGAGCGATACGATGAATCCGACAGAGAAGCGAGGAGAGAACAGCGCAGGCGAGACCGGAGAGCGGAGTCATCATCCAGGACCACAGGCACTGGGGGAACATTATCTTCGGGCCAGCTTGCGCAATTGGACAAACTTAATCAGAAATTGGGATGGGCTGCCTACGACCCTGCCCCGGAGGGGAGGAGAGGAGCGGTAGAAGATGGCCAAGAAACAAGAGCAGAATACGATGACGACCGAGAACGAGAAAGGGAGCTACGGCGGCAAGAGCACAGGGAGAGAAAGAGGCGGAGAAGAGAAGAGGAGCGATTACGATTAGCAGCAGAAGACGGAGAGAGTCTCGTGTACGATCAACCACGGACACGGCGCGAAAAGGACCGAAGGAGAATCCCGAGTGGGCAGGCCTTAGAGAGAGGAGGTAGAAGGGGGAGCTCCGCATACTACTCAGAGAAGGAGGAATACAGTGACGATGTGCGAAAACGAGATGGAGATACCAGTGACATGTACTACGACGAAGCCGAGCGGAAGAGAAAGAGGAGGAAGAAGATCTTCATCGGAGTTGGAGTTCTGATTATATTGTTGGCAATCATCATTCCGGTGGCAGTTGTAGTTTCTAACAAGAAAGGCGGGACCTCGAACAGCGCTGGCGGAGCCGCAAGTAATTCCACCAAGCCGGCCAACAGTAATCTAGACGGCATCACGGAGGACAGCATACCGAAGCAGTATCAAGGGACATATCTGGATCCATTCACGTGGTATGACACTGAGTACTTCAATGTCACTTTCACGTCAGAGATGGTGGGCGGTTTGCCTCTCATGGGATTGAACAGCACCTGGGATGACAGTAAACGAGCAAACGACAATGTTCCTCCCCTCAGTGAGGACTTTCAATACGGCACGATGCCGGTCAGGGGCATTAATCTAGGCGGCTGGTTGAGCATCGAGCCTTTCATCACGCCTTCACTATTCAGCGGTTATACAACTCACGACAACGTAATCGATGAGTACACGCTATCCCAGCAGCTGGGTGCGACCAATGCGAAGAGTACCCTCGAGAAACACTACTCCTCTTGGGTATCCGAGCAGACTTTCGCAGATATACAGGCTGCTGGATTTGACCATGTTAGAATACCGTTCTCTTACTGGGCTGTCATCACCTATGACGGTGACCCGTACGTTGCGAATGTGTCGTGGAGATACTTGCTGCGAGGCATTGAGTGGGCTCGCCAGTACGGCTTGCGAATCAATCTTGATCTCCACGGCGCTCCAGGATCCCAAAATGGATGGAACCATTCTGGTCGACAAGGTCTGATCGGATGGCTTAACGGTACAGATGGTCAGCTGAACGGCGACAGAACCATTTCCATCCATAAGCAGATTTCTACCTTCTTCACCCAGCCACGCTACAAGAACATCGTCACAATGTATGGGCTGGTTAACGAACCTCGCATGGTCGAGCTCGACACCACTACCGTCATTACATGGTCACAGAAGGCCATCGATGCAATTCGTGCCAACAACTTCACCGGTGTCATTGTCTTCGGCGACGGTTTCATGGGCCTTGACAATTGGCAAGGCAAGCTGCAAAACAACAAGAATCTGCTTCTCGATGTCCATCAGTATGTCATCTTCAACGTTGAGCAGATTGTCCTCAATCATCACGACAAGGTCAACTTTGCGTGTGGTGGCTGGACGCAACAAGCCCTCCGTTCTCAGAACACTGCCACTGGCTTTGGACCCACCCTCTGCGGCGAATGGTCACAGGCTGACACGGACTGCGCTACGGACCTCAACAACGTGGGAGTTGGATCGCGGTGGGAGGGTACGCTCAACATGGACTCCACACCCGGCGGCGGGTCCTCTGGTAGCGTTCTCTCACCTACCTGCCCGACGAAGAACAATCCGCGCTGTGATTGTGGCCCTGCCAATGCAGACCCCAGCTCTTATTCCGACCAATACAAGCAGTGGCTCCTGATGTTTGCCGAGGCGCAGATGCATTCGTTCGAGCAGGGCTGGGGATGGTTTTATTGGACCTGGCAGACAGAGTCCAGTCCGCAGTGGAGTTACAAGGCGGGTCTGGCGGCGGGTATCCTGCCACAGCAGGCCTATTCGCGGGACTTCAATTGCAACACGACGATTCCGACGTTTACTGGTTTGCCGGAGTACTATTAATGACGGGAAGCATACGTGCATGGGCAGAGATTACTGGAGTTTGTATGCATGAACGGCGTTTCGAGGACGAATTGATTCCGTCTGAGCGTTTTCGTATTCTGGATGGAGCTGGCTTGGTAAAGAAAGCTAGATGAATTCGTAGGGCGTACGGTACGATTGATTTGGAGAATGACAGCCCTTTCACAATCTTGCCTTTCTGATTGTCCTACTCGATACCAGGATTGGCGCATAACCCCAGTGCGCCCACTCCTCAGTACCAAGTATGATTTTAATCCACGCGCGCCACACTTCCCGCCGACACCACGATCCATGCCAGAGTCTTTTCGGTGTCGAAATACGGAGTAATGTAGATTGTCAGGTCGGGACAGACGTCTCTGTAGCCGTATACGGCAGACAAGGCGTCGACTGCTAACCCCCGGGTTGGGTCGGAGGGATAAGAAGGTTGAAAGAAGGAGAGAGCTAATTTGATATTGAGGATTGCATTCAGGCCAAAGGCGATGGAGGTGAGACCGAAGAGGAATAATGTGAGGCGGCAGGCATGCTGGTTGTATGTACGGTTGTTGAGTGTTGGTTCTTTGGGAGGTCTCGGTTCTGAAGAGGCACTGCTCAAAACTGTCGGACGTCTTGGTCGTGAGGACGAGGTGAGGCACTGCTAACAAACATGTAGGTGAGGATTGCGGACTCTGGTCAAGACGAATGCCCGCAGAGGTCGATGTTCCTACGGAGCTGAAATGGCCGTCTTTGCCCGGCGGCTGGAGGCCAAGAAACTCTACCATACAGCATCCTTTTGCTGTACTAGTTGTTTTTCTTCTCTTCAGCTCACCAGCAGAGGCGGTCAGACATTTCGCATTGCGAACAGTCTGGAATGAGCTCCAAGACGCGGAAAGTTCCTTTGTTCGAAATAACGGTAATTTCACTCCCTTTCAACACAAGGTCTTTGAGGCCTTCTTGGTCTGAGGGTTTCTATAAAACAGATGAACGGGTGTTCGACTTGCATATCTTCTGTTCTTCAGTTAGTAGAGGTTGAGTTTTTCCTTTCCTTACTCTGCAGTCGTCTCTTTTCTCGTTGTTTACGCATCTAACGCAGAAGCTGGTTTCTCTGTATGCAAAAGGGCGAGCAAGCCAGCAGAAACAACCCAAACCGGCATCTTTCTCGAGTAAACGACTGTTGCAAGAAGAAACCCTTCCATTCATAAGAGCTCCAGAAGCGATGGCCGTCATCACCACGGTCCCAGGAAAGACGGAGTTAGGCGTCCATGTACCGAAGGCGACCACAATCTGGCTCTCAGTCGTGCTTTCTGCCATGACAATAGGCTTGCTCATCACTTTCATCGTGGTCGGGCGTCTCTGTTGCAATTGTCGACGGAAACGCAAGCAAGAAGAGCCGGTCGTGCTTGACGATCGGAACAAGTTCGAGGCGTGGAATCCAAGAGCATATCTACATCCCACGAAAGTCCCTAGAGCTGTAACGAGATGCTCGACATCGCTTGCAGGTCGTGATATAATGCCTCCCTTTCCGCGCGTCATTGACGAGGAAGGACTGTCTTCGGTCATGGGACGAGATGAGAGACATCGTCGGTCTCGATTCAGCTATTTTGGTCGTAGCGTTAGGAGCAGCATGATCGGCAGGGCATTGTAGAGAACGAAACGATGGTAGTAGACTGAACGAACGAATGGAACTGCATGGTTGATGTCCATTCACATGGACCGGGCAGACCCGGTCCAACACGTGACTTGTTGAATTCAGGCACCACGGATGTCTCTTGTTCTGCTCCATCCACTTACTTTAGATATTCGAACATTCTCGCTTGCACCACCACCTTGGGAGCTGACCGGTATTCTCGCGCAATCTTGTCGGTGGTAGAAGGATACCTTACTGATAGTGCAGAACGCTGACACGACTCCGGTGCATTCATTGTGCTCCGCTGACGTATTCAAGCCCGCCATCTTCACCCAGAGCTTGTGCAGCTACAACCACAACCCGTACCTGACCCGACCTTACCTCTTACTTTACCTCGATCTACCTCACCTCCTACCCGACCTCCCCCAAGCCAATATCCTCCTCCTCTCACCGCCCTGTTCGCAAGCGCGCGGCGCAGAACGGATCGGGAGGACCGCCGCCGCATTGGGAAATCGGCACGAGGGCAGGGCGACACCCGCGAAGAGATCAGATATAAACAGCTGGACTCCCCAGCGGCAGTAGTCAAGAAGAAGCAGTAGCAGGTTGGGAAGATGGTGGACGCTGGGGAAGGCGCTCCTCAGCCAACGTGGAAGTTCACACAGTAAGTTGCCCTTCTATTTCTCTGCACGCACATGACATGCACCTGGTGCCGTGTCGCCCTAACCGTCGGTCTTCGGCGTCACCACCCTACACACCTCCTCTGCCTTGTCGAGAGCTGGACTGCCTTGCGGACGAGGCTGCGGAAGTGGCAGCAGCGGCGGAAAAGTCAACTGTCGAGCGGAGGGCTTGCATCGAAGCATCAGTTGGAATCACGACTACAGCATGCTCTCCGGATGGATGTCCCGCCTTTCTGATCGTACCAACCGCACCAGAGATGAGCATGAGGCGCCGGAACGAGAAGAGCACGGCGAAGCAGACAACCCGCTTGTCATCGTTGAGGCGCCTGAGGAAGACAACAGTGCCGGGGAAGAGGACAATACCATGACATCTCATAATAAGCATGGCGCTGAAGCAGCACCAACGCCATCTGTGGCAGACTTATCTCGGAGCTATGATCCTGTCCGTGATGCGGTCCGGATACATCTTCAGACCAGCGAGACCGCGACGAGCTCGTCGACTGCTGCACGGCGGCTGCACCTCAAACGCGCACGAGAGTCTGACTCCTCTGGGTCCTCCGAATGCAATACTCCTAGACGGCGTGGTGCCTGGCGCTTCACTCAGTTCCGTCTACCCCGCAAGCGATTGTTGCCCTGGGCATGCATATATAGTTCCTCATCTCGTCCATTTACAGAGCCAGTTACTAATGATACCTGCACAACAGATGCTTCGGTGACAAAGGCGACGTCGAAGACATCACAGAGGCCGACATAATATCGACAGTCGAATTTGATCAAACCGGCAACTACCTTGCAACCGGAGACAAGGGCGGCCGCGTTGTCCTGTTCGAGCGCAACGAGACCAAGAAGACCTGCGAATACAAGTTTCACACCGAATTCCAATCACACGAACCCGAATTTGACTACCTAAAATCGCTCGAGATAGAAGAGAAGATCAACAAGATCAAGTGGTGCCGACGTCAGAATGCCTCACACTACCTCCTTTCCACGAACGACAAGACCATCAAGTTATGGAAAGTCTTCGAGAAGTCCCTGAAGGTAGTGGCCGAGAACAACCTATCGTCAGAACTCACGCCAGCAGGCACTGGTGGAGCGAATGGTGGTGGTCCGGTTCGGTATCCGAACCATCACTTCCGCAGTGTTGCAGACCTCAAGTTCCCACGCATGACACACCACGACACTGTTGTCGCTGCCGTACCTCGCAGAGTATATGCCAATGCACATGCATACCACATCAACAGCATATCCGTCAACAGCGATGGGGAGACGTTCATCAGCTCTGACGACCTGCGCATAAATCTCTGGAACTTGAACATTCAAGACCAGAGCTTCAATATCGTCGACATCAAGCCCGCGAACATGGAGGAGCTCACAGAGGTCATCACTGCCGCCGAGTTCCATCCCCAGCAGTGCAACTGGTTCATGTACGCCTCGAGCAAAGGCACCATCAAACTCGCAGACATGAGACAGAGGGCTCTATGCGACGAACATGCAAAACGTAGGTGGTCTCGATCTTCTTCAAAGCTAGCACGGCTGACCGTCATCCAGAATTCGAGCAGGAAGAAGATCCATCTTCTCGCTCCTTCTTCTCCGAAATCATCTCTTCCATTTCCGACGTCCGCTTCTCCTACGATGGCCGGTACATCCTTTCGCGAGACTATTTGACCGTAAAGATTTGGGATGTCAACATGGAGAAGCAGCCTGTCAAGACGATCCCGATTCACGAGCATCTCCGACCACGCCTGTGCGACACCTACGAGAATGATAGTATCTTTGACAAGTTTGAGGTGGTGTTCTCTGGCGATGCCAAGAACGTCATGACCGGCTCTTACAACAACAACTTCATGATCTACCCTTCGGAAGAGGGCAAGGACACCGAGGTCGTCTTGCAAGCGGATAAGAGTGCTTTCAAGGCCAAAAAGGTTGGCATCCCAACGCCAATGAACAGTGCCACCAGCCCTGGTGCCAAGGATGGCAAGAAGGGCAGCCGAGCCAGCAGCCCAGCTGGTGGCGCGCAGAGGATGCGCAAGGAGACAGACGCAGACCAGATTGACTTCAACAAGAAGATTCTGCACATGAGCTGGCACCCACAAGAGGATTCTATTGCCATTGCGGCAACGAACAACGTAAGTGATGCAACAAATTTCACCTCTATTATATGCCTTGCTAACGAATCGTACAGCTCTTTGTTTTCTCGGCACTCTAAACTGCCTCGTCTTGGGCGGAGTTGTGGGCAGGGCTTAGCAGTCTAGATGATGGCGTGGAGCATGATGCGGTGGGAATCACGAGAATGGAGTCACATCGGCGCGATGAGGCGTCTAGTGCGCCAACGATGGCAAGTTCTGGAGGCGTTCCGCGAGGGACGAAGGTATGCCTTCAGTTTAGGACTTTAATCCAGCTCGCAGTATGGAACGGAATGCAGACATTCCACATTTGGTACTTGGCGTAATCATGACTCGAGTTGGAAGAGTTTGTTTGTGAACATGGCAAGAACGAATTCTGGGGGCTCATCTTACGGCTACGATCCGAATATAAAGGAAGCTGAGAGGGTGCTTGCAGGTGTGACCATTCACTTCTCGGATGTCTTCGAGTAATCTTCACCTCGAGGCTCAAATGTATCCTTACGAGAGGCTGGTGGTTTTCGCTTTTGCTTGTCCGTGGATCTGGTTGTTCGGACAGTGACTGGTTGCAGGAAGCCATCTATCCGAACAGCGGTCGCCTTGGTAGGAGACTCGAAACCCTCCCCGTCAATTAGCTCTTCTGTTTCTCTTTTGACAGAGGTAGTGACTGGCCGAGCAGCCTCCCGTGTACTGCTCCTTCTTCTTCCTCTCTTTTTCGTCTTCGTGATTGGATATTCCTCGTCGACATTGAGGTGCTGATGTTTGCGTTTGAGATGCTCTCGTAAGCGCCAGAGTCGTTCGTACGGGTCGGTGTGCCGATCGCAGTCAGTGTAAGGACAATAAAAGCCTGCTTGTTCATCAGAAATCTCGTCGACGTCCTCGTTGAATTCCATATTATATGGATCCTCGTCACTCCACAGTCCCTGTTCCATTGAGGAGATCATGTTTGGAGCATATTCGATGGTATCGTCCCGAAAATCTGTGACGGGGACTTCTGCAATCATTCGCATCTGCAAAGTCTCGCCAAATGTGGCTGCGCATCTCCGCGCTGCGCGATCGATGATGGCTTGATCCCAGCCTGTCATGGCAGCCATTCCGATCACCTCGCCCCAGTCTCGTGCACCGAGTTGATGTTGAGCGCGTTTGGGAGTTTTCGATCTCGCCTTTCGCGTCTCCGGCTCAGATTCCTCCTCTGCGCGAGATTCAGGGTTCTTCGAGGCAGCTGCAGCGTCAGAGGCTACTCGCTTGCGCTTTGTAGATGCGCGTCCTCGACTTGGCGTACGAGTACCCGATTTGGATCGAGAACTAGAGTCATTTCGACCGCGACTCGAAGATCGCTCTTGACGGTGACCAAGGCGGCTTTTGTGTAGGCCAAGAAGGAGATGGTCGAGCTTTGAGATGATGTGCTGCACTGTCGGCTGAAGTATCTTGCTGGCCGATTCATCGTCATCTGTGAACGACAGGTCGTATCTCTCGGTCGTTTCGTCAACAGAGGTCGGTTTGTTTCCTTCTGGCTCGGCCTCATCGCTCTCCTCGCCGCTGTCTGATTTTGAATTGGCGGAAGAAGATTCAGAAGACCATGAATTCTCCGAAGAGGAGCGAGCTCGGGAACTGCTAACAGTGTCGCCCGATTTCCCGCGGACTTCCTGCCGTTGGCGATGGCGAAAACGCTGAGTGGCTTGACGGAGTAATGTTGCTTCTAACGACTCTTGGAGAATCAGGCTGGGCTTCCATGGTCGTGGATTGGAGTAGACTTCGGGTTCCACATCAGGATTCACAGTCAGAACACCCCACTGCTCTCGGTGTCTCGGCACATCTGCAGTATCCAGTGGCCAAGCAGTCCACATCATATGTGGAACAAAGGGTGACTTCCCATTCTCATACCGTGTGATCCAGCGGCGCTTGCTGTGCCAGGTCCCTGGATTTGAAGGTAGTCGCGGATCGAGGTTTTGCCGCTTCAAAGCATGTGCGTTGTAGAGATGGATAGTGAGGTCGTTGTTTTCTGCCTGGTCCAGACTAGCGGCTAGAGCGCGTTCCTCCTCAGTGAAGTGTCTCCAGGTGCTATCGGGTCCATAGAAGCGGCCATCGCGCTCCTCATCATCGGACGAAGACTCGATCTCAGTTTCCTTGCTCAATCGAGTATTTTCTGGGCTTCGTACATAGTCTGGATCGGCGACAACATCATCGATTTCCTCATGGTGTTCGGCTGCAGGGACTGCATCGTCCATCTCATCTACAGTCGATGACATCTGAGAGATTCTGCAGCACGATCGCGCATGTGCACAGCATGTTCGCGTGATCAGCGGAATTCATATCTGGTGGACCCGGCATGGAAGGAGATATCTTCACAAGACAACGTGTAGTGGCTATTTCCTCATTTGGACTAGTGTTCTCTGGAAGACCCTGCCGAGCAGCAAGAGCGGCAGCAATCCGTCCGTGCGGCGCCTCACGTAGATTTCCATTCAACGTGCTTTCCGAAACCTCACTTGCGTTTATACACTTCCGCCGTCATCTCCTCCACCACCACCAACACCACCTATCCACTCCGCTCGCACATACCGCCTTTTGTGCAGTTCGTCCGCGTCCGAACCAAGCTAACGTCTTCCGCGCGCACCTACTAGCCTCAACCACGCCGACACCGCAGCAAGATGGCACAAGTCGCCCCAGCACACAACCCATCCGAGCAGGTTCCTCTCGACACAATTCCAATCTCTCCCGATGGCGCCGTGACCGACGCGACCAATGGCGCCACCCATGGCGAGAAGAGCATCGACAACGAGAAGATCATCACCGTCTTCGACGACCCGTCGAACTTCAACGTCAAGCACGCCCTTCAGCATACATGGACCTTGTGGTTCACGAAGCCACCAAGCGGCAAGCAAGATTGGAACGAGCTGCTCAAGGAGGTCATCAGCTTTAACAGTGTTGAGGAATTCTGGGGTATCTACGTGAGTTTCCAGCTTGCCCATTTCCTCTGGTGTCCACGCGCACTTGCTAATTTTGATTTGAACACAGAACAACATCACGCCCGCCTCGGAGCTTGCCCAGAAGTCTGACTACCACCTATTCAAGCAGGGTGTGCGCCCAGAGTGGGAAGACCCCCAGAACAAGCATGGCGGTCGCTGGGCCTACACATTCAAGGGAAGCAAAGCGCAAGACGACACCTGGCTCAACATCATGCTTGCTGCCATCGGCGAGATGCTGGAAGAGGAAGGTGACAACGAGGTCATGGGTGTTGTCGTCAATATCCGCAAGGCGTTCTGGCGTGTCGGTCTCTGGACCAGAACTGCTGGACAGGCGAAGGGCCGAAAGGACGACGGAGCCGACCCTGCTGAGAGCCGCAAGCGCCTCGAGCGCATCGGCAAGGAGTTCAAGGACGTCCTTCAGCTACCTGCGACTGAGGCAGTCGAGTTTAGCGGTCACGCCGACTCTGCTCACGCTGGCAGCAGCCGTGCGAAGGCCAAGTTCTCTGTCTAGAGAACCCTTCACACCGTGATAATTTGCATTCTCGGCGGTTTCTGGACAGCTGGGTCACGATTCGATTATGAGAGCATGGCACATGGCGTACATGGCGTAAGACGGCTCGCAGAGCTAGCGAGAAGGGACGTTGAACAAGTGGCCGTCCGGGGGCAAGATTTGGCTTTACTTTACTGCGTAGACGCCCCGTTGGGTGTCACGACTTCGGATGGATAGCTCAAGGAACGGTATACCCAGCACGCAGATGAGGCATTTCTGTCGATGGCGATTGTAATATAAGATGCAGTGCATTTTATAGTCAGAAATTTCATTTTCCATGCTTAGACTCTCTCGCTTGTGCTCATTCGCTGTTGTAATCGGTTCCTGAGACTTTCTCCAAGGCCGTCTCACGCCATGCTCTGTTTTGTGTCCTTGTTGCCGTTTCATTAACATGCGCTCATAAAAATTCTGGGTATCATCTGAAAATTCTTTGCTCTCCTCCCGCGCTCTCTCTGCAAACAAAAAAAACAATTCCGTTCTCTGCACTCGAATCGAAGCTTCAATTTCTCGTGGTGCTCGCTCGCTCGCCTGTCCCGCACTAGCACACGGGTATACTGTAGGGCGTGAGATTCCCATCACAGTGGTTCTTATCGTAGCAACTGCCCCATTTGAAATATAATATTAGCCTGGCGAAAACAAAAATCGGAAGACTTTCTGAGAAAGCTGCAGGTGGGTAATGGAAGTAAGGTAAGGTAAGGTAAGAACTCACGCTCCGAATCGGTGGCCACAGGTCATCTTGTCGACGCACACCGTGGAGGGTTTACATGCTTTTCGTTGGGCGTCTGGATCGGCGGCGGTGGAGGCGTCGGTGGAGGGTGCGGTTGTGATGAGTGAAGGAGCGCCGGATGTGGTGCTGTTGAGGTCCGGGGCTGGGGTGAGGTTGGCGAAGGGGGAGGATGTTGAGGAGGATGGAGAAGGTGGCGGTGTTTGTGTTTGTGCTTGTGAGGTGGTAGACGTGGCGATTGGTTGCTCGCCCGTGATGCCGAAGGCTGGTAGCGCGGTGGTGGTGGTTGTGTCTACTCTTCGGAGGATGCCTGCGACTGCGGCGTGGGCTGCTGGGCAGAAGAGGAGGAGGGCTGGGAGGAGGTGCATGGTTGGATTCCTTTTGAAGATCCGAGTCTGGCTTTGAGGATGTGGAGTTGTGGCGTTTGGTCAGTTATTTCTTTTTCTGGGCGAGAAGAGTATGTGATGTGATGTGATTGTGCCACGGGGAAACGGGGTGTGAACTTATGGGAAATGCTTCTTGCCCTTTATATGGGATAGCAAGTCAACACTGCCGCTTTCGAAATTTGTTATTCTCACATCCTCAACTGGTATAGTACGCTCCACGGGCGGGTCTACCTCCGCCATCGAAGATCTGTGACCGCCGCCATCGTAGATCTTGTGCTGGGCGGTAGTGCAAGAAATCTTTCCGAGGAATGCTCGAAGGCTGGAATGAGCGGGTTACACACACGCCCCAAGGACCGGGTTCAGATTCGCCAGGTCTGAGGTGAACGTCGTATAAACAGCATATTCGATTCCGAGCGTGCGCAGCACATGTCGCATCGGTACTCGGCAAGACGGGTTTCACCTACTTTTTTGTTGAAAGCTGTTCTGCATTAACCAGTGTTGCCGTGCTACCACCCACCCATCTGGGAAGACACGCGACGTGGCTCGACCGCGTCGTGACTCTCCTGCAGCGGTGAAGAATGCAAGCCATTCCGATGAACAGGTCTTCAGTTCGTGGCACATCTCGACGGGTTGGAATTGTGACGGTTTCGCGACAGCGTCTCATTGGAGGGTACCACAAGGGGTAGTACAAAGATGTTCGGTTCTCTTCCAGAGCGGTAGACATGGTTCCTGCGGTACAGCGAGAGATGTCTTCATGATTGTGCTCCTATCAGGTCCGCGTCTTGTTGCTTCATCTCCTCGAACTCACGCTTAGCCTGGCGAAGAAGGTCTTCGTCAGTCAGCACGTCGACAGCGGTTGCTGATAATGCTATAGCTACACGAAGGGCAAGATCATGTGCTTCTTCAGTCCTTGCTGCTCTTTCGAAGTCAGGGGTATGTGGGCCTCCCAACTGCTTGCCGTCTTCTCCCTCACTGCGAATCCAGAAATTTGGCTAAATTTCCGCGGTCAGTAAGTCAATGAAGCTGATGCAAAGAAGAAGAACGTACGCTAATCGACGGCATAGCATAGCTGACATCTCCTTGATCGGTACTGGCCATGGTGGACCCCGTGAGGTAGTCAATCTCTTGATCTGGAATTTCGCCTCCCAGGTGATTAAAGGCGCTGCGAAAACTCGACGCTAAAGTCTTGTTGGGCATGTGGTCATCATAGGATCCTTTTGGCGTCACATTCAAGGTGGCCCCGGTTGCAGTAGCACCAGCTTCAAAGCAGCTCATCACCCGCTTCTTCAAGGCTTCTCGTCGCGCTCGAGTGCTGGATCGTACCACAAACATACCCGAGGCGTACGCATGTATAATGTTTGGTCGAAGCCCGCCATTTATTATCTGGCCCTGGATGATATCGCCAGGTTGTGTCTGCTGCCTGAGCACAGAAATGGCGTTGTAGGCAGTGATCAATGCATCCAGAGCGTTGATGCCATCCCAGGGCCGTGCGGCCGCGTGAGCTTCTCTGCCAAAGTACTCGACTTTGAAGCTGGTGTATGCTGCAGTTCGCGTGACAGCGCTATCGGACGAAATGCCGGGGTGCGAGATCAGAGATATGTCCACATTGTTGTCCCGGTAGGCGCCGGCGTTGAGTAGCTTGATCTTGCCTCCTCCTCCTTCCTCTGCGGGCGTGCCGAAGAGGACTACTTTTCCTCCGAGGGACTCCTCTTCGACAAGTCTGGCGGTGGCCAGGGCCCCTCCTACGGATGCAATGGCGATGAGATTGTGGCCACAAGCATGCCCAATGCCCTTCAGGGCATCGTACTCGGCGTTGAATGAAACCACGGGACCCCTCTTCCCACTATCATATACAGCGACGAACGCGGTCTTGATGTCGTACGCAGAGGGAGTCACATGCCAGCCCTTCTGGTCCTTGAGATAGTTGGTAAGGACATTGTGCGCGTGAAACTCCTTGTATTGCAGCTCAGGATTGTCGTGGATCTCAATCGACAGCTTCCGCAATTCCCGCTTGATGTCTTGGACGTATGTGGAGATCGAGTGCAGGTACTGACTGGGCGCGTTGGGACGGTCTACCATGACCGCATCGTCCTCGAACATGCCGTGGCAGCCAACAACACCAGAACCTGGTCGTTGTTGTTGTTGCCCGCACCGCACCGCATCGAAGGAACAAGGCGACGGCCCGTACTTCTAGCGGGAGTCCCGCCTCCCCGTCCCTCCCATCCCCCACACCCGGCCCCCTTCCCCCACCCAGCAGTGCCCCCGGGCCGTAACCCGCAGCGGTCCCCTGACCGCCCACGGCGCTTACATCATCTACACCGAGCTTTCGGCGTACAATACATGTACATGTACAGTACCTTATCGATCATAAGCCGATTGGCCATCATCATGCCCTCCATTGGTCGGATGGACTGCGGAGACGCATCCATCTCTGCTCATTATTATTATTAGACTGATTATTATTATGAATATTATGATACGATTCGGTGGGCGCTCCTGTCTGCCGTCTGGCATTGCTTCTGGCCCACCCATTACCGACCTTGTCGATCCTCGGACGCCGGTCCCGCTCAGCATCACCTGGGCCATCTCGTTACTATTATTGCGCGGATGCTCGATGCTCGTGGTCCAGCAAGGCCTCCTTGACGGATTGCTACATGGCGCCGTGCCTCCACGTGCTCTTCACCATCCCAGTCCCGGCAAGACACTTCGAACCTGTTCCATGCAACTTCGGGGAGAAGAGAAGGAAGTCCAGCTATCCATACACTTCCGTAGCTGAACCCACCGGCGTGGACCTCACAGGCCTCTTCACGACTGCCGTGAGAGGCTGTTTACTGGCCTATGACAACTGGTGACACAATGCTGCTGCCCGGATCGAAGAAAACTCATCAAATTGCTCAGCATGGCGCGGTTGTTTATACTCTACTGCGTGCTGCCGTGCTGTCCCGACCTGTTGTCCCGACCTGTCCTCTCGCTATCATCGCATCACGTCCTCAAGGCCAAGCCAGCACCGTATTGCAACTACTTCAGAGCGCCTGAGCATCCATGGCATCCGAGGGCAGCCAGTACAATGAAGACCCCTTGTTTGTCTCACCTGAGCGGCTGATGCTCGATGGTGTGCATCGAAGGGACAGCGCGCAACAGCAGACTTCATATGGTCATGCACCACCAAAGACACATCATCAGACCGTCTGTACGCCTCGCACATGAACTGAGATTTCCCCATGGAGAAACTCCTCACTGATCGCGCCTGCAGGGGCCTCGCAACAGACGAATCAAGAGCGACCAGTTCTTTCCATGCACGCTACTGCTGTTTCTGACTGGACGATACCGACTGCTCAGACCTTCAGGACCAATCTACCACCCACACCAATCTCTCCGTTTCGACCACTGAGGCCACTGTCGGAAGATGAGAAGCTCGCCTTTCCTTGCACAGGTAGTCTGGAAAATTGCTGGAACCCGGTGCTCTGTCCTAAGCATCAGGGCTATTCCAAGCCGGCGGAGCAGAGGACGACTCCGCCTGATGTCCACGCACCAAGGCCAGACAACCCGAGAAGACGCAGCGCTCCTGCCACGAATCTACAGCCGCCTCCGGCCAAGATCAAACGCAGTGCTACCGAGCCCGAAGAAGCAGACCACTCAATCACCGGTCGACAACGTCAGTTCTCCATGAACCGAGATCCCCGCTCCTCCATCTCCCGCGGCCGCGTTCCACACAATCTGGTCGAGAGGCGCTACAGAGACAATCTGAACAACCAGATTGAATCTCTTCGCCTCACGCTGCCATCTTTGAAAGACGCCCAACCAGGCGATCTCGACGACACTGCATCCCCGCGAATGCCCTCGAAAGCCGTCATCATCTCCACCGCAGCGACATATATCAATGACATGGAAAACGAACGGACGCGTCTTCTGGCCGCTAATAAAGCCCTGCAGGAGCAGGTTTCCAGTCTCCAGAAACTTGTCCGCTGCGATGATTGCTCGATTATGGGGTATCTGAATGCTATACAGATCAATAACGCTGCTGCTGCTGCTGCTACTGCTAGTCAGATGACGACGCCTGGAACTTGAATATGCGCCTCTCGGCTACTCGGATTAAAAAAACAATCAGAGCCGCTCTCCAGCTTTTTGAGATGAATTCTTTCAACTGCGCTTTTCCCGGCTGTCTCTTTGGGGTTGTATCCACCACCACCAGGGCTTATGGACACGATCCTCGATCGACATGCTTGTCGTTACCAGTATGAGAAACGCCCGGGAGGAAATCCAGATAGTATCGAATTGCCTCACAGCGCAGGAGCTACTACTGCACATGATTGGGCCGTATGGTTTTAGGGAAAAGAAAAGTCGTCGATGTGAATCGCACGACGGGGGATGGGGGGCGGGGGCTTAGACGGACTGGGTGGCGTTGGGAAAGGCTCGGATTCTACCACTCCTCTTTGACATGTTCATCCATAAACGAGATATGTACTCACGGCATGGATGCCAGAAGTCATGAAATCAAAGTGTGAAAAAAAGGCAGCATAGTTTGCGCGAAGATTCAATTCACTCCACCTCGCTTCGCCAAGAAATGATCGACGCAAGAAACCCCCTGATCGGGTGGGAAAAATGCTCCACCCCTTGCCCTTTCGGACTGCACTTCTTTTGACCACCGATTATACAATTTACGCAGTAGTAGTAGCCGTAGTAGTAGTTATCCCCCCCCCCCCCTTCCCCCTTTCCTCTCTCTCTCCCCCTCGAAAAACAAAACGGACGCAAATCAGAAAATGTACAAAAGCATCCTCATCCTCCTCCTGGACGCCTCGTAGCGCCTTGCGGTGTATCGAAAGCAAAGCAAACAAAAAGCAGCTGTTGGACAACTGCTGGAAGACTCTAGTTTTCGAGCCTTTTTCGCTGAAACGCTTATCAAAATTCTTGTGGAAATTTCTCGCATCTTCCTCCCGCAACGCGACCGTCGCATGTTTCCATGCTTTCTTTCTTTCTTTCTTTGTTGTGCGGTTTCGGCATCGGCATCGGCCGTGCCTTCTTCCATCACGATAGGGTTCTCCTTTCCTTTTCTCTAGGGTTCCAAAAAAGTCAGCCACGTTCTGCTCTTTCCCCGGTAATTCCTTTTGTGTCGATCGATCTAATCTCTAGAACAGTACAGTGCGTGCAGTGGTGGCAGCTGCAGTGGCAATGAAAACGTGCGGGTGGCTTGTCGGGTAGTATAAAAGGAAACGGTCAGTAATTGGGTGATTGGGACTCCAGTCCCTTCCATCACATGACAACACAGCAACATCCTTTCTTCGACGGCTGCGCTTCGTCCTTCTCGTCCAGTTCCGGTACACGAGGAGGGGTGGTTTGCGCCATAGGTTGCGGCGGTGCTGGAGAAGGTACTGGCGACCGCTGAAAGGAAGGAGTGGAAGGAATGGTAGGTGTAATCTTGTAGCCTCGGCTCGTGCCAGGTCGAACGCTCCCGCTGTCGCTCCTGGTGTCGCTCTTCGGACTGAGAGGCCATGGTCCTCCGTTGGCGGATCCATGAGGTGACGACCTATCCTTCTGAGGCGATGGGCTACGTGGCGGTGGTGCCAAATTCGCGCTATCCACAGACAAGATGGGACGTTTCGGTGGTGGAATCTCCTCATCATTCAGCAGATTGAAATCGCGGTCGTAGACAGTGCCGGTCTTTCCTTCCTTCTCCCACTGCTCTTGCATCATACGTTTCTTGTGCGTTGGAAGCATCTGCTGATCAGGTGGAAGGCGCGGGTCCGGCTTATACATCGTTGAGATCCAAGGTGCTTCTCCCTCCGGTGTATAGTGACTAGTCGAAGGGCGTGACTTGTGTCCAGAGTTCGAGCCTGGCCGCCTCGTGGCGGATGCCGAGGTAGTGCGGCTTTTCTGATGCGAAGCGTCGGATCGAATTGCTGTGGCTGCGCCAACAGAAGCCTTGCGCCCAGTTGGGGCAGTCTTCTTTGGAACACGTGTCTTTGTTGGAGAGTTCTCTTCATTCGAAGAGGTTTTGTTGGAGCTTCCCGGAGGCGTGGTTCGCAGGGCATCCGGATCGGAATCGAGCAAGACTTGACTGCTGATACTGCCACTTCGTGCCTTCCTCGCATATTGCATCTCATCAAAGCTGCTGCCGTTCCAGTTCTGACTGTCAGCACGACTGCGGGGAAGTGGAGAGTCTCGGTCTACCACCTGTTGCGGTACGGGCACGGGACTGATTCTGGAGATTGGTATCCGTGAGGTTCCTGGTCGGGGGGGTATCGGCTGCTGTTGTCTCTGCCTCTGCAGTTCCGCAGCCACCTCTTCAGCCGAACGAAACTCGCCATCCTTTTGGTGGTCGAAGTGCGAGTCGTAGCGTTCTGGCTCTTGTCCCCGCGATGCTTCTGCTTCTTCATCTGTGGCCGAGAGCACGGTAGACACTCGCTTTCGCGGAGACTCTTCGTGCCCAGGGTAAGCTGCGGCATAGTCCTCGTCGTTGTTGATCTCGTTCTGGCGCTCGTGACTCGTCCTGCTCATAGGTCGTCGCGAGCGGCTCACCGAGCGGCTCACGGAGCGGCTGGTTCTGCGGTCGCGAGGGCCTGGACCCGCACTCTCTGATCTTCGGGAGGAGGATCGCATGTAGATGCCGGCCGCTTCCATCTCCTGAATCTCTATCTGCGCCAGCTTGTCCCTGTGAATCCATGCCGAATCATCCACGCGCTCTCCAGTCTTCTCGTCCTGCGGGCGATTCTCTCGCAGCTGGTTGCGCGAGCGCTTCCTTCCAGCAGCAGTGTTAGTTGCTCGCAATGACGTCCTCCTCTGCTTGGTAGTCTCCGAATCGGACATCAGATCCCAGGCGCTCGAGGTCTGTCGAAGGCCTTTCGCGTCTTCTGCGGCATTGTAATCTGTTTGTTCGCGCAATGGCCTCGCATTGCCGTCCGTCTCTTCCAGAGGGACCGCATAGCTCCACTGACCGCTGTGTGCCATGGCGATTCCTCCTCAACGTTGAGCAGCGAGCCTGCCGACACCCAGTTGTCTGTCTGTTGGTATAAAGGAGTGGAAGCAGCAGTCGCTCGCGGTCACGCTGCAGACATGACCAGTCCGGTGGGCACGGAAGAAGTTGACGGCGGTATGTTGCTATCGGGGGGCGCGGTCAGTCATGGAAAAAGTCTTGTCGTCGGAGATGCTTGCTTGGACGGCAAAGAGATTGCGGGTGCGGCGAGCTCGTGCAGCAGGACAGAACTGGGCGCAGGATGTCAATGATGTGCGCCAATGCAGGGAAGTGGGAGCGGAGTGCATGACAGGACGGGCCACGATTTGCTGCCTCCGTGATCAAATCGTGAGTCCGGCGTCTGCTCCTCGTCGTCGTACTCGGCGGTGGTCGTCGTGGTGGAGGAGATTGGGACACAAATGAGACGCGCAGGGCGGCGCGATGTCGATGTCTTGCTGAAGAGCTGCAGATAGGAGTTGGAGTTGTCGAGGGTCGATTATTGGGCTGTGGGGGCGTTGGTGGTGCTCCTTCGCCGGCCACCAAGACCAGCGCGGCGTCGTTGAACAAAAGGCAGTCAATTGGCAGATTTACTGCGCACTGCAGCCTATCTAGGCATCCCGTCCTCGCGATTCGCTCATAACCGACGGTGGCGCGGCTAGTAACTCTGCGCCTTCTGCCGGGAGATCCATCACGCGAGAAGGAACCGAACTCTGTCTCGCCCTCGTCTACAGACTTTCACACCTCGTCCCCTCACCCAGGGGCCCTCAACACAGCACAGTGCAGCAACAACGCGTCTTCCAGCCTCTCGTCGGAGTCCTTGCGAGCATTCTCGCTGTCACGTGTGAGCCGACAGAAGATGCGAAAGTACCAACATGGCCCACATGCCAAATGGCCCCCCGGGTCTCAACCTCCAGGACCATCGCAACGGCTCTCGCAAAATGCGTGGTGTCTCGGGCCACTGCGACTGCCCCATACCGTGTTTGACATCCTACACCACGACATGCGACAGTCGCTCCCTCGAATCCGCCGTGATGCGATCCTGAACCCGCGAAAGAGATTGAAAGTTGGATAAGAACACCATTGACAGCGCAGACGTTTGTGGTTGAAACCGTCCGCCTCGTACCGAACCGTTGGTAGCTGGACTCTTCACACCAAATCAGATCACAGTTTCTGGATGCTATACCGGCTGCTGTCTTCTTGGCGTTAGCCTGTTGGGTGGATCGCGGGAAGTGATGTCGCTGGTGCACATTACGTGCCCATACCCGTGGTATTGCGCGTGCAGGAGGCAAGAGGATTGCATGTTCACCCGCAAGGGGCAGCTTTCGGCGCACATCAAGACTGACAGACTGCAAAGGATCCGCTGACAGACGCAAGAAGATCTCCACACACTCGCAAGACGGAGCTCTACGCCGTCTACTTCGCTTCGCTGGCCCTTTTCAACGCGGCGTTAGCATGACATCGTCACCGACAATCCAGGAAGCTGCTTCAGGGAGTGTAGGACACGCTGGAAATACCATCCGCTAGCACCGGCAAGGATGAGGCTCAGAGATTCGAGCTGACCTCCTTCAGCATCTACATCTGGGTTCTGGCAGCGGCTGAAGAGCGATTTGGTGGAAGATTCAGTAAGAGGCAAGATGTATGGGTTGATGAGACTGCCGTTGAATGTGTTCATTGTCATGGCTCTGGGCTTTATGAAAGAAGGTGAATGATTGTATCCATGTCCTTGGGTGATTCTTGCACTAATTGGGTACAGGTGATGCTTATCGCCATGCTGTCTTCATGGTCACTGAAGTTGTGTTGCTAGGAGCGTCCGGGGTGGTTATCTGTAGCATGCGATGTCCCGACCAAGAAGGTCGTACAGAACGCGATATCTCTCTATATTCAAAATGACTTCATTCAATGTGCATTGCTCCTGAGCCCTCTATACATCGTTGTCGGACTGTGCGTGCCACGTATCGCTCCAGATACGCGGCATCGCAACGCAAGGGAAGCATAGCAACGCCTTCTGACGAGGCAATCCTGGCGACGCGATCAATTGTGGCCTTGCTTCTGGTGGTCACCAATGTTTGCGAAGGACAACAACGACGTCATCAGGGCGGAAATAGGACACATTGGCCAATCGAGGGGTGACGGCTTTGACGTGAGACTGCCGCGTTGCTGTTGCTGCACTCTGTTGACGACTCGACCCTCCCCTCCGTTCCTTCTCTCCTTGAGCAATTCCTCGTTCCACGGAACACTGCAGTGAGGTGGGCATTCATGCTGGCTGTGAAAGCGGGGCGGAGTTCAGCGAGGAAAGAGCACCTCGGAGTGTGATTGATTGATTCCAAGTTGCCTTCCGGCAAGTGTCCGATCCACGTTTTCTTGGCATCACGGCCGCGCCTTCCCCAAATTCATCGTCGCCTGTCGCGTCGAGTAAACATTGTGCATCGTCCGCTGCCTGCCAGCAATCGCCGCCTTCGATCAAGCAACCACACCTCTCCACACACCACCGACTGTCCGAGACCGTTGCCCTCCATCAGCACGCGACTTCCACGCCCACGCGACAAACACCGACCTCCAGCGGCAGGCGCAGCGCTGCTCAGAAATGCTCGTCGCGCCGCCCTCGCCCTCGCCCTCGCCCTCGTCCTCTGAAGCGCGCACTTAGACTCTATCCTCCGTCCGCTCCCACACCAACCACCTCACTACTCCCGCTGCACCCTGTCTCTCCTCTACCAGACACCGACCTTCTCACGCGGAATATTGTCGACGTCATTGTCTGCCGCTGCCCCGAGATTCGCTTGTCGGCCACGCGCGTCGCCATTCTCCGGTTGTCTGTGCAAGACCCGAACGTCACCATCCTCCGCAACATCTTGCATCTCCCCCAAGATGCCGCCTTCTGGTCGTAAGGGTAAGACCCGTGCGCGAAGAGCGCCTGCTGCCACCGAGACACACGACCCATCCGATGCCGATACCCCAGAGGCCATCCCCACCCCTACCAGAGGCTCAAGGAAGCGCGCTCGAGGCGGTGACACCATGACCGCTGCTCCGCGCACCAAGAGAAACAAAGTCAAGGACACACGGCCAGTCGAGCGCGAAGATACGGAGGGCACCGAGCCCGGCGACCAGAGCGACAACGAGACCGAGCCATCAACACCCACTGAACAGGAGATCATCGCGAGCCTGAAAGTTGCCGACAAGCAAGTCAATGCGACGGAGGACTTCGCCAATGAGCTGCTCGAAGGACAGGAGAGTGTCCCTGGATATGGCAAGATCGCTGGCCGTGACTGGGTCTTTATCATCCGCAAGATTGAGATCAATATCGGCCGTCCCGAGGCTCAGGAGAGGCTTGCTACCGATGGAGATGGCACTCGAAGCACGCCCAGTGCGAAGAGTGTCATTGATATCGATTTGGGCCCGGACCGCCAGATCTCCAGACTGCATGCTGTCATTTCATACGATCCTGACACCATGCAATGGTTCCTCGTGGTCAACGGACGCAATGGAGTGCGCGTCGACAACAACATGTTCAGACGCGGGAGCAAGACCTATCTTCGCAATGGAAGCGTCATTGAGATCGCCAACACGCAAATGGCCTTCATTACCACGCCTACCGAACAAAGCGAAGGACCTGTCTGGGACGCTTCCATCCTTCGCCAGGCTCAAAAGTCGTCAGAAGAAGATGAGGATGGCGAGGAGGACCCACGAGGAAACAGTGGTCGCAGCCATGCTCGCTCAGGACGAAGCCACCTGCAGGATCAGACCATGTATCAGTCGCATCACAGTAGCCAGCAGCAGAATCAGCAGTACCAACAACAGCAGCGCACGCATCCTCACTCTCAGCGTGGAAATCTGCAAGCTACTCCGGGTACACCAATGCGGTCGCAGGCATCATGGGGAAAGTCATCGCCTGCAGCAAACTACGCCAGAGGTGTAATGATGGAGTCGACGGAAAGCATTGACTACTCTGCCGACAACGCGAAAGACCTCAAGCCGCCGCACTCTTATGCGCAGTTGATCGGCATGGCGATCCTCAGCACACAAGAGCAGCAGATGACCTTGAACAACATCTACAAGTGGATCATGGCAAATTACGCATTCTATCGATTTAACACGGGCGGCTGGCAGAACAGCATTCGTCACAATTTGAGTCTGAACAAGGCATTCACAAAGATTGCGCGTCGTACAGACGAGCCAGGAAAGGGCATGAAGTGGATGATTGAGCCGACCGAGTTCGACAACTTTGTCCAACAGGGCATGAAAGGCTGTAGGCGACCGAACCCCATCCCGGGTACTCAGAGTACCTTGGGATCTCCTAACAGCCCTATGGATCGTGTGAGACCAGGTGTCAAGAGAGATGAAGACAATACACCACCATTGAATGCCTACCAACCTTCCTATCACACTGCCATGGAGGCTTACACCCCTGACCGCGGTTCACGACGACCAGCTACAGGCGAACTCAACAGTAGCGTCGGTCTCGGCATCGAAGGCAACAGTCTCGTAGACTATGAGTACCCGCAGCGCTCAACGCCTCGGAATGGCTTGAGTGCCATTGCCAATGCCGCAGGCTCTCCTCCAGCTCTGTATGTCAACGACGATGGCCGCACTGGAGCTTTGGACACCCCATTTCCCCTGCGTCCATCGCAGCGATTGGCGCCGCCGAGTACCTTGAGGCGGCCGAGCGATTTTATCCAGTTCAGCAGTCCAGCTCCGTTTTGGAAGATGGAGGGCCTCGTAGGCAGCACCCCATTCAAGCCGTTCGATCTGAGCCCACTCAAGACTCCCTTTCCGACTCTCAAGAAGGGCGCCGATGCCGAGCAAAAGAAGGATGAAGAGATTGGGAGTTCCCCTGTTGATGATGGTGGCGAGAAGGATCAGGAGGCCGAGCCGAAGGGCAAGGGCAGTCCCGTGATCAGCTCTAGTAGTCCACCCCGGCCACACAGTGCGACTCATGGTCTGGACGCCAGCCCAACGCTCAGCAGACCAGCCACTGCGGTGGCTAAAACTCTCAGTCAACTCGCCAACAGTGGCAAGGAGCACCAGGAACAGACTGATGGCTCCAGCAAGACTCCACCAACGGGAAATGGCGCTGCTCCAGCTCTCCCGGCTCAACAGCAGCACACTCCGCCCACGACGGTGAGCCAATCCTCTCAACCGGCTCCACGTCGTGAGCTGCCTCAGACTGCAGTCGCGAATAGCTTCGAGTCGTCCAGGCAGTCTGCAAATGGCAGCTACAACGCAGGGTTTGCAGGTAGCAATGGCGCCCAGGCGAACGGCTACCACGCTGATGATGGAGAGGACGAAGGCATCGATCTTGTCAAGTAAGTTGACTACAGGTTCGTGGTTCGAGAAGCGAGACTGACCAGTCCTAGGGGATTCCAACCTATTGGTGCCTTTCATCAGCGCAACCATCTAGCCATGAATATAGGCATGGCAGGCGCCGGGTCTGGATCCTTTGGTCGGTAGATTCGTCCAGAGGAGGCTGGCCACGTTACCTCGGATGTCCGTCCCAATCAGAGTATTAAGCGTACAGCAGGACCATGATAGATGAGCATAGAGTCTCGAAAGAGTAGCATTGTCCGACAGGAAATTGGGAGGCGTTTCTTGCGTTCGCGATGAGGTTGTGATGGCAGAAATGATGGCAAGCTGCACGATGCTGTTTTGTAACGTGGCGAAGAAAGGCTTTGGACGGCAATTGGAGTTTTCACGTAGTGTATGGAACATCATCGGTGTACTATCTTCATTTCTTTCGCATCCCTGTCAGGAGAAGCCCCGAAGGGGAAGCTGCGCCAGCCGACTCGTATAAAAGTAATACACGACGACGGGAGCGGATGCATTGGTCATGTGAAGATTGTGCCCCTCACGTTTATGCGTGCATTAGAAATAGGCCCTAGTAGTAGGTAACTGGTTCTGATTGTGCAACGATATACACGTCGCTTTTTGAAGCCCTTCTGACGAGCATCGCCTCTTCTCTTCTTCAGGCAGCGTCCACAATGATCGCTTCGGCCGCTTTTTCAGCCAAGACATAAATTGGCAAGACAGTAAAATAATCGGGTGCTTTCGGGAAAACGGGAGGCATCTACCACTACACGGAGACTCTGGACTCCCCGAACGCGGAAAGTTGCTGCCTTGGACGGCGGTGGGGGTCGGAAAATCGCTGCTCCATCGTGTACACATGCGGAAGATTTCTTTTCTGTCGGACAGAAAAATTCGAATGCGACTCCTCAGTCATCAATCAGACGCGAGGCTCAAGCTGGTCATTGCTCGCCAGAGCAGAGAGCCACTAGGTCGGCGATGCATAGAGGGGAGAATCTGATACAAGTCTTCCAGGCAATCAACTCGGGCCTAGCCCTCCCTACACGGTACCGGTAAAGGGTACCTTATCCGATGGAGAAGACGTAGCGTGCCTATATGGAGATCTAGCAGTTTATGGTCGCGATGCTGCCTGTTGTGGTCACTTGGCGTGCTTTGCCGTTGTGCTTTCTTGCAAGCAAGCCATTAGTGGGCCAATCAACGGGGTGGTATTATTCATGCCACAGGGCATTCCTCGTGAAGACTCGTGTTCAGTCAATGGTGACTTGCGATAGCATGTTGCTCTTGTGAATGTGGCAAGCAAGCTGTGAAGAGGCGAGTCGTGGCCAGGGGCTCTTTCAGACCACGGAAGGTCAGCCAAACATCGCGCGCGTGAAGAATGGCCGATGAGATGAGAATTGCTACGGATTGTGGTAGAGCATGACGATTAGCGAGAGTTTCAAGATCATCATAAGTCGTGATAAGATTGCGTTGCATCAACAAGACAGTTCCACCACGCCCAGTATTCACAAAAATGCCTCCCCGCGCCGACACCGACTTTTCCCTTGTCCTTGGACAGTCGTGATTGTATCGAGTTTTTGGATCCAGACCAACGCATGCAAAATGTCAAATGCTCTTGAGAAGCTGTGATAGAAAGAGAGACTGCCGTCCGCGAGATGCGCTTCTATGGCTGTTGCGAGGAGCGTGGCGGCTAGCGTCCAGGAGATCTACTTTTGGCGAGGCTTTGGCTCCTTGTCAAGGCTGGGTTATCCTTGATCTGGCATCGGTAGGCGTGTCGATAGTAAGGAGTCGTGGCACGGTCGGCGCGACCAACGCTGACCCATTGGTTGCAGCCTCCGCATAGAGCCTCCCATCCAGTCGATCCTTGGGCTTGCCTCCAGCTCAGAGGCTTGTCGAAAGGCTTTCCGGTGACACAACTAATACCATGGAAATAGTGCATATGGTACCAGTAAGCGGAATTCTTGAGTTTGTGCCTGCACAACGGACGATTAGCGAGGCGTATAAAGCCGCAAACGAGTCGCTTACCAGGAACGACAGATACCACACCATCCTGCTCGATCATTGCCATCACCTCGGATCCAGGACGCGGTATACTCATCGTCATCAGACCTTCGCGTCCTCCGACGCGGCATCAAGCCGTTGCCGTAGTCTGTTAGGGGCGGATCAGAGCGTACGTGCGCCTTGGACCAATGGGCTTCTGCTGGCGCGTATGACAGGTTCGCCGAGGCACTGGGATCTGCAGCAACACACGTCGCCTCTGGAAGCTGGTACTCGGGCGACCACTCAGAAGAGAGGCGCGGCATTGGTGGACTTAACGCAGCAGATGTCGAAGGATGACCCACCCTGGCCGATGCATGCCTGTGAATCGTCAATGGGAGTGCAACGTGGGTAGACCATGCGTCTTGAGTGTGCGGTATTGTCTCATTATGGCGAAGAGACTCCGTCCGATGGTGCCTGTTCGGTTCAGAGAAGCCGCGCAGGTCATAGCCCGCGAATCCGTCCAGGGAAGATGCCTCTCTTCCAATCGATCCAGAGCCGAAGGGCTGACTAGTCCATGAGGCGTCAAAGTCGTCAATGCCAGGATAAATGAAAGATCCACCAACACCAGGGATCATGGAAGCTTCGCCTTCGTAGTCTATGCCCCAGCTGTGCCATTCTTCCATCCCCTCGTAGTCTCCGAATAACTCGTTCATCTGGAGTGCTGGCGGTAGATGATATTCGAGACGCGGTTCTGCAATGTCCTTCCCTACCGATCATGCGAAGAGCTAGGGTGAGAAAATCAAGACAGCGGGATGTGACAGCTACGGATGCTTATCCTCTACAGTCTCATGAATGAACAAACGCATAAATCCTTCCAAATTCCTTGCACGCACACCGGCCGCTGCATGGCGAGCCAGATCGAGAACAGGCATCGCGATAGGATGGTCGGCTCCTGACACTACAGGAGCAAGCTTGGCGACCAAGATGGTCCTGTCGTCAATATTCATGCAACGTGGGGAGGGCATAATGTTTTGGAGATAAGATAAGTATGGTCCTGAAGACGAGCCAAGCCTGCGGTGTGGGCCGAGTTCGTCTAAGCAAGGGGTTGCCAACGCGGCTGTCGTTGGCAAATGAGACAGCGATCCAGTGAAGATGGTGTGCCGTCCTCTCTTTGTATGGACAGAAGCCTTTAGTGCTATTCATGCATCTCGTAATGGGCCTAACACTGCTGTAGCTGAGAACGGTGCCAGAAGTCCGCTGGAGACAATGATCTAGATGTCCAGATAGAGAGCCCACTGAAGTACACTCTAGATTTCATGCTGTTTTCCCTTCTTGTCCAGATTTGATCGGTTCAACGAGAGCGGTAATGGAGTCGGATTGAATCCACCTTTGGCCTGGCAAGTCCATCAGGGCTGTTCGGCATTGCGAGCCAGTGTCTCATTCCTTGCGGCACGATTAGCCGGCACATGCGCATGTGCGCAATCATGGCGCACGAGCACGCCAATAGCCGTGCCGTAGCAACGCTCGTGAGCTCGTGCATATTGCGGTCGTGCCAGGGACGATAGTTCTGAGGGCTGAGCACGCCAGCGGTGAGCATCCTCATTTGCAGGCCCGCATGGTCATCAACATCTTGTGATTCGTGATTGAAGAGCATCTTCCGGACGATGAAGGTGACCCAGGTGGTATTGCTGGACATGGAGATCTTCTTTCGAAACCTGTTTGCCAGTCTGCCCAAGCAGACGAACAGCGCTCCTGGGTGACACTAGACGCATCTTCAACTCGTCGGCGCTCCAAGGCAGATTCGCTGCGGTCTGGCGGCTTGGACCCTCGTCACCGTGCTGATATCGTGTTGCGGCGTGGATGAGTGCACGGGCACGTATGCGAGAGTGAAGAAGAAGAAGGAGGAGGGATGATCCGATGATGGACCCCTACTACCTTAGTAATAACCTTAAGGTACTGGGGGTTGAGTGAGGTGGAGACTTCTCCCATGGTCGGGTGTTTCCGCTCGCTCCCGCTCGGCTGCCGAGCAGACGATGGACTGAAACTCAACATCACTCGATGCCCTCACGTATCGCTCAGCACGAGCCGATTCGCCTCAACAGGAGACTGTCGTACACGTTGTGTAAATGGCCCGATAGGTGCGCTTGTGAGCTTCCGAATTGACCTGCCTTATGGCAATGCCCTTGCCAAGTCTCCCAGACGTTGATAGTCTGGCGCGAGATCTTGGACTGCGAATCAATGAAGAACTCCCTGGGATTCTCAGACAGCTATTCGACAACCGGGTCGATCTCGCCGACGGACAGCTCCATCTAGAATGCAGCCTGCAGAGCGGACAGAGCTTACCCGGGAACAACCGTCATACCGTTAAGGTAGCAACGATAGATATTGCCACCGCTGTCGGAACTCCATCCGATGACCAGACCCCTGGTGGCGGCGAGGAGATAGCGGGCTTTCGGCCAGACAACTCACGGCCGTCCCCGAGCAAAGGTGAGAACGGCTCCCCGGGGCGTACGTTTAGACCTAGGCGGACAACGACATCCTACTCTGATGACTTGGACGACTCGCGACCGGCTAAGCGCCGAGCCACCGGAGGTCTTCGAATTGGAGGTGCAGGCACTGCGGATGATGCCGCCAATGCCGTGACTCGGAGACTAGAAAGCGATAATAGAGTGTTTCCACAGAGGAAGAAGAAGCTACCAGACAATCCAAACCTACAGCCTTCGACTCTGGACAAGTTCATTTGCGGTGTCTGGGAGAGCATATACTCTGGCATTCGCATGGATCCCACAGAGGTCATTGAACAGTGGCAGGCCATAGAATCGAGTGGCCAACCCAAGCTGCTAATGGAAGCAGAAAGCGAGATTGCCGCGCGGGAGGACTCCATGGTCCAAGGAATGTTCAGTCGCATCAACATCCTCACTCGAAAGATCAGTCAGACTAGCCGGACCTGTAGATCACTGGAGGTCATCGTGCAAGCGCACTGGGTGCAAGCATTTGACGACAGGGTAGCGGAACTCAGCACGGGCATGACGAAAGAAAAGGCGAAGAAAACAGCGATTGCAGAGGCCTGTATTGACTTCAACTGGAGTGAAAAGGAGCTAAGAAACAAAACGGGGATCTGGCGTGGCTACCATGACATCAAGAGTGCAGGAGGATGGGCCGCCTTGGTTTTCGCCGGTATGGGGCTTTACCGTTTCTGCAAATACCGAGTGTCATTTACCGAAGAGACATTTCAGACGCTCAGAGCTCTTCGGCATCGGTTCGAAGTCGCAGCCGACACTCTTCATCCACGCTGGCGCTCCCTGCTGGCCATAGTCGGCGAAGCTACCGAAAGGAAGTATCACGGCCATCCGCACGACTGGGTGGTATGTGGCCCAGCGGAAGAGGCATTACCACTGGCCACCACATATCATCAATGGGACAGAGATTTCAGCTACACTCATCTGACTGAGTCTACGATTGACGAAGACACATGGGGCCTCTACGATCCACGTACAGTTGTGGCCGCCGCTGATATTGCATCTCGGAAGTGCCAGACCTGTGGCGATTACCAAGCAGATGATCCTCGACAAAACAATTGCAATTGTTTCCCGAACCTCTATGGCAGTTCGAAAGCCGGCTTTGTTCCACTACAGGTTTTCAGGACTCCTAACGGCAAAAATAATGGCCTGCTAGCCTGCTGTGATTTTGAACGAGGCGCTGCTGTTGGCGAATTCGTAGGCCAAATCACTTCTGGATTGGCCAACCTTGATGTAATGGTTGGGCAGACCGACCGAGCGTCGTATCAGATTTGGCAAGGACGTCAAGGGAATTACACGCGGTTCGTCAACCACTCGTGCCAGCCGAACAGCCAGTTTGAGAGATTTGTCTGGCTCGGCACGCAGCGCATTGTACTGGTGTCAAAAGGCATTGAAGCGGGCGAGGAAATCACTGTCGACTACTCCGATACGTACTGGAAGAATCTCGACAAGGAGTGTTTGTGCGGACAAGCCAAGTGTCGCTATCGGAATAGATCTCGGAATCTACTTCACTCTCCGGAGCCAACCTAGCCGTTAACGGAAAGCTCGAGAGACTATCTATACAAAGTGACCTGCAAGTGCCTAGACTGCTCCATGTCCTCTGTATCTACTGCGCACTTTTGCCCTGGACAATCTTCCTCGGCCTAAACCGAGTCCTGAAGTCCAGCTGACGGACAAACCAGGCATTATGAGTCTTCCAATCCGACTCCATCTCAATTTCAAAATTTCGCAGGAATGTAGGCACCAGCTTGTATATCTCCAGGAGACTGATGTTCTTGCCGATGCAAGTTCTAGCGCCTGCGCCGAACTGGAACATCGCAGCCTTCATCTCTCGCAGCTGATCTGGCCTCGCCTCCAGCCACCTTTCAGGTCGGAAATTGTCGACGTCGTTTCCAAACACTTCGGGCCGTCGATGGACGACCCAGGCGTTGCAGCCGACAATAGTGCCTCCCGGAATGCGCTCGCCCAGGATGTCAATTCCTTGCGGCGGTACTACTCGCTCCAAGATCAGTCCAGGTGCTGGATGCATTCGGAACGACTCCTGGATGACCGCATCAAGATATGGAAGTTTCAGACTTTCCGACCAGCTAACTTTGCCGCATTCCCTTTCTGCGATATTCCCATTCCGTGCGGCCTCATCAAGCTCATTCATGAGTTTTTGGTACACTTGTGGATGTTTGATGAGGTGATAGAAGACGCTGGACAGGCTGATGGATGTTGTTTCGGACCCGGCAAAGATCATGCTCGTGCAGGACGAAAGGACCTGTCGATCCGTCATGAACTCCGGATGATCATGCTGAGCTTGTGTAAATTTCATGAGCAGGTCGACACCCTTGCCGGAAGTCTCATCCAAGGATCCGTCTTGTCTGATTTTGTCCATTTCCACAGACCGATCGGCAGCTTGGGATAAGGCGAACTTCACAACTGGGTGTACCGTCTTGGTGATGCCCCATTTTTGCAGCTGCATTTTGATCGGGTTCTTGTCCCATAACAGGTCGAGCCATGGCATCTGTCCCATCGGCGCAGCGTACGTCAGGAAACCCTCGACAAATTCGACGATGTTCTCGACGTCTTCATCTCGTTCGACGAAGCCCAGGCGTTTGCTCCACGTGAGCTCCCCAATCACGTCGAATGCGAAGAACTGGAGCCATTTACTAAACTGACACGTACGACCCTGGTCGCAGTAGCGTCGACGGGTCTGTTCGATGAAGGCATCGATGGTGCTGTCGACTAGTGGCTCGTACCCGACCAGCGACGACATGGAGAAGGCATTGCTGACGCATCTCCTGTACTTGGCGTGATAGTCCTCGTTTTTGGTACTGAAGAGAGACTGCAGGCGTTCGCCCCGGGAGACGGCGGATTGGATGGGATAGAAGTCAGACTTGGTCATGTTCTTGTTGAGGCCATAGATGATCTTTATCGCTCTTGGATCCGCGAAGGAGAGGACATTTGGGCCCTGACGGACAATATCGCCATGCTGTCGGTGCAGCTGTAGATGCGTCTTCTCGGCTCGGCGGGAGAAGACGTCGAAGAATCTCCACCAGTGGGTGAATGATGCTAAGAGTGGACCGGGGTACTTGTTCAATCCGTTGTGGTATTTGTTCCGGATGAGGTGGACGGCGAAGGCTAGGACAAGTAGGGCTGGCCAGTAGGCTAGCAGGAGCGAAAATAGCTGACTTGCAAGCATGTTGAATGTGCTGCAGTATGCTGAAGTTGAACCAAGCAGACGAGTACGCTTACAGGGCTTGTGTGTACAGATTGCTCTCAGAGATCTCACCTATATACATATGTCCGGATCGAAGGCCACGGTCAAATGCCGAGCCCGCTGACTGTCGAGTACGAGTTTCTAGCCGGCAGATGCGTAGGCGCGGCAGATGGATGTAATACATGCTTGACCACGAGCAGAGAGCATGCCTTGCCCGGCTCTCTTGACGTTTGACATCCATGTTCTGTGGACGGATTGTTGGTCTGTTTCCAATCTGCTACGCGTGCCCAGAGTCATTTCCTCATGCAGAAGTTCTTTCTTTGGGCAGACGTATTATCTCTGGGCAAAAGTACTATCTTTGGGCGTTGAGGGAGAGGATTATCGTCCTGTCGATGGACAAGCGGTCTCAGATCTCGGCAGTTGGGAATTGTCATCTGCCGAAAAGGCAGGATGCGGACATTAAGGCACCAAGGCATCAATATATTCATTCCTCAGGCATCCAGAGCTGTCGTTTCAAGATAGTGCAGGTGTTAATGTCTATGTTGTCTCCTAAGACTAGAGATAGTCAATTTGTAAGTCTTATAAATATTACATATACATTTTAGCTACTAGAAGCGGCGGTAGCCTAAGCTTACAAATCCGTAAAATGGTTTTGCCGGTTTTAGTACCGTACTACTACACTCTTACATACTATAATCGTAGTAGTTAGGTACTAATATACTCGCTATCGACTCGCAATCTATCTATTAGGTCCTTTATTATCTACTTTGTCGTTATACCGCCTTAGGCTCTCGATTTACAGCCCTATCGGCTCTAGATTTAGCTTTAGATTTATACTAGATATACCTACTAGCGAGTCGTATAGAGCCTACATAAAACTAAGAGCATTCGCTACGGTATTAGAACTCTATAGATACACTTATCGCGATAGGGAGTAACTACTCGCCCTCGAATTAACTATAGTAGTAACGTAGTACTAATTAAGCGGATTACCGAGCTATTCTAGCTATATACTATTAGCGACAAGAAGAGCTATACTATACTACGGCTTAATAGCTATAATATCTCTTTAAGGTAGTATTAAGAGCTCCGCCGTACTTACGGCCTTAAGCGTCGACTAGAACACGAGGAATTAGAAGTAGCTACTACCTACGTCGATAAGGTACTTCGAGTAGTACTAATTAATAGGCAAACCTAAGACTTTAGCTATCGTAAGCTCGTACGAGAGTTAAGAACCTACTAGTATATTATAGGTAGGTAGGGAATCGACTCGTAGCCGACTCGTAGCCCTCTTCTTACTATACTAATGCCTACTAGGGACCGTATCTACCGGATTTCACGGCAAATTAACGCTCTACTATATAAGCTTCGCGAACTACGTAATCGCTATCCGAATAGGCTACGGTACGTACGACTAAAAGCTAATAGGCCTAACTACGTCTAGTTAATTAATGCCTTCTACAAAATCGAGCAATTCGGCATTCAGATTTACGCCTATATTAACGTCTACTTACGCCGGATTATCTAGTTCTACGTTAGCCTAATAGTAAAGACAAAGTACTTAGTGTTTTCGTAGTACTATACTATAATTAACTATATCTAGCGAGTCCCTTAGCGAGTCCGCTCTAATTAAGGTGTCGAGACACCTATACTAGTAGACGCCTATCTACGGCTTCGAGAGCTTATCGAGGGCCGTAATATCGACTTTGTTAAGGCCTTCTTATATACTACGAGCAAAGGCAATTAGACTATTAAGTACTAGTAGGGCGAGATAGCTAAATTAGCTATAAATCGCTAGAGAGACCTATTTAACTAGTATATTAACCTACACCTTTTCGAGGCCGCTAAGCTATCTAATCGACTCGCCTTCCTCGTAATCTATACTCTAATCATGCGCTATATAGTTAGTTACTTTGTCTTAGAGTAGAATCGGCACCCGGTACGAGTACAAAACCTTAAGAGCTATGTTAGTAGTATACCGGATTTGCTCTACGAGTATCTAGAGCTCGAGGACACTACCTAGCGTAGGCATCTAATTAACCCTAAGAGTCTAGCGAGTACTACTCTTAAGTAGTAGATAAACCGGATAGACGGCTATAGTAAGCTCCGCGGGTAATTAAAGAGCTTTCTATATTAGTACTAGGTAAGTAGCTCGAAATTGGACCGTACTCGTAGCTAATTTAGCTGTACTCGCAGTTACTCGTAGCTCTAGCTACCCGCCTATAGAGTTACCCCTCTCTTACTCCTACGCTAACTATGCCTCGCTATATATAGACCTTAGCTTATACCTACCTCCGACAACTCTATAATAGGTAAACGAACAGCTCGTACTCGCTAGCTACCCGTTAACCTTTAAAGGTAGCGAACCCGGATTCGGTAATAGGCCTAAGAAGCTTTATATACACGCTTATTAGTACCTCCGAGGAGTAGCTAAGTAGTACCTAGATACTAGTAGACGACTCGCTAAGTATATCGCGCCGACTCGCTTAAATAGCCTCGAGCCGTCTAATCGTACGAGAACCGTCTTTACTACTACTAGGGAGCCTCTATAAAGCTTCGTATATACTCGTAGTAGACTCGTAACGTTACATTCCTTAACACTACGTCTTATCTTTCTATATACGTCTATTATAGCTTCTTCTACTAACTTCTAGGAAGACTTCTATATATCTAATAAGGTAGATTATACTCTTAATTATACTAAAGAGTATAGCGATAAGCCCCGCTATAGTAAATGCGGCCTTAGGAACCCGTTCTTTACTATAGTAGACACTAATATAGCGAGTCGCCGCGAGTCGACTGTAGGCCCTTCCTTAATACTAGTACCGGATCCGATCGATTCCCCTACTCTACGGCGGAAGGAGCCCGCGTCTATAAAGGGCTATAGTAGCTTTACTAGACTCGCTAAAAGCTTATTTAGCCGTACTAATGCCGTTTTAGCCGCTAATAAGAAGCAGCATATCCGCCCGCTTAGTAATATAGGTATTAATCCGTTATCCGGAGAGGTATAAGGTCCTCGTACTAGTAAAGCGAGTCTATATAGGAGTACGCTAATCGCTACGAATCGACTTAAGGCGGGTAGTAGTAGTAGTACCGAGCTACGAGACGACTCGTAGGCCGACTCGTAGTCGTAGAACAAGGGTAGTAGACCGAAGAAAGTACTAAAGGGCCCTAAGCTTTACGTTATAGTGTATATAAGCAAAGTAGTAGTTAATATAGTTAAGAAGGAAGGCTAGTAGAGGTGGACGGTTAGAGATAATCTAGAGCTAGTCGATTACTAGTCTATCGTAGGCTACTAGAGCGACTTTAAGGCCCTACTACTCGACTCGCCGCGTACTCGTAACTAGCTTTACTACTAGGCTTTATACGCTAGCTATATTAAGGTTAAGAAGGTTACCGGCCTATAGTACTACAAACGTCCGTTTATATATACCCGGTACGACAAAGAGTAGAAGCTCTTAATTATACTAAGCTCGAATAGTAGAGACAAAGACGACCTTAACGAGCAATTACTACTATTTAAGCGTAGGTACTAGGCAAATCCTACGCGAAAGGAGGTAGATATTAGGGTCGCTGTCCTTGTAGCTAAAGATAAGCGGTAGAATAGGCTTCCGAAGGACTACGGCGAGTCTAGCGAGTCTACCGACGACAGCTCCTCTTTAGATCCGGATCTAATAAAGAGCCTTAATAGGCGCTATCGTAGTAGGCGTCTAGGTTAGAGGCCTAGTACTAAAGCTAAAAGAAAGATAGCTAAGGAGGTAGTAGCGAGTGTAGTAGCGAGTACTAGCGAATCTAAAGTAGTACCTTCTACTAGCCCTAATAAACTAGCTAAATTCCGCTAGCCTACGAGTCCCTCTACGAGTGCCTAATCTACCGAGAAAGAGGCCTCTACTAGTCCGCTAGTTAGTTACAAACGTTAAGCGAGTCGCGAATTACCCTATCGATCTACTCCTTCGTCTATATCCGGTACCTAGGGATTAAGCGCCTATAACCCTATCGATATTATTAACCTTACTAATAATAACGACGACGACGAGCCTACGTACGTACGAGTGCCTAAAAGCAAGCTAGTAGTAAAGTAGGAGGCACGTATAGTAATAAAGAAGGAGCCTATAGATTTAAGTACTATTAAAGAAGGAATAGAGATTACTCCTACGGATTTAGTAGAGCGAGTCGCTAGCGAGTCGCCGGTAGCGACGGAGATTTAGGGCGATAGGTAGGTTACTAGCTTACCTAAGGATACTAAGGCTACGAGTGTACTAGCGGAGCCTACGAGTACGCCCCCGAGCGGACTAGCGAGTACTACGAGTGTACTAGCGGAGGCAATAAGGAATAAGAAGCTAAGGAAGGAGTATATAAGGATTCCGGAGTTTTAAAGGGTTATAAGGGCGTTAAAGAAGCTATAGCGAGTCGGTAGCGAGTTAGTAGCGAGGCTTTAAAAGGATAGAAGGGCGTATAGGGTTAATAGTATAAATATAATAACGATTAAAGGCTTAGAGATCTCTAATATTAACATTCTCCCGACTCGTAGGCTAAAATTAGGTAGACTCGCGGGCGATTTAGGGATTCTACGATCTCTAAGATTCGTAGTATTATAATTTGCCCGACTCGTAGGCCTAAAATTGCTAGATTCGTAGGCGATTTAATCGCTCTAAGATTCTATATATCCTAAGCTACCCGACTCGTACGGAATCGTAGGCTAAAATTAGCTATACTCGCTATAACTCGTAGGCTAGAATTAATCTATACTATCTACTAAGTATATTTGCCCTTATATTTAGCTACGAACTACTCGCTACCCGGTAGCTACGTAATAAAGTCTATTATATAGTAGAGCTTAGCCTCTAGATTATTAATACGCTTATAGGCAAACCCTAAACCCTCCTTAAGCCTAGTAATCTTAGTTTAAAGACTCGTAGGCTTCTACGAGTCGCCTATCTCAGCCCTAGAGTTACCTATAGTAGCCCTAGAATTACCTATAGTAGCCTACGAGTCCGGCTTAGGCTTTAGCGAGTTATCCTACTTATCCTTCTACTTCTCGTACTTCTTCTAGAGCTTACTATTATAACCTAGGCGACCGTAGCGCTTATAGAACGCGTATTAAGTATATTCCTTACCTTTATAGATAATATAATCTAGACCTCTCGTAGCGTACTACTTATAGCCGCTAGGCTTAGAAGATAGTATACCTACGAGTCGATTAGATTTTAGTAGCGAGTCTATATAAATTAGAAAAAGCATACCTAGATCCGTCTCTATTATCTCGCTAGCGTAAGTAAACCGCCGTAGGCTATTAGCCGCGGACTTACGAACCTACTTATTACTAGATTTAAGATTGTTTAAATAGCGCTACTAATCCTTATCGGAGATATACTAGAATGTAGTCTTATCCTACGTCTCTAGTTTACGGTAGGACTCGCTAGACTCGCTAATTAGCTTTTGCCTATTCTTTAGGCTTCGGATAGCTTACCTTAGGGCCGATATAGTTACTACTAGGGCGCTCTCGGGCGTAGACTAAGGCGGAGGCGAAGGAGTAGGTTAATAATTAGGCTAGTATCGGTCGTAGAGTCGTCTATAGATAAATGTAAGAGTCTCCTAGTCGATTAATACTATAAATTGTCGATTTACGAGTCTACGAGTATAATCTAGGTAGGAAAAGAGGTCTAGGTTCGCTAGATAAGAATGCCTTCTTATAAAATAGCCTACTTATTATTAGTAGCTACCTTATTGTTCGATATTATAGACTCGTACTTATAATAGTATAAGCGCGACAATAGCTTTTAATTAATATAAAGCCGCGTACCGCTATTAACGGGTTTAATATAAAGCTAAAAGCTGCGCCTAACTTTATATTAACCGTTTACGTCGACAATAGCGGTGCGCGACACTCGTGGAGCCTCATTATCGCCGTCGTAAGTTGTTATTGTGGTGGTAGAGTGAGTCGCGACTCACAGCGAGTGCCGCTTCGGCAGTCGGCAAAACCATTTTGCGGATTTGTAAGCTTAGGCCACCGCCCTCCACACTCCACGTGCAAAGTAGCTCATGCGTCATGTGGCAGGCTCCACCTAAGCAATATGCCTTCTTCCAAGCCAAATGTCCGTTCACGAACTGAACAAGCCTTGTCAACACAATCTGCCTAGAAACATAGCTAGCCACAAGTTCATCATCATCTCCATTCCCAGCAATCGTCGAAGGAAGTCCTCTAGAAAGTCCGTGTCATGACGCCTAGGAAGATCGAAGAGCCAGACCAGAAGATGAAGAGAAGGATGGTCCTTTCCAAGGGCAAACAACACTCCAATCCAGAGCCTTCCTTTTCGCTCGTATAGCATGTCGGAAGCCAAATGAGGAGTTTCCAAACCATGGCGGACTCGAACTTGCATGTGTCGACACGAATCCTTTGCGCGAAAACTGATAGGGGAAGTTCTCGATGATGTGTGTTGCGCACTTGCACAGAAGAGATGGCAGGACATCTACCACCCAGCAGGCGGCGGTAGGTTTCGGGTTCAAGCAATACGAAGCTGGCGCAAGCATCTGACGCACTTGAACATCGAGGACTCCTCGAATGGACGCTGCAAAACACAGAGCAAGGCCGAAATAAGGCCCACCTCAACTCAAAATCTCCTACCAGGTAGCATGATGCAGAGATAGGGATCGTGGCCGCGGAGCTTGTGCGCTTGAAACTCACGCGGGCACCATCCGCCCAAGATAATCATTGACGCGCCGTAAAAGTTGTTCTGGTAGGTCATCGTGGACCCGGAATTCGCGCGATCTGGCTTGCTCGTATGCAAATGATATGGTATCGTGCCCAGGAATTGGACCAGTGTAATGGTCGTCAAAGGCGTATGCCTTCTGAGCTCTCGTCTTGCTTGGCCTTCGCTTTCTTGCATTTCGCTTGTAACATGCGCTTCTTTGCCATCGTCCACAAGAAATGTTATAGTACTTTTTGTTCTACTACTCTTCAATAATGGCACTCCATATAGCTACTACTAGAGTCCTTGAACTTTTTATGAAGCCCTCCTAACCTGGCCTACTAGTATCTAACAAGTCATCCATCCCTCTCGACCTCAAGCCCTATCTTAATTCTTCGGTGCTGCCACGGGGTCTAAATACGTGATGGCCGCCGTCAAATCCTGCCACTTGGAAAACTGAAACGACCGAAACGCAAACGTCTTGCCCCCCGGAAACTGGAACTTCTGCGCCACATCGATAGGGAAGTCTTTGAATTCCGTATTCACAAATGCCGTAGAGTTTTTGATATTTTCAATCACGTCATCCACACTGTTGAAGAAATTCATAAAGCTATTCGTACCCAGTGTCTGGGAATTGTCAATCCGGTGACCTTTCTGGAGCATTTCGGGGAGGTCGGTGATGAGTTTGCCCTTTGCGTCGACTTTGAGGGTGTACGTGTCGGTCAGGGTCCAGTCGACGATGTTGCCTGAGTGGCTGTCTTGTTCTTTCATTAAGTCGAGCGAGATTGTCAAGTTTTGGGTGATGACGATTTGGTTGGAGCGGAAGTGTACTTGGCAGCTGTAGGAGGGCTGTAGCGTCATGGAGCCGAGTGTGACAGGGGAGCCGGCGGTATCGTTGCTGGCGGGGGTTTGCTTCCAGTTCCATTCCATCACGAGGTCGGAAGTTGTAGAGGGCTCGTGGAGCGTGAAGGTTGGGAGGCCGTTTTGTGTGTTCAACCAGTCTTTGATGTCGCCTCGGTTGCTGGGGTTGGTGATGGCGCCGGTTCCGATGTTTTTGAAACCGCAGTAGTACTGTGGGATTGAACCGCTGTCGAGGACAACTTTGGAAGAGGCGATGTAGCAGTTCTTCTTGACTTGATCTTGGAGTTTGTTGCGCAGATAGCTTGCGAAGGTGTTGCGTTGGAACGAGATTACACCATCGAACTGATGGCTTTCTGCTTGGTTCATCCAGTTCCAACCAGGGCGTTGCACTTGCGGTATTTTGTTGTTGTTGGACATGCAGAGGTAGTTGAGGGTTGAGAGATTTTGTTGATCCTTTGTTAAGCCAGTAAGGGGGTGGCCGGTCCTTTCGTCGATAAGTTGGCAAGCTTCTACGGCCATATCCGTTGCCTGGGAAGATGAATTAGCATATGAATTCAAGATCGTGTCGCAATAGATTCTGGAGGTATGTTTCTCTGCCGTCAGGGGGAGAAGGTAAACACGTACACGAAATTGGGACTCATCGGGTTCATGGGAGACAACTGCGACGTGTAGCAGCGGCTGGCCACGTTGCTTCATGTCGGCGAAGTAGCTATTCAAGAAGCTCCCATTGATGAGACCCTGAGCTATGGGGTCGACGTTCGCATCGCCAGCGAATATTTTCATGGCTGGGCCAACTTCTAGTCCAGCATTGTCGAGGTCGAAAAGGAGGCGTTGCACGCTGAATGAGTCCTCGCTCCCAAAGTCAGCCAGGATCTGCTTCTGGATTTCCGGTGGGAGTTGTGCAAAATGCGAATTACTGTCGTCCTTGGACATGCGAAGGTCGACCTGGCACTGGAATCCCCAGGATGTTCCAGTCGGCTGCTCGAAGACAGACCAGCTGCAGTCCATGCCCATATACTCCATTAGGCAGACTTTGACCTCAGAACAGAGCATATTGTAGGTGACAAAAGAAGAGTCATTGCCGATCTCGATCACGTTTGGCATGCTTCGAGCATCAATACCGGGAGGAAGGCCCGGCTTGATCATCTGAGAGTATACACGTTAGTCGACACCTTACCGGGCCATAGCAGCAACACTTACATAAGCGCAATGGAAGCCAGCGAAGCGCAGCCTTTGTAATCCAACATCCGAGTCCGGATCAGCGTTGGCGTCGATCTCAAAGGGATTGATCCCGGGTGTAAGGGCAATCAGGTCCTTCAATTCTATAGGGACGGACTCCAGCTTCTTCGTTGTCGTGTTCTTCTTGTAGATCCAGCATTTGGCCACGCCTCGCTGTTGCTTCGCTGCGTCTGGCAGGTCTTCTGACTCCGAGATATACTCAAGCATGGTGGCATTGAGGGCGCCCTGTGTCGTGGCTACGACTATGTCGTAGCCGAGTGGCGTAAGGTGCGAGTTGAGAGCGGATGCCATTCTATCACGAGAATGAGTCTTTCGAGTATACTTGATTCCTTGCGACGTAGGTATAGCAGGATGACTGTTGAGGCAAGCAATGTTTGGCTGTCATTTTGTATTCATGGGAGACACATATGGGCCTTGACAGCAAGCCTGATGGTCTGGATGAGAGTGGCTGGCTGATCTAGAGCGGCAGACGCTTCGTGGCTTACAAACTTGTGTCCAGGTGCTGCCGCATTGCAATGGATGGAGGAGCAGCCGTGCCATTCGATGCTTCCTCAATGGCGTGGTAGACAGGATGATGGCTGGCTGTCCTCAAAAGAGGGCGTTCGAAGGCAGGTGGAGTGAGCCCAGCTGAAGTCTGTCGAGCAGGGATCAGTGAGAATTCTCCTGCAATAGCACACATGGATTCAATATCAAACTATCGACCGGATTTCGCAGGAAACGTGGGATGCATAGGAGTGTGGCTGGCTCAGCTGATGCATATAGGATTGGCCAGAGCTCTCCTCTGCTGTGGCTGCAGCAGCCCAAACACTTCCAGTCTTCGCGATGCCGCATTATTATTGAACCTACACCTGCGCCATCCGCCAAAGTCATCAAGTAGCACCTGAAACCGCATGTTCCTTTTCTCGTCGCGTACGCCGTTCGGGGGACGCAAGTCTGCAATCTCTCTAGAGCTTCTTGAGGTACTGCGCGCGCCACACGTTTGTGCACGTTGCATTGGATGCATTTCAGAGGCGACCCGTACACCCTTCGTGGGGACAAGCATTTGCAAATACGAGCTGCACAGCTTGAAGTTACCGCGATCAGTGCTTTTGGTGGGCTGATGCGTTACAGGACGAGCTGAGGATGGCGGCGATGGCCTCTGCAGAATGGCTTTTTGCTCGAGGCCAGACCACAGCACAAGCGACTCGCTGGTATCCTTCGTGCTTATGAGCGTTAACAAGGTATATATTGGCCGTGCGCACCATTAGCTGATCATCAAGCGAGCGACTCCGTATTACCGTCATGATGAAGGTGAACGCAAGATCAGAATGGATGAAAGCACAGAAACATGCCGATGTGATGGCGCCGGGCGGCCACTTTGAAGTCATACAGACTCACGATGAGACATCAATTTTCTTCTCTCTGGGTACCGACGGCGTGGTGAGTATGCTCTCCGATAGGTTCCGCGCTTCACTGACGTCCCATAGCTGTACGCTACGAAAGAGGTCCAGACGAGTACTGCCGGATTCACTCGTGAGGACCTGAGCAGCGGCCTCTCATCGCGGTTCAACGGGAAGGTCGTGACAGCGAAAGCTTTCAGTGTATCTCAAAATGCTTTTACAGGCAAGTGGGATCTCCTCTTGGCGGCAACGTGCGATGGCTCCGACCACTTGTTCGTCTCGCAAGGCAACAGCTATGACACTAGTACCGCTGCGACACCAGGCATCGCTTGGTCCGTGATTCCTTTCGACGGGGATGGCGCCGACAGTGCTTCCACCAACATACAGATCGCGGACGTCTTCGCTTTGAATAGTGCCAAAGCCGGCAGCATTTGCGTTGTCGACATTTGGCGCTCTGCAGGCTCAAATAATTCGCTGGACCGGTATTACGTTATCTCCGGCCATTCACCCCAACAGTGGAATCAGCATCTCCTGGCCATTGATCTGGACGCCGGCAGCGTGAGCACTGTCCTTGGACAGAGGTCTTCCGACAGTATCCCTGGCCTTTACACGTTCGGAATGATCGATGGGCAAAGCGAACTGATCTACGCACCCATCTACAACTTCTTCCGGCCTAGCAATCCTCCCAGCCCAGCGCGACTAGCGCTTCCAGCAGGCACAACCTCCATGTCGGCAGCGAGTGACCGCAGCGGCCATACGAACTTGTTCGTCTCACACGTTGGAGGCTTGTCGGTCTTTCCGCCGTCTGGACAACGGGATGGAGCTACTCCGGTTCCTTGTCTGGCCGGCCCGCTGGTCTCTGGGGCCACGCAGTTACAGTCTTACACAGTCGAATCCACAACTTCTGTATGGGGTCGTAACGCCCAGGGCGGTCTATTCTACGCCACTTGCCCTGCGGGAAACGAAGCTCAACAGTCGTCATGGTCGACTCCAGCTCTGCTTCTGCCTCTGGTAGAGGCCTTCGCATTCTACAATGGTATATCCACTAACAGCCACACGCTGTTCGCTCACATCAGCGGTCAGGACATACGGGAGCTCGACCAAGATCCAGTAACCAGCATGTGGCGTGAGCGTAAGATCATGCTTCCCAGTACGGACATCAACGACATGGTAGAGTTTGACAGCTACACAACTAGACTGGAGGTCCTGGACTCGAATTCCATCCCGCAGCCCAACGTTGGCATTAGCTTGACTTCCATAAGTCCTGTTCCCGTGTTCGTGGACGAAGTATACTACGTCCTCAACCCCAGCAATCCTATCACTTTCAAAACAGATGGGAATGGATCCGTGACAATAGTGCAGCAAACGGACTCGTTGGCAGCAGTTTGTTACATGGTGGCACCAACCGCGCCTAATTCGCTGGCAGTGCTTGTAGATCCCTCTGCAACAGCCGTGCAGAAGCTCAACTCTATTCAATCTGGAGATGATCTGGCTGCGGTTCGAATTGCCGATTCTGATGGAGTCACAAGGCCGCTGCTCCCTTCTTCGACTAATGCGGACGATCGGAACGCTGCAGCTCAAGCGATCAAACAATTTTGCGACATCGGTAAAGGTCTTGACGCCAACGGCACGCCCTCTGGCAAGAGCGTGCCGGCAGTCAAGAGCCTTGCGGCTTCGCCACAACCAGGTCTGTATCGGCATGTCTCCTTGAATCGAAGTATAACGGGCTTAAATCTCCGGACAGGTACGCACGTGTTTTCAGTGCACGTCGACAATGGAACGAGTAGCACTCCAAGTCTCGCCTTTTCGACTCGAGAAGCGAGCGCTGCGAAACCGAATACCGTTGGGGTCGTCTCTAAGGAGTCGATTGGAGGAGACTTGGTCGGAGGCCTCGTCAAGGTTGGCGACTTCTTCAAGATGCTTGGTGAGTCAAGCAAGCGTACCAAAGTGTCTTCAGCTGATGAGCTCTAGCGAATGCCGCTTTAAGCGGACTCCATACCCTGTCGGTCCGTATCATCGACGGTGTCCACCATGTCTTTGCAACAATAGGTGGAGTCGTGTACCATGCACTATTGGACTGCATCTCTGCTGTAGTGCATGCCGTCGAATGGGTCTTCCGCCAAGTCAAAGTTCTCCTTGCCGACCTCATTTCTTGGCTCGGCTTCATCTTTGGATGGAAGGATATTGTGCGAACACACAGCGTCGTGAAGAACTTGATCAAGCAGTATGTCAGGAAATCAATCAACGAGATTGGTACGGTTGAAGCCAAGATATCGGATGCTTTCGACGGCCTAGAAAAGAAATTGAATGCCTGGACGGATGTTACTGACCCTGGGTTGACGATCGGCTCCATGGCTGCGGCAAGAGATCTAAACGACGGCGGCTCGAGCCCGCAGTCGCATTGGGGTATCAATCACGCCAGATCTCAGATGAACAATGCCAAAGTCGAGGACCACAACTCTGTAGTCGGGGGACTGGAGACGGTGCTTCACGACATGGAAGCCCTCGTCACAGATGAGATTGACGATATCAAAAACATGATCACTCAAATCCGGACACAAATCGTCGAGGCCTACAGCGGTCTGACACCAATTCAGATTGTGAAAAGGCTCTTGGGAATTATTGGCGATCTGCTCCTGAAGTCGGCGAAGAACGTCATCGTCAAGAGCCTGGACATCATCCGCGCTCTGGCCGACAGCTTGGTGAATGTGCTGGACGCCCCTATCACTATTCCCATCTTGTCTCGTTTTTACAAAGAGCTCACTGGCGCCGATCTCAGCATCCTCGATCTGGTTGTACTCATCCTGTCAATTCCTGGCACCATCATGTACAAGATAGCGGTGGGCTCAGCACCCTTCCCAGACGACGAGGACACGGCTAAGCTGGCCAATGCTACTGACTTCCAGATCATTCAAGATATTGCAAATCCTGGGCCTCATGGGGCCATAGCCATGCCGATGATAATGCCAACACATCCTCAGAAGGTAGTCGTCCGTGTACAAGCGGACACACGGCCCAGTCTAGGTGCCAAGGTATACCGTGCGTTTGCTATCTTTGGCAGATTCTTCGGCGTGGTCACCACATGGCTTGGACAGATTGTGCAGGACGCCAAATGGGCCATTAAGCAGGTCAAGGGCTTCCCCGGAGTCGACGGTACTCCTACACCATGGAAAGTGGTCGGGACAGTGAACAGTATCGTCGGCGTCGTGCCAACCATCATCAACGCCTTCAACCGCTCCGGCGCTTGGGAAGTCATCATGACCGACACGATCGCAGGGCTTGGTCTTCTTCGCACTCTGATCGGCCTGACGCCTGTTGCCGACACGGATCCATGGAAGAAGTCGGATCCGTATGTGTCCGTCTTCTTTCAGCTTACGCAGATTCCGCCCCCGGTTGGCAATATCATTGAAGGGAGCATCAAAGGAACCGCAATCGCAAGTGATTACGTCGGCCTGGCGGCGTCCCTGTTCGGCAGATTCACTGGCATCCTCAATCCGGTCTCGATGGCTCTGGATGATCTTGAGGTGGAACTCGTTATTGTGGCAGCGGCGAACATCACCTGCCTCTTGCAGGGACTTCTAATGATTTCCAATGCTGGGATGGTAATTGCTGGAAAGTAGATTTCAGAGCGCCAGATCTCGCTCTTAAGGTCGGCGTCTGTACCTCTTTAGCGATAGTCCGTGTCTGAAATAAGGAGGCATGCGGTGCAATGTAGCGACTTCTTCACGTATGTCTTTCGTAAGCGATAGGCGCTTCTCGATCCATAGATAGGGAGTAATACGCGATACCGTCCTCGCCTCTAGAGAGCGTCGAGCGACTATACCAAAAATCATGTAGTGTATTCGATCACCAAGGTCAGGCGTTCCCGCAACACAGTTAGGTCATCCTCGGTACTCTCATCGCTTTCATTGGCGCAACATGTCGTTCACTTGTAGTAATGCTTCGAGGCAATAACGTTATTGTCCTTGTCCAGCTCAAACGCTGAAAAATGTTCTGCTGGATCGTTGCTGCTAGGGTGCTCTGCTTCCCTTCTACGGTCAGAATGATGATGTGACGGATCTTTTGATTTGATGCTCACTTTACATCGACCGTGACCGTATCAGGCTTCAGAGTCTCCTTGTACTTCTCGTCGTTCTTTCGGCTCTGGGCAATGATCCTCCGCTCCCAGGTGTCCGTTTTCGTGACGTATTCGATGGCAATTAGCTTACCTTTGGAAGTGGTTATGTTCTTGATAAGCTGACTGGACTTGTACATGTTGTGTCTTCCAAAAGCCGAAGTGCAGTAGAGAGAATAAGGGAATGCTAGATAGTAGATTGAGGCTAGTTCGGGCGGTGGTGTTGAGGTGATAATAGAGGCAGCAAGAGATGAACTCGAATTCCTCCGGCGATCTATGTATGCCTGTCACAGCCTGGGAGGAGCGCCCCGACACTTGCGGGATGTGGCAGAGTTAACATTGCCGCGGGATCAGCGTAGCAACAAGCGCCGCAGATTGAACTTAGCCAAGAGCATTCAATCCTTCTTACCCTACCAAACATTCGGGCGTCATTGTTACCTCGTAGCTAGTTCAGACCAAGCGCCGCAGAATGTGTGGGGAGTTGTCCAGTCCGTTCTTTATAGGCTATCAAGCTCGTAGATCGAGCAGGAAGCGCCAGGTGGACCTTTACTATTGTTAGTAACGGTGTCATTGGATGGAAGTGCTAGACGAGGATTTCCTATGTCACACATCCGTTTCTTATTGTCACGCTCGCACTACCTCCAATCAGGCGCTCCGCCGGAGAAACCTTTCCCCGCTAGCGGGGGCTTCAAGTTTTGTCTACAACCGAACTCCTTTGTTTCCTCGAAGCTTGACAACTTGGTCGCCAACTTACCTAACTCTACGGCATACAGAACGTCGACTCTTTGTCCTCGCGCATTCGCTCGCGCTTGCTGCGCCATTGACATATCAACATGCTGCGTACGAGTGTCAGAATGGCAGCAGCATCTCTTAACGAGCTCTCCGGAATGACGGGCCGACGCTACCGCTTCAAGCAGCTTCTACAAGAGCGACCCCATATTGGTCGTGTTTGGACAGCATCGTACGCACTTGGTTTGCTTTTGAGTACTGTCAATTGACATTTCGCTAGAGCTGGGCAAAACACCTTTGTCTTGAAAGACATCCCGTATGACATTTACAGCAACTTCAACGAACGGGTACTTCCACAATTGAGCAAAGATTCGGGCACCTTTCTGCGACTACCCCTCGATACGATACCAGACGAGCGTATATTTGTGTACAAATATCTTTCTGACGACTTTTTACAATTGGTCCGGAAGGACATTTCGCTCCAAAATCGCCGAAGCATTTTGCGAGCTGCTCTCCATGCTTTGAAAGAGCTGCATGAGAAAGATGTTGTCCATTTAGGTGAAGAAATTTTCTGCTGTCACTGGAAACATGTACTGATCTTCAATAGACATCAAGCCCGACAACATCATGGTTCAATGCCGCCATAACGATCCGGAGACAATAGTCGAGCAGGTGCAGCTTACCGATCTGGAGAACGCAGCCTACTTGCCCCCGGGCAGATGCATTAAAGGAATGCTCGCCGGAAATGACAACTGGCGCAGTCCCGAGGCACATTTCAAAGGCGAGCTCAACAAGTTCTCGGACGTGTTCTCCTTCGGTCTTGTTGTAAGTGCTTGTTTCCGCCAAGTTGTAGCTCCTGCTGATCATGCCAGTGCATCTATGCTGTTCTCGGCCGTGTTGTATGCGGACCCGACGACGACTTTGCAAAGCACGAGGCCCAAGGAGCTTTACCGGCTATGATACGCCTGCAGCGACAGGTCTCCTACTTCGGAGATCGGGATGGCCTGAATGGACTGATAAAGCATGTTGGTGATAATGAAGTCAACTGTCAAGTTCTCTCAATGCTTTGGGACGAACGAAATGAGGACTACATTCCTTATAAGCCGTTTGTCGAATGGCCGGAAGTCCAGGACGAAGCTTTCAGGAATCTGATAAAAGGTCTTACGAATTTGGATCCTACTCGACGACTGTCTACATACCAGGCTTTGCAGCATCCTTGGTTTTCGGAACAAAATTAATAGCTCTATCTAACTAGATAGAAGTGCTAGTCGCTGCCTCGGACGTATACGGCGCGTATTACGCGATCTACCTCCTATAGTACCTCTTAAGTTATCGTTTTTTACTATACGTCCGACCGGTATTACTAGTACGTCCCCGAGCGACTCTAGGCGTCGTCCGAGTACGGGGAAGATTACGTACCTATCCTTAACTTATAGATCGTACGTTTATATATAAATAAGCTATTCTATTACTTATACTTCTATAAGTTACTAGAATTACGTATCTTCTCTATTTACCTACTTATTATATATAGCGATTATATAGCCTTAGGTAAATATATCTTCGTCTATTTAGCTAGTAAGATACTACTATTACCTATTAATAATCGCTTACTAATATAAAAATTAATAGATCTTCTAATTTAGAGGCTTCTATTCTTACGTCTTATAAGATAGATTACTTAAGGTATTATAGATACTAATATATAATATTAACGTAGTATAATTAATTCGCTTTAGAAGACTACTAAATCTCTTCTAGTCTAATACTTTAAATATACGTACTAGAGTATCTCTTATACTTACTTAATATACTAATACCTTTTAGGTAGTATTTAGATAATAGTTTATACTAAGTAGGCTACTCTTTAGTAGAAGAATATAGTACTAATAAGTAGTAGAAGTCCGAAGTACCTAGTACTATATACCTAGATACCTTAGGACTAACTAAAAACTCTTAGTAAGTATATCTTAGTAGCTCTACTAACCTACTTATAGCTTTACTATATACTTAATAGACCTATATTTACTTTAGTATATATCTCTTTAGTACTACTCTTTATTTCCTTCCTTTATAGAGTCTCTTATATAGAAGCTAGATTAGCTAATATATTACTATATTAATTATAGCTTAATATCTCTATATAGAAGAGTTAAGTTATAGTTACTTTCTTTATTAGAGCTAAAGGTAGAGCTATATTTTTCTTTTAATACTATATATATAACCTAATAATAGAGAGTCGGATTATTAGCTTACGGACTATATATAGGTCTATATACTTAGGGTTAGCTTACTCTAGATAGCCGGATTATTAGTATCGGATTGTTAGCTTAGAGTTAGAGTTAGAACGCTTAGGGTTAGAGTTAATAGGTATAGAGTTAGTTAGATTATTAGCTTAGGGTTAGGGTTAGAACGCTTAGAGTTAGAGTTAATAGGTATTGCTCTTATCTTAAATAAACCGAATAGTCGCTACTATACCTCGCTTTAACCGACTAGGCCCTCCCGTAGCTAAACCTACTTATTAGCTAATAGACTCGGTTATAATACTATCTATAGCTATACCTCGGTACGAATAGCTAGAATTGTAATACTAAGAATAGATATATCTAAACTTCGACTAGCTAAACCTACTTATCGGCTAATAGACTCGGTTACGATACTATCTATAGCTATACCTCGGTACGAATAGCTAGGATTACGATACTAAGAATAGATATATCTAAACTTCGACTACGACTACGTAACCTAATAGTCTATCTTTATCTTAGCTAACCGAGTAGATAATTCTATTATTTAAACTTCTTTATCGGTAGATAGACTAGGTTATATTTACGTAGGTAGCTATACCTCGGTATATTAAGCTAGAATCGCGAAGCTAAGAACGGATATATCTAAACTCCCTAGCGCTATTATACCCTATAACTATACCGCTATTTCTATCCCTTATCTTTATACGTTAAATGTCCTACTAGTAGATAGAGTAGGTTATATTAGGGTTCGTAGGACTACTA